TTTACTGAGAAGTCCAAAAATCTAACGACAAACGATCGGGGGGCTGCTTCTGGGTTCCTGGGCTTGGCAGTGAGCGCTCTGTGTGCCCTTTCAATGACCATGTTAAGATCAGGGGGAAGTTGAAGAACAGATTTAAGCAAATCATGTATGAAAAACTTGACATCTCTCCCCTCCCTGTCTTTGGGTACTTGATAGATTCTCAAATTGTTCCGCCGCAGACGATTTTGCATGTCTTCACATCGTGCATTCAGATCCATTTCTTGGTGTAAGAGATAACGGAGGGCCCGCTCGTGGCGCTTAGCTGTATCCTCATTAGCACTAATACGGTCTTCTGCCTCCGCGGTTCTCTTTTGCAGTTTAGTCAGATCCTCTTTCAGTGCACCGAAGGACGCTTCCAGCCGTGTTAAAGACAGCTGAGTCTGAGTGTGTCCATCTTGGTTGTCTTTCCTCATTTTCTCGAGTTCTGCTAATATTTTTGACATGGAGTCGGGCATGCTAGCATCCGACGGTGTACTCTGGGTTTGCATCAGGGTTAGCTGTTTTAAGTTGTCGCCTTTGTCCTTAGCCGAATCTTGTTTAGATTGTCCTTTGCCTCTCGACGACATGTCGTACTCAATAAAATTTGCCGAGTTTTAAGCTGGTTGTGTTAGGAAATTATCAAATTTTGGACGGCGCGTGTCCCTCAAGCTGCTATCAACATGGCGTCACCGGAAGCACTCCATTATTTATGATTTTAATGCTATTTTGTCTTGTTCAGCACTTTGAGTTCCCTTGTGTATGAATTGTGCTATACAAATAAACTTGCCTTGCCTTGAGTGAGAATGTAGAACAACAAATTCAAATCAGCCCAAGCCACAAACCAGAGAGATGTGTTCATTAAGATGCACTGTCCCAACCAAATAAATAAGACCAGTTCCTGCCTGTTCTGGAGGTTCTTTATGAATCCAGACTTTGAAACAAAACTCTTGAAATAATCCATGACTCTTCTTGCCCCTGGAAAAGCCATGTTCCAGCTTCTTCCCTCTGGCAGAAGATATTGTATAAATGCAGGAAATCTGGATAGGCTAATTATCTTGCACTTCCTGTACTTGCCCGGTGCACACTTTAAACTCTTGCACGTGTATTCCAGTGTGGTTTTACTGCAAATGGCAAATAAGTAAATCTGATCGTCCCAGGCACAGTAACATGATCTCATCTGTAATTGAATACATGAGAGAAAAAAAAAACGGACTTAATGAATGAGCAAAGCCAAAAAACACAAGACATTTATTTTGTATTAAAACAACTTTTATTCCACAGCTTGAATCTAGGGTACAATTGCAACAACTGTTTATAAAAATTTGTTTTAATTTCTCTCATCAGTAATAATATTTTTTCTCTAAACTCTGAACTGTCTCCAAAAATATCTCTAGTTTAACTAAATATATGGGTAATACTCGGAAATAACTTCTGTGTGGATGAAGACGGTGGCTGGTTGTGCGTGTTGGGGGAAGATTATCTCAAAAAGGCAACAATAAATCTCACAAAACACAAAAAAAAACAGCTTTAAGAAACACAAAAGAAGAGTCCCTTTAGTTTCACATCTGACGACGCCACAGACATGGAAGGACTTTGACAGACACAGATTTTTCACTGAAATTGGCAAAAAAAGGCGACACATTTATAAATTGTCAACGGAAAAATAGTGGTACTTTAATATTTCTCTTTAGTTTGGACCTCAGTAATTAACAGCTAATTAATTGGTATTTATTAAGCATTTATGAATCCTAATTCTACGTTTCCTGACACAACATTTAGCTAACTTATTCTTCTTTTGTAGTTCTGTTTTTATTGCTTTTTCCTGACTGTGCAGCGCTTTGTAAACAGCGTTCTGAAAAGTGCTATATATTATCTTAATCATTATTCTAACTACTAACTGACATTCCCGTGTGGGTTAAGGCAAAGCTACACAAATTAGCACTTAATTAGCTGCTAAAGAGTGAGGGCTAGTCCAGCGTTAGCCGTCATCGTTAGCAATATCTATAACAATATAATGGATTGTTATTTTCTACCATTTAGAAATCATGAGACACGGTTGAAATGTATAACTTTTATCAAATATATGTGATTTACCTGCTGCGCTTATACCCGTCGCAGTAAAAAGCGGCCGATTTGTCATTTTTGCCCAAAGGAAAAAAGTACTGCCGATTGCCAACATGGTCAGTTTGGGATCAATTGAGATTTCTTATAAAAGGTATTAAATTAAATATATGTATGAAAATAGCCATGACTATATTCCAGATAGAAGTCTTATCTTCTTTAACAAAATTGGTTCATCATAAATCCAAATACCAGAGCATTAAAAGAAGAAATATCATGCAGTATTTTAGGCTTTAAAGTAAAAAGTATTTCATTGTTGTGTATGATTTCATGTTTTAAAAAAATGAAACTATTTTGAGGAAAAAATATGGTGAAACAAATACAAATGGTCAAAAAATTCTTTCCAACTGTAACGCCTTTTGCTACCACCAGGGGCAGGGAGAGTATTTAGTTTAGCCCTCACTAATCAACAGCTATTTAACTGCTAATTAGAGTGTAATGCATGGTTAAGTAGATCTTAATTTGTATTTATGAAGCTTGTATTAGTCCTTATTTTCCACAGCCTTATTCAACTTCCAGCTAGCTTCTAACTGCTGCTATCGGCTACGGCTAGGATACACTAATTAGCATTACATTTGCTGTTAATTAGTAAGGGCTAAACAAGTGTTACCAAATGTTTTGTTTAAGTTGGAAACTACCAGCTGCAAACACAGTCGAGTGATTGTAAAAAACGACATATGACCTGAGAGATTACCAAAACTAACTCATGAACACTAACCGCAAAACTGCTCTGAGCGTGATGTCATAGTGATGTCATAGAGACGCAGTGCCACGAGCTGTTGTATTGAAACAGTTTTTGTTGATTGATTCCACCGTGACAATTTACTTCCTGTCCTTTTTACTTGTCTGGTGCAAACGTATTCCAATGTGGTTTTACTGCAAATGACAAACTAAACTGAATCTATATCTGTATGCCAGCTCCTGCTTTCAGCGTGGATGGATCTAAAACCAACTCCGGGTCCAAAAAAAGTTGCATAATACGTCTCCTTTAAAAGTGATCAAAAATTCAAAAAACATTTAAAGAAATACTTGTGTTGTACAGTTTTCCTCTGCCAAGTTCTCATAAGATAAAGTCCATACATTCCATACATTTACATCCCAAAATACACTGAAAAATATGAAAAAGTTGAATACATATATTTTTTGTTATAATAATCCACTATAAAAACAAACTTAAGGCCAAAGAACAAGAAGTTATCATTCGATTTGCACTTTTCTCTCCAGCAAAGGTTGAAATGTCTCCTGTATTGCACTGTATTGCACATTAAGAACAAGGCTTTTTCAAGTTTGCATATGATTAAAATATCCCTCAAATCGAGCGCGGAAAGCATTAATCACTGCCAGGAAAGTGTGAGACAAGACGAGGCCCGTGACTGTTGAGAAATACCTAATGATGAAGTAACTGGAAAAATCGGGTTTGGAACTAGATCTGAGAAGAAATACTTAGAAATAACTAAAATGTGTCACTTTCAAATCTACAGGTGGAACTGAGAAAATTAGAATAATGTTCAGAAGTTAATGTCAATGACTGATATATTCTAATATTTTGTGTTTTATTTGATTACAGCTGTGTAAACATTCTGTAATGTCTTTGATTAATATCAGCGACAGGAAATAAATCAGAGAAACTAATACAATATGTTAAGAATCACAAACAAAACTGATTTGTGGCCCAAATATTGCGATACTACCCTCGTCCTTTACAAGTTTCACATTAAAATTTTAATTACAGAAGTTATCATTGGAGCGACTGCGGCTGTAAAGTGTCCTTAGGCAAGACACTTCCCCCACATTAGAATGAGTCTGGTGTGAATGGTTGGTGGTGGTGGGAGGAGTTTATGGCAGAGACTGGTTGCCTCTGTTCTATCAGTGTGCCCCAGGGCAGCTGTGGCTACAGTAGTAACTTATCCCCACTGTGATTGCAGTGAGAATAACAACATTTGAGGGTTCAACAAGCGCTGTAAAAAACCAATGTATTACTATTATCATTAAATCTATGAAGCCTTTACAGCTAGCTAAGTAGCATAGCCGCTAATTCTATTGTGTGGGCTTTAACCACGGCCCTGTATGTGCGCTGCAACGTTAACATTTCCCCACTGTAGGATGAATAAAGGTTCTCGTCGCTCATCAAGAACTTCTGGATATATTTTTGATTCTCTGAGTTTCACCTGTGTATCATTGAGTGTCGTTGCTTTAGCTTAGTTTTGGTCCAATTGATTTGAAAAACCCTTAAATTCAGGGATTTAAAGAAACAAATTAATTGAAATAATCACTATTATCAAAAATAATTTGTTAATTAAAGCCTGAGACAAGACTGAAACAATGTCCCTTTATGAATGAATGAGTCCCTGTGTAGTAACTTCAGTCACACCCACTCCAAGATAAACGAGTGATGTTTCGTTACAAAAGGTGGAGAGAAGTGGAACAGTCTCGTCTTTATCAGCTACTTAAAAACATCAAGTGATTTTCCATTCCCTAAATAAGTCAGCATATTGAAACTCATTCAATGTGGGGTCTGGATTGGACACTTCAACATACACAAAGCTGAGTGATGGACTAATGCATCAGGACCCTTTTTTAATCATAGAAGGCACACAAACTGCCAGAAACCTTTCATCAAATGTGCAAAAAAGCTTGTTTCCTCTTATAAAATACAACAAAGTGTCATTGTAGAGGCCTGGTGTGTCCTTTGATAGATATGTTTTCATTTTGACTGTTTGAATTCACAGATAAGACTTCTGTTGGCACTTTTCATCTGTTTGTCTGAGTCCCCGACAGCCAAGCGCTTCAGCTAGTGTGCAGCAAATCTTAGAAAAAATATAGGTTCTCTGACTCAAAGCAGCCCTGGACTTCCTCTGTGGTCATTCGGAGGCAGGTGTACTGGGGGGCAGAGCGAGCGCCTTGAGGGCCAGGGGGTTCACGATGACCTGGATTACAAAGTCCTTCTGGATCTTGATGTCCTGCAGGCGGGTCTTGTCCGTGAGCAGTTTCCCGGAGAAGAACCAGCGCTGGTGGGTGACGTCGATGTCCTCCTGCGCCTGGAGCTGCTTCTTCAGCAGTCCGATGCTGTCGGCCATGCTGCTGCTGAGGCGCAGGTCCTTCCCCGTGGACAGACGCACCTGAGGGGGGAAGACATGAGGAGTGAAGGTGATCCCATGATGCATTAGGATAGTTGGTAAATTGGTGTCTATGTGTGTCTGTCTCTGTGTGCTGGGGTGTGTGTGTGTGCGCTTACGTGTGTGTGTGTGATATGGAGCAGTCCTGTACCTAATTATAGCTTTTATTCATATGAAATTCAATATTAAAGTGAGACTTTTTAAAAATACTTTCATAAAGTCATATCTGTGTCATATCAGTGTATTTCTTATGAGTGGTGAAATACAATACAATACAATACAATTTATTCTTGTATAGCCCTAGGTCACAACAGAAGTCATCGCAGAGACTTAACAAAACCATTGAAATCACCAACACAGGTCAGAGAATCAACAGTAAAACACATGAAGAATATAAAGCACACACAGAAGAAAATGTCCATACATGTTGTAGAATGTTAAAGTGTCCTGATCATCACCAATCCTTTCTGTTGGACACTAACTGTCCAACAAGACCCTCCTGCATCGACAAGGAAAAACTCTTAAAAAACCCAGTGGGAAATCAGGCAAATTGATGCGTGTGGCGTGGAACACCACTATGGGAGGGCACTCTTCTGTTGAGGGCACTCACAACACGAGTGCCCTCAGAATTGGGCCCTAACCCTTCATCCCGACCTTGTCTGAAGGTCCACCACCTTGTCTGAAATTCTGCTCTACATGATCCCAGTTTTTATGTGATGTTGGACGTGGTACCTTGAGCTGGAACTCCTTCTTGGGGGCAGTGGGCGGCTCAGGGCTGTCGCTGGGCTCGTCATCACTGCGCTCAGAGATCAGGTTGATGGGAGGGGCCAGGCAGTACACGGGCAGCTGGTACCGGTTCCCCAGCTCATCGTAACACTCTGTCAAAGTGCCTGTGCAGAGAAACACAACTCTTACCACTAAAATGGATAGCTATAAAGATGTCCAGTCTCTTGATACGCAGGTTTGTTTTTCTCTCAACAGATATTTTGGCCCAGAGAAAATCATAATAAAAGGCAATAATAATGTTGATAGATGTAACAATTTGAGGCGTTTTCTTAAGGCATGGAACAGTGCCTCTTGGTGGAAGTCTATTCGCGCACCTCAAGTGGGCTCCTACATAGACACACACACTCACTCCAAATATATATATAAAAAACCTTTAGTCTTGCGTCTCCGACCATTACAGCCCACAGAGCACAGGCACCTCTGAAGGAGGGTCAATTGGAATGAGACCAAAGTTGGCAGCCTTGAGTTTTTTTCTAGTTTCAATTTATGCTCTGCTTTTGGGGTTTTAGTTCCAACCTGAGCCGGAGGACACCAGACTCCACCCATTTCCTCAAGATTTGAGTCTGCTGCACATAACCTGCAGCCACACAGGCCCACAAACCCCTGCTCTATCCCCTCCCTCCACACCATCACACATCTCTCACCGTGGGGCAGGGTGATGCTGGCCCCGTCCACGATGGCCTGGGCCAGCTCATGGTCGTTGCACTCCAGGGCCACGGCGGCGGCCTTCAGTGCGTCCCAGATCTCCTTGCGGCCCTCGAAAGCCGGAGCCGTGTCCCAGAACTCGTCCCGTTTGCTGCGCAGCTGGCCCTCCGTCATCGGGTAGTCGCTCTTCCACTTAGGCCGGTCCTTACGCAGAGGCTCATTCCGGCCTAAAGCAGAAGAGAATGTTACTTGGGCTTCAAGTTGATTTGAATGAATGTAATGTTTTTTGTGTATATATCCAAAATTCCCAAAAGCTTTGCCAACACAGATCGGAGAATCAAACGCAAAGAGCCATCGGTCCATCAACCCTACGCGACAATGCTCCACAAATCCCACACTTCCTGTTGGCACGCTACTTTGCGAGAGACAGATCAAACCATCAATGGCAGTGTCATTATGTCTTAGCGGACCACAGAATGCTGGGAACGCAAATCTGCATTCATGTTTTCACGTCTATATACAGAGCGCTGGAATGGGAATCCGTCTGCCCACCCAGCGCACTGTCATCTCCGGCTAAAATAAGATTTGATTCATAATGTGTAACCTTACCCGCATTTAATCTGAAAACAAACATTCTCTCCGTTTGTGTGTGTGTAAATGCATGTATTTTAGTGACATACATAGAACGCTGGACAATGGGATGGAAAAAGGAGTAGACAAGGACTGAGGAGGTTTATTTTTCTTAGTGGAATTATTTATAGGCACTCGGGTGGCAGAAGGCGGTGTAGGGTGAGCACTTGGGGAAGATTGGGTGCTTGTTACACATTTCAAAGAAAAAGCAGAATATCCGCCAGTCTGACTTTGATAACATGTTATTCATGAAGCTTTGAAGTTTAGGCCAAGACTCGGTGAGACGACAGTATCTTCCGGTCCGTGTTTTCGCCTGTTCTAAATCTAATCTGTCTTATAGCATTTACTTCATGTTTATGTTGTAAGGTAGACAGAGAGTGCGGCTCAGGATGTGGAAGAAATGTGACTACTCCTACACATTGAGCACGTTTTAGTTTAGTAGTTTTTCATCTTGTATACACAGAACTTTTGCGCTGGAATTTTGAACAAACAAAAAATGCGACCATGCTTACAATAAGGAATGTAAAAAAAGTCATGATTAGGGCAGTAACAAGTAAAGCAATGGCGAGTAATCAATTTATGCATCCATTTTCTTCCCAATAATATATTTCTGGGTCTGGGGGGTGGCAGTAGGGCCATAGACATGTACAGAGTAGACGCTGCATTGGCTGCTCTGTGAAGGTGTTCTCCCGGGGCTTTGGTTTAGCACAATGTATATAACAAATCTCATATACACTGAGCTTTCAGGATCTAATGACAAAAAAATAAGAAAAGAGAAAGCTTCTCTTCGTCCCTCAGTGGGGAAAATTCAATGACATAGTTGCGCACATTACAGCAGAATAGAGGGAGAAAAGAGCAAATGAAAGAATAATTCTCCAACTACAATACTTTTTACGAAGTTCCTTAACCGTGCGGCGTATACAGGAAGGGTAAAGCTCTACCAAACACAAAACATCCTGCTTCCCAATGTGTTTAGTGTGTAGTAATCTGAGGTGCGCTACGTCCGCGCACTAACTTCTCTCCGGAGACTTCTCTCTCGCTCACTTCCGTCAATAGAAGCAGCGTGACTTGTAATACACACAGTAGCAGCGAGAGAGAAGTCTCCGGAGAGAAGTTAGTGCGCGGACGTAGCACTCCTAACTTCTCTGCGCACTAACTTCTCTCCGGAGACTTCTCTCTCGCTGCTACTGTGTGTACTACAAGTCACGCTGCTTCTATTGACGGAAGTGAGCGAGAGAGAAGTCTCCGGAGAGAAGTTAGTGCGCGGACGTAGCGCACCTCAGATTACTACGCCTCACAATATAGTACCCGTTTTATCCGCTGAGAAAATCGACTGTTACATTTCTGTGTTACTATACTTTGCAGTGCAAAGGAAGGTTTCTCACCCATCATCTGTACTTCTTAGCAAGTTTTCCCGACGTTTCGTCCTCAACCTAGCGGACTTCTTCAGGGAATGAATTCTCGGACCGCGCGTTGGAGATTTATGGGTGTGGTTAGCCACACCCTAATCCTGATACTAACTCATAAACAATCTAAGGTCTGCTTGATGTAGAAGGGAGCAGGTCTAACGACCCTGCTGAGGCTAACGACCCTAACTCATTAGCATGTCACAGACCTATTATCTGCTGGGATGCTCAAGTGGAGTGTAGGTCTCACCCCTCCTAACTCATTAGCATGTCACTGACCTTGTCCCAAGTTAGGGCGTTGTTTTTAGGATGTCGTCATAGATGCGAGGCAAAACAAATCTTAACCCTCCTCCTCTGTTAAGAGAAGGTTTTTGTTTCCTCACAAAAATGGCTTCTTTCACTCCTCTCTCAAACCAATTCTTCTCCCGAGCCAGAATTTTAACCTCTGTGTCATCCACCGTGTGGTTGGAGGCCTTGAGGTGGAGATGAACAGCTGTTGGGACAAGGTCAGTGACATGCTAATGAGTTAGGAGGGGTGAGACCTGCACTCCACTTGAGCATCCCAGCAGACAATAGGTCTGTGACATGCTAATGAGTTAGGGTCGTTAGCCTCAGCAGGGTCGTTAGACCTGCTCCCTTCTACATCAAGCAGACCGTAGATTGTTTATGAGTTAGTATCAGGATTAGGGTGTGGCTAACCACACCCATAAATCTCCAACGCGCGGTCCGAGAATTCATTCCCTGAAGAAGTCCGCTAGGTTGAGGACGAAACGTCGGGAAAACTTGCTAAGAAGTACAGATGATGGGTGAGAATTAACCTTCCTTTGCTTTGACTAATCCCTGTACGACTGAGAGCTTACATATACTTTGCAGTGTAACACGTCACGTAACTATATACATTTAATAGGGAACACTTGGAAGAGTTTGGTAGCTTCTAGCGGGAGATACCTTTTGGTGCTACAAAATATACAGAGGAGGCTGCGGTTGTGCTCCAGTTTTTGCTCCGTTTGCATGACAGAGCGCACGGACTAAGACCAGACAGGTACGTATTAACTAGTCTAAGGTAAGGTAAGAACATATGTCAGTATGTACAAACGGTGAACTATTCCTTTAATATTCAAATATCAAATTTTGTTTTCCAAGGCCTACTCCTAAACAAAGTCCATTGTGAAAACATTTTAGTAAGAGGGCCACATTAAATCATCAGACTACTCCAGGGGCCGACGTCAAGGACTGAAAAACTGTCCTGACTGGCATCGGGCTGTTTTGAGCTGAAGTTGGCTGAATGACAAATGCCTCCTATCTCAAGCAGCTACATTAGCACACTTAACGGAAGTGTGTGACATCAAAAACCACGTCAGTGCAGTATTTACAAACAAACACAACTGAGTTACAAAATGTCTATATTGGCTGAGCTGAAGTTGGATGGATGACACAGTGAGCTTTGGATTAGCAAGGGGCCACATAAAATAACTCCAAGGGCCGTAAATGGCCCCCGGACCTGAGTTTGGACATGCCTGGTTTAAAGAATGCACAATTTTGAGCCCAGACACGAAGCAATGCATTTCAGACCAATGAAGCAACATCAGGGCGTTCCATGATTCCATCGCAGCGGCCCATAAACAGCCTGACCATGTGATGACGCCGTTCACAAGTGAAAAGGAAACCAAGCAGCCCAAAACACAGCTGCGGGATCAGGCCAGCACCATAATGGAGTTCTGAAGCCGTAGAGCCTTTAATAACCACGGTCTCTGCCAGGACATGAGGCCGTAGCGTGAGGTTTGTCTGGGCAGATTAGTGAGAAGGAGGTGCAGAACAGTGAGGAGGAGGTGCAGAACAGTGAGAAGGAGGTGCAGAACAGTTATGAGGAGGTGCAGAACAGTGAGAAGGAGGTGCAGAACAGTGAGGAGGAGGTGCAGAACAGTGAGGAGGAGGTGCAGATCAGTGAGAAGGAGGTGCAGATCAGTGAGAAGGAGGTGCAGATCAGTGAGAAGGAGGTGCAGAACAGTGAGGAGGTGCAGAACAGTGAGAAGGAGGTGCAGAACAGTGAGAAGGAGGTGCAGAACAGTGAGAAGGAGGTGCAGAACAGTGAGAAGGAGGTGCAGAACAGTGAGAAGGAGGTGCAGAACAGTGAGGAGGAGGTGCAGATCAGTGAGAAGGAGGTGCAGATCAGTGAGAAGGAGGTGCAGAACAGTGAGGAGGAGGTGCAGATCAGTGAGAAAGAGGTGCAGAACAGTGAGAAGGAGGTGCAGAACAGTGAGAAGGAGGTGCAGAACAGTGAGGAGGAGGTGCAGATCAGTGAGAAAGAGGTGCAGAACAGTGAGAAGGAGGTGCAGAACAGTGAGAAGGAGGTGCAGAACAGTGAGGAGGAGGTGCAGAGCAGTGAGGAGGTGCAGAACAGTGAGAAGGAGGTGCAGAACAGTGAGAAGGAGGTGCAGAACAGTGAGAAGGAGGTGCAGAACAGTGAGGAGGAGGTGCAGATCAGTGAGAAGGAGGTGCAGAACAGTGAGGAGGAGGTGCAGAACAATGAGAAAGAGGTGCAGAACAGTGAGAAAGAGAAAGAGGTGCAGAACAGTGAAAGAGGTGCAGAACAGTGAGAAGGAGGTGCAGAACAGTGAGAAAGAGGTGCAGAACAGTGAGAAAGAGAAGGAGGTGCAGAACAGTGAGAAAGAGGTGCAGAACAGTGAGAAGGAGGTGCAGAACAGTGAGAAAGAGGTGCAGAACAGTGAGAAAGAGGTGCAGAACAGTGAGAAAGAGGTGCAGAACAGTTATGAGGAGGTGCAGAACAGTGAGGAGGAGGGGCAGAACAGTGAGGAGGAGGTGCAGAACAGTGAGGAGGAGGTGCAGATCAGTGAGGAGGAGGTGCAGAACAATGAGAAAGAGGTGCAGAACAGTGAGAAAGAGAAAGAGGTGCAGAACAGTGAGGAGGAGGTGCAGAACAGTGAGGAGGAGGTGCAGAACAGTGAGGAGGAGGTGCAGAACAGTGAGGAGGAGGTGCAGAACAGTGAGGAGGAGGTGCAGATCAGTGAGAAGGAGGTGCAGATCAGTGAGAAGGAGGTGCAGAACAGTGAGGAGGAGGTGCAGATCAGTGAGGAGGAGGTGCAGAACAGTGAGAAGGAGGTGCAGAACAATGTGTATCGATGGATTCCAGGAGGGTCCAACACGAAATGAGCGACGTGTGGACTCGTCTTATCTCTAATGCACAGCTCGACGTTCTGGAGTAAGAGATAGAGAAGAAGAAACAGTCGGGCTGTGACGAGAGATTATCATAATTTCCGGACAAGCCTCAAGTTTATTCTAGTTCTTTAATCCCTGTGGGTTATACAGCGATGCGGCTAATATGTGTATTTTTATTGTGGTAAAGCTGTCAGAGTTTATTTTGTCTACAAGTTTATTTTGACCCTTGTTTATTGTCAAAACAAACTGTTGAACGAGTACTGGCATGGTATTTAATCTGTTAAACATCTTGTAGTTAAATCATGCTGTGACCAGTCAAGAGAACCTTAATTTGTCCCACAATGGGGAAATTTGCAGCGCACGAACAGGACAGTAGAAAGGAACACACCAAATATATAATACAAGTGCTGCTACGCTGCTTAGAACAGGCTAGTGCTACATTAAAACATGAAAACCTGAAGCTTATAATCTTTGCAATGATTTTCTTATAGGTGGTGTGGTTTATAGTCCAGAAGCGACGAGCTAATTTGGCAAATTATTCCTTTGATGAATCGTTTTCAGATCCCAAAAGGTCGGCAAATATGGGATATTTCACACAACTGACGATTGGTTTAAACTGACTTGGTTTGGGTTAGCATTGGGGTTGTTTGATTAATAATAATCTGTAAAAATATGTTTTAATTTTGTACGGCAGTCCTTATAGACTTATCTGAGTCATAAAACTCAAATGTAAGGTACAAACACAATTCATTGTTTACTAAAGCAGTTAACAGCCAATTAGCAGTGATTAAAAGATCAAGAATATAAGATAAGATTTTTTGCAAAACTACAATTAAGGCTGCACGATATATCGAAAAAATATTGTTATCACAATATTGGTACGTGCAATATCCATATCAAAAAGATGCGCAATAAAAGAAATAGACAACAAAACGGGCAGACACATCAACATTCAACAAGAACAACAAACAAAAAAGTATATAAATATATGTATTTGAATGTCATTTATCTGTCTCTTGCGTTTCAATGCAATTTTAAATATCACAATAATATTGTTATCATGAAGCCCCGATTACGACACAATGCCAGCTTTTCTTTCTCCTGTACACCTGGCACACATGCCTCAGTACTCACAGCAACAACGGATCTGGGCATGTTTCCTCCAGGTGCTCCAGTTTCCCCCGTCACCCAAAACATGCAGAGGAAACAATGGATGTCCTGACCGAGCGGCATTGAAAGAGTTGATCCTAAGGGGCTAAGGACAGTGGTGCTGACCCGGGACACTCGACATTCAACGACATTTATGCACTTTATTAATCTATCTACGGTTTTGTAAAGTTCTCCGAGATAAACGACTGTTGTGATTTAGGGCTTTACAAAAATAAATTGTATCCAGTTGAAAGGGTCGAATGCAGATAGGTTTAAAGCTTTAAACCTGAGTGTACCTTGTCCTACCTCACCTTGTATTGTGATGGCAGGATATTTGCACAGTAGTCACACCAGTAATGTTTATTTATATAGCGCATTTTAACAGACCAAGGTCACCCAAAGCGCATTACAATGTTCAGAAATCAGATATTTTTCCGTTCACACCTGGTGATGACGGAAGCGAGACGCAGAACATAGTGTAGGCCAGCCTGACGCTCTGATTATTCCCAAATGCAGGGATCTCGCCCCCGTTTCTCTACTGGGGGAGATTTTTTTAGTCGTTTTTATTGAGTTGTTTCCAATAAATCGGGCTCTTTTCTCAAAATCAACTATTTCATTACGGTCACCTTCTCTGCTGCTCAAATTTGTACTGTTTTTTTGACAGAAAGCCACGCCACTGCAGACACCTGAGCAGGCAAAGTGCTCCATGCAAGAGCGGCTTCACCCATAAGCCGTGACTAGATAGCTGGAACTCACCTGATGCTGCGTTAAAATCCTGGTGTCAATATTAATTGCAGACTCTAGTTTCCGAAGACCTGTAACTCTACTCATCTCCGAGAACATGGGACCAAAACCCCAAAATACTGTATATGGTGTGAGTATACACTTTGTCCAATAATTTGCATTAATACATTTAAGAGAACAACTAAACCGGTCCAGACCTTTTGGCCTACTTTTTCCCGGCTTAACAGGAGAATGCAGTTGACTATACGTTCTGTATGACTGCTGCCTGCGCTTCGAAATAGTATGAGCAAGTGCAGAGTCCAGAGGCTGAGGCACGGCTGAAGAATGTCCCACCTGAAATACTGGACGATAAAGTTTTAACCGTCTCATGGGGGGTGCTTACCTCAACTGACCTGAAAAACGCCTCTGCAGGGATTGCCTCTTGGAAGTTAGATTGTATACTTGAGAAAGTGTTCTTAAATCATACAAACTGAAATAATAAATGTGTTTTTCCCCGGTATCTAAATAAACGCCGCGGCTGAAGACAAGTTAATTAGCATTTTACGCACAGTGGTGGGTGTGGGTGGTGAATTAAGCAGAATGAGCTCCATTATAGAAGGCAGAGATGCAGCGTGGCATGACTGGACATGTCTTTTCTCATCAGCTTAGGAGGGGAGTGTCTGCTGAGGTATGGTGGGAAAACCTCCAGGACCAGAACACCCACAGACCTGGTCACTGAAATGTGTGTGGCGAGTCGTGGTCAGTTTGTGGTCAGGTTAGCTCTCAGAAGTGTATTAATAAGTCTTAAAATGTTTCACAGCCCTAAGCGAGAGGCCAAAATGAACCAAATGAACTACAAACACTCGTTTAGAGATGAACAGAAACTTCATTATTCTGTTTACTGCAGACAATAAAGTGCATTTTCATAGAAGTGCAGTTAAAACAACATGACCCAAGGACTGTACTGTCCCAAGTTAATGTTCCAGTGATGCAGTGTGTGTGCAAACTAGGAAAGAATGCCTGGCATGGATCATTTAGTATAAGAATTCTGAATGCAGCATAGTTTTCTTCCTTCACAGATAAATTGGCCTCATGAACAACATATCATTTTATATGTCCATTGCACATGAAGGAACAACATGGCCATTAATACGTGGATCTCTAATTAAATAACATGTTCATAAAAAAATATTGTGTAGTAACTAAGCTTCATCTTCAATCTACATTTGTATCCACAAGCAAACCCGATTTAACTGAAACCAGTGTAGTGTGATTGAAACTTAAGAAGTAACAAACACAAAAGCATTCTTGACTTTAGGCATGGTAAGTTGTTTGACCATCTGGAACAACCACAAATAAAAACAAGCCAGAACTAAAGACGATCCAACACATTTTCCTGCATTTCTATAAACATCCAGTATCAGACTCAAGAGCATTCTTAAAACTTACCACTAGACTTAGACCATAGAAACAAGATGTGGACAACTCTGATTTAAACAAGCATAATTTTAAGTTTTTTCCAAAAGTCGGCCAATTATAGACAAAAATACAGTCCATCATGTGTCTGCCGAGGCAAAGAATCTGCTATAGTAAAATCTATATCGGGAACAAGACAAAGAAATCTATGGGAATCAGCATAACCACAATGCATTGGTGCCGGTCAAAGTAACCACTAGAGTCTGTAAACCACATGAAGAATGGACCACCACCAAACCGCCCATAATCCCACATTTAAGACCTGTACCAGACGGAATTGCTTTTGCGGGACTAAGAGGATGGCTGCAAATTGTATGGTGTAGTTGCAGGACAAATTACAGTCAGATTCTCTACCTGTCACTGCCATCCAGTGACAGGTAGAGAATCTGACTGTAATTTGTGGCAAAGTGTGGGATGGTTCAGCTGCAATAGGTGCTTACCCAAAAGGCACAGGCAGACAATTGTGCAGAATTTCCCTTGAATGTTTCTAGGAAGAACTGAGAAAAATGGTAAAGAATACTTTTGTTAACATAATTTGCCGTTTTTGACAATTGGTACCAAAAATCTTTGACGTTGGAATGTGTCAGTTAATCCACTTTAGCATATTATTCGGATCACCACAGTGGACAAGAACAATAATATTTTATATCTTTAAGAGAACAATTCTATGGTTTCCGACATCTACCCACTATCTAAGGTATGGGAAGCTTTTCTTACCGTTATTAAAACACTAAAAAGTTTAATAATAAAGAAGACAGCATGTAGTGGTCGCATTTGTGTATTGATTACCTTTGACACAGGACAGTTAGGTAGCATAGACGTAATTATATTATGTGTAAGAATATGTTTTCAATTCACTTTTATATAGCCCTAAATCACAACAGAAGCTATCTGAGGACTCAAAGTTGTTGGTTCACCATCACAGATCAGAGAAACAAACACAGGAAATGCAATGGTAAAAACAGAGCCATTGATCACCAAGATGACCAATATCCATAACTGTTTATAGATGTACACAAATGCGGTTGAAATGTTGTTTAAAGGGATATATTATTTCTTGACAGGCCTGCTAATCTGTTTGACTTTAAAACACCAGAGGTAAACTTGTATTACAAGTTAGTTCATGAACTATTATCAAGGTTGGGCCATTTCAAACAAGACGTTCCCACATAAACGTGTTAGCACTAATCACTATACTAGTTAGATAATGCTCAAATGTGCAGTTATAAAAATGGAAAGAAATTGTGCATCAAAACACAAATGACAAGAGAAGAAAAAGGTTGGAAGTTAGTAACAGGAGACTAGCTCGACACCACGCTGTAACATCATCTACTGTAGGTCTGCTCGTTCACAGTTTACACAGAGGCCCACATTAATCAAGCCAAGGTTAATTGCATAGAGCCTGTTATCCATCTGCTTGCACATGCTTCTGTTGTACCCACCACTCTTACCTCCGCGTCCATTCCTTGAGGAGCCCCGACTCGGCGCGTCGTCCCAGCCGTCCAAGTACCTCCCCACACAGCCTCCCATGATCCGCCGGCTGGGGCTCGTCTCCCAGCGGGCTACTAGCTCCTTTCCAAGGCACCTATCACCATCATCACAGCAGCAGAGGAGGTGGTGGAGGTAGTGCGTCGGTTCGTTGAAGTGGACACAAATGGATAAGCTAATGCTAACAAGCTAACAACGAGCTTAGCCAGCCACTACAATATCAGTAAACACAAACTTCTCCGGGATACAAGATATTTCTGTACACCGTGATGTCTGTTTGGACCCTTTGCAGTGTGCAGGGGCATTTCCCCGCAGTTCCCGGCGTATAACCCAGGCTTTTGAACCGTTTTCTAGCCAGGTTTGTGAAGGAATCCCCCAAACTACATCCTTCTCTCTGATGTTGGGAAAAGGTGACTGACTAGCACTCTAACGCAAGAGAACTTTTGTTTACGCATGCGCACAGAGTCCGGCCAAAACATAAACTGTTTAATATTAAAGTGACAAAATACCAAAGTCGACAGAAATAATGTTTCTTATAATCGAATGTTCTACAGATAGTAATGCATATATTTTAGGTTTTATATTATTTATTTATGATAGAAAAACGTCTTATCTTTATCTTGACAACTGGTAAATAACAAAATAACATAATAATAAGTAGGTGTATGTAGTATGAAAATCTTGTATTTAAACTTTTATCCGTTTGCACAATATGACTTGACAAAAACTTGACTGTCTATCCTGTACTTATCTGCGCCTGAAAAAGTAGCACTCAGACTCCCAAAATTCTGAAACTACTAGAACTGCCAGAGCATTCATTTTGACGGCTCCCATTCGAAGGCATTCTGAAAAAATCCCACAAACAAGTGTATTTTTTTTATTATTTAAGCGATTTGCCAAGTTCTAAAACTGGTTAATATAACTTTCTAAACTAAAAGCCGCCAATTTGAATGCTCTGGGAGTTTTAGTGTTAATAATTGAATGAAAAAAATACTTAAATAATAACTTTACATTTTTTAGTTCAACTTTTGGCGCATGCGTACTGCCGTCTATGCACTCAAGGCACGATGGCTGCGGACAGTGCCTTGGCGCTGGCTCTGGTGGAGGAGTTTGTGTCTGGTTTGGTGGACAGCAAAGCCAAAGAAGCGACTAAAGGTAGCCCCCGCGTCTCAGAGCCGCTTGTCATCATGTCTGCTTCGTGGCACGTTGTAAACATATATCTTTAACGCTGTAGCCTCTCTGAAAGACTACACAAGCTAACTTAGCGTCTCAACAGCATCCTGTGTGTGTGTGGTGTGTGACCGCATGCTAGGTCTTTATGTGAGAATATTTCACTGTTATAAAATGCTGAAACCTCGTCTATGCAGTCTTGTAAATGTCTCTCTTTTCATTATACTGCCTGATAAATGGCTAGCGCTGTTTATGTTTGTTTAGCTTCTGATTAGAGGTGTATTTTGTAAGCATCTTGTCAATGAACTCTGTACCTTTGACCCTGGCTACAAACGTGTTATGAACTAGGAATGCCTGACCTTACTACATTGTATTGAAGGAGTTATTCTGTTTCAGCTGTCAAAGATGGGGAGTTCACAATCCTGCAGCTGGTGGAGGCACTGGGGTGAGTGGCATCTACTGCAGGGGTCTCCAACCTGTGGCTACCAGTAACTCCAGTAACTATCAGAAACCCTAACCCTAACACACGATCCCAAATGAATAAATTTTGAGTCATTGCGTATCTATTATCAGTATAGAATATAGGATTATAAAGTATTGCAGTATATTTTTCATGTGCTCTCTCTTGTCATTATTACATAGATGTTCATTATGACTGCAAAAAGAACAGCTCTCTGCTTCTTCTGTTGTATAAAAGTAGCTCTCCAATTGAAAAAGGTTGGAGACTCCTGATCTACTGTTACTTTTCATACCTGTCTCTAGAAATGGTTATTGCACAAATGATTTATGTGTTTAGGTTCTCAGAAGTCATCGGGTTATGTAAATAATACATTAGAAAGCATATGATCTGGTGAAGGGTAGTGACCCGAAACGTCACATTTTGTGGTGATTATTAAAATCTCCTGGGAGCAAAAGCTGTGCAGAGTCATCTCCATTTCTTTCAAAGCATATGATCTGACATGAATTTAATGTACACAACATTTCTGAATCTATTCATCATCATCATTGTGGCCATACCTGCAGGTGAAAGCCAGATCCCCTCAGACCGCAGGGCAGGGCCTGGTTTGTAAAACCAATGCATCATTCTCTATGCTATTATTATACTTTTCTCATCATGTATGCAGATAATACTCTTATCAAGGCTATTAAAATACATGACCTTCAAACCATCCATCCATTACTTACTCACATCCTTACTCAATTTCTGGGTCGGGGGGTGGCAGTCAGAGCTGCACCCAGTACACTTAGCACCAGCCCCTCACTGATCCTCCTGCAGGTGGTGAGTCCACAGGAGCCTTGATCTTTCAGCGGGGGCTTAAGGCAAAGTGGAGTTAAGTGTCTTGCCCAAGGACACAACAACAGCAGACATCATTGGCAGTCGTGAAGTAGGTCTAGTTGTGGGTTTGAACCCACAACCTTCAGGCCCAGAGGCCAATGCTCTACCAACTGAGCCACAGTCACCCCTTCAAACCGTTGTAATGGAACTATTATATAAAATTACTTACTTACTAATAACAATGTTATAAGGCTGTCTTACAGCTATGCAAAAGATAGACAGAAGCCAGGCAACCAGTGTGTGACATCAGCCCCTCCTCGCACCAACCATTCACACACACCACTCATTCTAATGTAGGTGAAGTGTCTTGCTTAAGGACACAACCACAAATTGGAACTGTTCAGCCACTGTCGTCCCACTGGTGTTCCCTGCGGTCTCCCATCACAGTACTTATCAGGCCCTGCCCTGCTTAGCTTCAGAGGTCTGACAGGATCAGGCCCACATCTGAATTATAACTCAATTAAACTTTATTAGACTCTAGGTCCAATTTAAAAGACAAACAAGAACAGTCCTGTCTTTAAAATACAGCCATACCAGTTTGTTTTCATTGTTATTATCTTTGTTTTAATTGTTGTGTGTGTTATTTATTAGTTTTTACCATTGTTCTGTTCTAGCTTAAGTCTGACCAGCTCCCAGCCTCACACCAGAGCAAGAGGAGTCCAGCTGCTCTCCGAGGTCCTGCACGAGTGTTCCAACAGCCTCACAGAGAAAGAAGGTAGACACTTTTATTTAACTGTGTTTTTCTCGTCATATAAACTACATTAAAACATACATGTGTTGAATGGTCTTTCACAGTGGAAGTTCTTAAAACATTTTATGAAAACCGACTGAAGGACCATTATGTTGTGACGCCTCCTGTTTTACAAGGACTCAAATCTCTGGTGAGTTTCACGTCGACTGGAAACGTCTTCATTTTAAACTGGTCAAAGAGACCGACTTCATTGCTGCCTGTTTGTTTCCAGACAAAATGCACAGTTCTTCCGTCCGGCTCCGCTGTGTCGATGCTGCGCTCTCTGTTTCAAGATGTCCACGTTCAGGTAAAACAAATTCTGTTTATTGAGTGTGTTAATGAGGAACCTGGATCCTCAGTCCTTTTCTGTCGACAGTCTCTGATGCTGGCGGAGAGGGCCTGTGTGTACAACATGCTCATCAACCTGATGGAGACCAGGGAAGCGGGTAGGAATAAATCAAGTTTATTTATAAAGCACAATTTATGACGTGCAACTGCAACCCAAAGTTTTTTACAAGACATAAAATCATACACATTTGAAGCATTATACACATATGAGGTTAAACAACAATCCATTAAAAAACAGAAGTTAGAATTAAAACTGAAATGACCAAAAAAAGTATATTTTAACCACAGACTGCTTCTGTTTGGCCTTTTTATGGTATTACTGCATGTTACAGTACTTTTTCCCAATATTAAATTTTTTTTGGCACATACTGTTATTGTCAAAAAAATATGACGGACATGTTCGAATTTGATACAGAAATAAGACCAAGCATTCAAGAGTTAAAAATAGAACAACATTTAATTATCTTTACAATTAAATATTAATACAAAACTCTCGGAGCTATTAATTCCCTATAACTAACCCTTTATGAGCTGAGCCATTTTAACTGTCCCTTTCAGGCCTGGAAATGTACAGAGAACATCCAGGCGATCTGCGATGCTCTCATTCTATCTATGCCTAACAAAATGTCCAACCAACAGTTTTATGAAAATGTCCGATGACGTCATATGGTCTGAGGCCAACTGAGGCCCTGGTCTCGGTCTGGTCTAGTCCTGTTTTGTGTCTCAGGCCTTGTTCCGAGAAGAGAGACACGCTGTTCCTGAAAATGATACTTTTATCACAAAAACCTTGTCCTTGAGTCTTCCCTGCATTTCACTAAACCCAGGCTAGACATTACACAAAGACGTTTTATGCAAACACCTCCTGATAGTCATTAGTATACAACAAATACACTGTATACAGCTCCTATTGTAATGATCATTTTAAATCATTTTGTTAAAACACGCTGATATAATGTGAATATTGTTTCTTTAAAATAATGCCTGTATTAAAAATATTGTTAAGCTATAATGTCAAAAATTCAAAATCATCTTTAGCATTATAAACAAGCAAGAAGAAAGTCTCTTACTTTGGCACATTTGTTTGGATCATTTGTTTTTCTCTTGTGTCGACAGAACTAAAGAGTTTAGGTCCTGACTTTGTCTTCGGGTTTGTCCAGTCCATGGACGGAGAGCGCGACCCTCGCAACCTGCTGCTTTCGTTCCAAGTCGCGAGCAACATCATTCACAGAGGCTATGACTTAGGTACCGCCCACACCTTTATGTCCATTCTTCAGCTCTTGTTCATGTGTCCACTGTCACTCTACTCTAGTCAGATTATTATTATTATTATTGCACAAATGAGAATGTCAGAATGTGCAATATAGAGATACATGTGTCAGACCCATGTACAGATGTAAATACACAGCTATATATTCATACTAGAATATACAGTATTTATACTTGCTCCTTTATTATTTAAAGTTACAGATTTTGTACTTACTTCTTATTTTGCTAAAGTATGCCTCAGACGTTCTATACTTAATTCTTGTTTTTTATTATGGCAAAGCTAGAGACTATAATAGCTTCTATATTATGCTAACGTTACAGATTTTATACTAGCTTCTTTATTATGCTAACTAGGGCTGCACGATATTGGAAATTAGAGCGATATTCGATATGAATGTTTAGTATTGCTATATTTTTGTCTTTCACCTAAAATTGCATCTGCATTGAAACGCAAGAGGCCAAACACAAAAAATAAGCACAATATTAATGACATTCAAATGCACATATTTTTTCCTTTTTAGTTTGTTTGTTGTTTTTGTTGAATGTTGATGTGTCTGTCTGTTTTGTTGTCTTCAATAAAGGAAGAAGAGAAAAAAAAAATGTGCGCAATATGGATATCGCACGTACCAGTATCGCGCGCGCACCAGTATCGCGATAACAATATTTTTTCAATAAATCGTGCAGCCCTAATGCTAACGTTACAGATTGAATACTTGCTTCTTTATTATGATTTTGTTCTAATCTGAGTACAGAGTGACTGTTCATGTATCTTGTGCTGTGTGTCCTGTAACTGGCAATGCAACAGTGACATTTCCCCGCTGTGGGACGTATACACAATCTCTTGGTCTTCTAAACCCGGACTTCTCTCTGTGATGTCCTCAGGTAAATTCGCAGAGGAGCTGTTCGAGGTGACGTCGTGCTACTTCCCCATCGACTTCAGTCCTGTGAGTGTTGACTCAGCTGCTGGGGCAGAGGAGGCCATGGAGAGGCCCAGGTTTAGCAGACTTCCTGTGACATCACACAATAACCTGAATACTGTTTGTGCCTGAGCCAAACGTCCGCCTCGGCTGCTTCACCCGGGGCAAAGACCGTGGGATTGCTTTAGTCACCGGTGCCACTCCGTCACTACACCAGTAATATGAGCTGCTTTTGCTTGGTCTGGTCTAGGTTTGGGAGAAATCGACCATAATGTCATCCTAGCCACACAAGTACAACTAACTCTGCTTGAATAGAAGACATTACTTTACATTACATTAAAATCAAGGACTATATAAACATTCATTTGATTACATTGTAAGTATGTAATGTTTATTTATATAGCGCCTTTCACAGACCAGAGCCAAAAAGCGGTCCGTTTACAGTTGTTTGATTGAAATTGCTTCAACTAATCCCATTCCGTTTTTATATGCGTCTTAATTGCCTTAATTTGAGCACATTGGTCCTCATTTATGAAACTTGCGCACGGCCAAATCAGGGTGTAAGTAAGGCGTACGCAAAATATTTACACATTTCGGGATTTATCTATCTGGAAGTGAGCGTACGGTACTCACAGAATATACTGGAGGTGGTGTACATTTAACACATTCATCTCAACACGCAAATAACACGCATGAATTTCAAGATTTGGACAACAATAAACATATTCCCACTCTGGCAAGATTATAGCCACACCTCTCACATTACAAATATGCAATACATGTTTTGTTTTTCTACCCTGAAAACTCATCTATTTGACAATTTTACTCACACCATAAACACACACTCCTGTTTATACTGCTTTTAATTTTGTATTTTAACAGTATTTAAAGACCTTATGACGGGTTTTTTTTAAAAAAAATAGTGGATATCAAAATTGCATGACAATGTCAATTTGAAAGAGATTCCGGCAAAAAAAATCCTATATTTTATAAAAAGAACGTGTTTTTCATGAATTTAAGTTGTCTATGCTCTAACCTGTGTGTGACGTCATAGCGGGTTACGCCCATGCATTGAAAACCATGGATCTATGCCACAGGACTGCCTTTTCTCTCTTCTCTCCACTGATGCCCAACACAATACTGCCTTCTACAGGTGACAATTGCTCACTACACATAAATTGCCGTTTTGAGTGTGAAAAAGTGTCCGAGGTGGGATTTGAACCTGACTATCTGGATTGAAAGTCCATTGACACAACCACAAGACTGTCTCAGTGACAACGAAATGCTACATTCTACATCATGGTGCTAACGCCCCTTAGGCTTCGCTATGGGTATACTCCTGAAGCATCTTGCTTCCCGCCAGAGAGAACAAAATGCTCCAATCACCTGCCAGTCCCATCTATAAATAGCCCTCTACGGCCCGTACCAACCACTTTTCACTCTGGCGCCACTGAGAGAAGAACTACTCACTACTTGAAGATGTCGTCTCCTTCCCCGTCGCGTCCGAGAACCCCGTCGCCCTCCGGCGTCGGACGAAGACGGTGCAGGAGCTGCAGGACCAGGATCTCCCGCAAGGACCAGCACAGCCTGTGCTTCCTTTGCCTGGGCGTGTCCCACTACCAGGGAGACGAGGCTGGCTGCGAAGCGTGCCTCTCTCTCCCCAGGGAGGAGAGAGAGCGCCGCATGGCGTTTGTGGACTCCGCGGTGGCTCACCCGGGTTCCTCCCAGGAGGACGAACTCGAGGTGGAGTATGTGCCGCTAGACCTGCCTCCCGCACCCAGGGAGTGGGGAGACTGCGTCGTGGAGGAGGAGGAGCGTGAGGAGGATCAGGCTTCCTTCATCACGCTAGACGAAGCTTCCTCCTTGTGCGAGCCGGACCGGTTCCCGCTCGATCACATGCCCCGCCTCTTCATGGCTGCGGCGAGGACCATGGAGACTCCATTCCCCCCGCAACCCGCGCAACCCAGGGAAGACTTCACCTCGGTGGGGTCTTCTCAGAGAGGGAGGAAGAGGCAGGCGCCCACGCTGTGTCCGCGTATGGAGCCGGTGTTCCACTACGCCACACGTGACTGGACCAAGCCCTCCACAGCTAAGAAGCCTGCCCTGGGGTACGGTCCTTACTGTGAGGTCCAGGACTGGTCCTGGTCCAAAGGCGTACCGGAGGTCGAGGATGCGGTGAGGCTGGCGCTCCTCCCCAAATCCTCCCTGTGGCCGAGCAGCAAACCGCTCCTCCCCACCGACAAGGACCGGGTGTCCATGTCGGTACTGGACCGGTGCTACGCCAACGCGGCACAGGTCGTTGCGTTGGCGAGCAACATGGCGCTCATCACAGGCGCCTTGGACAGGTCACTCGCCGCTGGCGAGGCGCTGAGCGGCGAGGACCTTACCAGAGCCAGGACCACCACGGCAGCGACCCTCCGCATGATCCAGGCGCTCGCAATTGATGGTGGTCGGACGATGGCAGCGGCGCAGGTCGGTGCCCGTCACCTATGGCTGGGGCTTGCTGATGTCCGAGAAGCGGAAAGGAAGCAGCTTCTGGACCTCCCCATCTCCACAGAGTCCCTCTTCGGCCCAGATATGAGAGGTCTGATGGAGAGACTCGACGGAGCGGCGAAGGACTCCGCCAAGTTGGCTCCTCATCTGGCGCCGCGTCAACAACGCCGCTTCTTCGAGAGCAGAGAGAGAGGGAGAGACAGGGACCGGTCCCCGCTACGTCGCCCTGCCTTCCCCCAGACCACTGCACGCTCGGCGCGGCCTGCTCCAGCGAGATCCAGGGGCCAGGATTGGACCTCCGGAGGCCCAAGAGACAGATCTCTCCAGCGTCCTCCCCCTTTCGGTGGTGGGAGACGCGGGGGAAAAGCTTTTTTCAATAAAAGAAAGAATCAAGTTTATCCACTGTCTCAGTCCTCTGTTCCCTTGCACCACATGCCGTCACAGGTAGAGGGCAGTGTGGTCTTACACACAGAGCATACACACGGTACAGAGGGTGGTTTGATAGGAATGTCTCAGACCACCGCTCAGAGTAACAGATCTAGTGTTTCATATCTACAGGGAGTGTTGAAACGCGAGGGTCCCTATAACAGGGGATTTACGGTCCCTTCTAGCTCCACTGTCCCTCACACTTCTCCAATTAGCAGGGGTCTGAAGCGTAAGAGGCAGGCTGTGGTTACCGAGGCAACGGATCAGGGTCCGTCTGCCCCGCACTGCAGAGAAGCAAAGCTCGCTGCTATAAGTGGAACAAGGGGCAAGGACTCCTATGTTTCGCGCAGCAAGACAAAGAGGAGAGCTGTGGTTACCGAGGCAACGGGTCAGGGTCCGTCTGCCCCGCACTGCAGAGAGGCAAAGCACGCTGCTGTAAGCGGAGCAAGGGACAAGGACTCCCCTGTTTCGCGCAGCAGGGAAATGAGACAAGCCGTGGTTGCCGTGGCAACGGGTCAGGGTCCGTCTGCCTCACACTGCACGGAGGCAGAGCACGCTGCTGTAAGCGGAGCAAGGAGTAGGGTCTCCTCCGCAGCGCGCAGCGGGGCAAAGGGACAGAGACAAGCTGTGGTTACCAAGGCAACGGGGCAACACAGACTTCCTCGGCCCTTTCGTGGTTCCCCCCTCCTCTGTGAAGGCACCAGGAGTGTGGGGGGAATTAAGATCAGGTCTCACGGGCCCGGTGCCCCCTCTCACGTTCTTTTACCAGGTCTGGAGAGAGCAGGGGCTCCTCTCAGACGCGTGGCTGGACAGGACGTTACGCAGAGGTTATGCCCTACAGTTCGCGAGGAGACCACCGCCGTTCCAGGGCGTTCGAGCGGCAAACTCCAGGCGACATGGGACAGAAGAGGCTCTCCAAAAGGAGGTAGCCTCTCTATTACTAAGAGGTGCTGCGATCCAGGTCGACCCGCAGGACGCTCACAGAGGGCTGTACTCCCCTTACTTTCTGGTCCCCAAAAAGACAGGGGGGGTGCGCCCTATTCTGGATCTGCGCGCACTCAACCAGTGCATCTCCAGACGGCCGTTCCGCATGCTCACTACGAAGCAGCTGCTGGAATGCGTCAGACCCGGAGACTGGATGACCTCCATCGATCTGACAGACGCTTATTTCCACGTTGCGATAGTGCCAGAGCACAGACGCTTTCTGCGCTTCGCTGTGGGAGAAAGGTGCTACGAGTACTGCCGCCTCCCGTTCGGGTACGCTCTGGCTCCTCGCACTTTCTCAAAATGCGTGGAGGCAGCCCTGATGCCACTCAGACAAGCAGGGGTCAGGATCTTAACCTACATCGACGATTGGTTAATCCTGGCTCAGTCCAGGGAGGTAGCCCTGGAACACACGCTCCGGGTTCTGTCTCACATACAACAGCTGGGCTTTGTGGTGAACAGAGAGAAGAGCAGATTACAGCCTACCCAGCGCGCACTCTACCTCGGTCTGCAGCTGGACTCGGTGGAGTTCCGAGCAGCTTTGTCCAGGGACAGACAGGAGAGCCTCTCACAGCTGGCCACCAGGGCGCTGACTGCCCCCAGCGTGTCTGCTCGTTGCCTCAGATCACTCCTGGGGATGATGGCAGCGGCCCATGCAGTTATACGCCTGGGTCTTCTCCACATGAGAGGGTTTCAGAGATGGTTCTCCGGTCTCAGGATTCACCCCTCCCGGGACGCAGCGACCATGCTCGTAGTTCCCCCCAGGGTGAGGTCAGACATCAGCTTCTGGCTCACCCAGAGCGTGATGAGGGACGGGGTTCCCCTCAAAAGCGCCGTATCACACGTGGAAGTGTTTACGGACGCCTCTCTCGAGGGGTGGGGAGGGGTTCTGGGTCAGAGCTCCGTGGGAGGGCTCTGGTCAGATCCATCTCCGCACATCAATATACTGGAGATGGAGGCAGTGCGCAGGGTGCTACTGCACTTTGCACCACGGTTACAGGGAAGACACGTGATGGTGCGTTCAGACAACACCACCGTGGTGGCCTACATAAACAGGCAGGGGGGCACGAGATCCCCCGCTCTCCATCGCCTGGCGGCCCTCATCCTGATCTGGGCCGATGCGAATCTGCTGTCTCTCAGGGCACGCCACGTTCCCGGAGACAGGAACACAGGGGCGGACCTGATGTCCAGGGGGGGCCCACTCAGGGAGGAGTGGGGCCTGGCCCCGCAGATAGCAGCGCAGGTATGGCAGAGGTTCGGTCGACCTCGGGTCGACCTATTCGCCAGTGCAGGCAACGCTCTGTGTCCACTCTGGTTCGCGCTGCGGCCCACAGACAATCCACCTCTGGGGGTGGATGCCCTGGCGCATTACCCGTGGCCGGGGGGTCTTCTGTATGCGTTTCCCCCGACTCGCCTCTTGCCGGTTCTTCTGAGGAGAATCGAGCAGGAGGGTCGGGAAGTGATCCTCGTCGCCCCGGACAGCCCGCATGCCCTCTGGTTCCCGTTCTTGAGGGGCATGGCGGTGTGCGACCCCTGGCCTCTCCCGGACGAGCCCGGGGCTCTGGTCCAGGGAGGGGGGACGCTTCACTCGCGTCCGGTACTGGGCCGCAGACTCTGGGTCTGGAGGCTGAGAGGCGGACTCTCGTAGGTCTGGGTCTCCCCCAGTCGGTGGTGGAGACCATTCAGGGCGCTAGGGCCCCTTCCACCATCAGGGCCTACGGATGTAGGTGGAAGGTTTTCAGTGACTGGTGCGCGGCCCGGTCCTGGGACCCCATGTCATGCCCTCTGGAGGGAGTGCTGGGCTTTTTACAAGAGCTTTTAGAGAAAGGGAGGGCTGCCGGCACCCTGGCGGTGTTCGCGGCAGCCATTGCCTCTGGACATGAAGGGTTCGGAACCTTTTCGGCTCGTTCCCACCCACTGGTCAAGCGTTTCCTTCGGGGGGCCCAACGGAAAAGGCAGGTTCCTCAAAGGACCCCCCCACTCTGGGACCTTAAAGTGGTTTTGAAGGGGTTATCGGGATCTCCCTTCGAACCTGTGGCCCAGGCCAGCCCTGAGTGTGTGGCTCTCAAGACTGCCCTTTTGCTGGCGTTGGTCTCAACCAAGAGGGCAGGGGAGCTATGCGCACTCTCCGTTCGCCCAGAATGTCTAGCATTCGGTGCTGAGGACGGTGTGGCTGTGCTTTGGCCGAACCCAGCCTTTCTGCCTAAGGTTGTTACTTCGGCTTTTAGGTCAAGGGTCATCAGGGTCCGACCCTTTCACCCGCCGCCTCATGCCTCCGAGGAGGAGGAGCGGCTGCATCTGTTGTGCCCAGTCAGGATGCTGAGATCCTACCTGGCGGTTACAGCTTCCTTCAGACGGTCGGATCAGCTATTTGTGTGCACAGGCCCTAAGAACAGAGGCGCACCATTGACACCCCAGAGGCTGTCCCACTGGGTGTCGCGGGCGATTCGCCTGGCGTACCAGGCTCAGGAGTTGGTTCCCCCGGTGGGGTTCAGGGCGCACTCCACACGAGGAGTCGCGGCCTCCACAGCTCTGCTCCGGGGTGCCTCTGTGGAGGACGTTTGCCAAGCCGCGTCTTGGGCTTCGTCCTCTACCTTTGCCCGGTCTTATTTAGTGGACGTGGCAGAACGGTCGGTTGCCCATTCCATTCTGAACGCAGGGGTCTGACTCACCGTGACAGACCCGCTCTTCCCGTTTATTGGTTGCCATACTCCAGGAGCTCTTGATAGAGGCGTCCGGGGTATGGCCTTTCACTCTTCTCATACCTCAGGAGCTCTTGGTAGAGGCGTCCTAGGTATGTTCACTGTTGGCTCCTACGGGAGTCCTGCCTGAGTGTGGGCGTCCTTGATAGGAGCGGCCCTTGCTCGGTGTTCTTGCTCCTCTGGAGCTTGTCAGTGTCACTCAGGCGTCCTTGGTAGGAGCGGCCTCGTACACTGCGCCTTCTTATTCCTGCCCCGAGTCCATGCGCCTTGATAGTGCGGCGGGAACTCGGGCAGGGCTCCAATCACTCTACGCTGGCCTGATGGGAGTACATTCTCCGACGGCTTACGCGTGGTTACCCATAGCGAAGCCTAAGGGGCGTTAGCACCATGATGTAGAATTGATAGTTACCTAATGTAACTCAAGTTCTACGAATGGTGCGTAGCCCCTTAGCTACGGGCCCATCAGTCCAGCATGGCTTTGGCTGAGTTCAAAGTGGTTGGTACGGGCCGTAGAGGGCTATTTATAGATGGGACTGGCAGGTGATTGGAGCATTTTGTTCTCTCTGGCGGGAAGCAAGATGCTTCAGGAGTATACCCATAGCGAAGCCTAAGGGGCTACGCACCATTCGTAGAACTTGAGTTACATTAGGTAACTATCAATTCTAGTAGTTATCTTAGACTCGCTGTACACGGCCTTGTCATCTTGAATATCCGCGAAAAAAGAACGAATACCAAATTGTAAACAACTTACAGCGTTGAAACGTACCCGTTCTGACGTCACCAAGGGCTGTGAAGTTTTTTCGTTTCTAAGGGCGTTGCTATGGGGTTATTTCGATTTGGGGGGATCAGACAAAAAAAACAACAACTGATTTTGAAACCTTTAGTAGTTCTCTTCTAATATAAAATGGTATTAAAACTGTAATTCTAAATAAATCAAACCCGTCATAAGGTCTTTAAATGTACTTTTTACTTAGGCGCCTTTACTTCGAGAACAACTAAGTAAAGAACAACTTTCTGATGATTTCAAAGTGCCTTCATGTTGCTTGGTTACTACTGATTTTAGATGTGTATTTAACCTTAACCTTATTTATTATTTCATCTTGCATGTAGCCGCCCAATGACCCCCATGGAATTACCAAAGAGGAACTCATCCTGGCTTTGAGATCCATCCTGACGGGGACGCCGGTGTTTGCAGAGGTACACGATTATTCTGTGTGTAATCATTGTTTTGCATCTTAAATGTCCTTCAATGATTGTGTTTCAGTTTCTCTTGCCGCTCATCATTGAAAAGGTGGACTCGGACGTACAAAGTTCAAAGTTGGACTCATTACAGACTCTGGTAAGACTTATTCATCAGATCTGTGGTTCCCGAGCTAAAGTTGTGTGATATACACTGCAAAAAGTGAGGAAAAATAATTCCAAAATTGCTCAAATTTTGCTAAATGTATCTTTATTTTAGCACATTTTGACTGAGCCTTAAAACCAGATTTTCCAACGGGACAAAGCAAAATGATCTTGTTTTAAAAAGATATAGAAATGTCTCCCTTGGAATGAGAAAATAAAACAACAGTTCTTGAAATAAGACTAAATGGGTTTGTCCCACTGGAGAATCTTGTTTTAACACAGTCAGAATATGCTCAAAATAAGATAAAAACCACTCGATTCAAGCAATTATCACCTCATATTTTATCATTATTTGCATTGTATATGATATATTATTGTATATTACTATTATATATGATTGTATATTATCTATTATCATCTGATTGTGTTTTTAAGGCTGCCTGTGTGTCTCGGTACGATTACAAGGACGTGGCAAAGTTCCTGGAGGGCCTGTGGACATCCATTCGCAGAGAGGTCAGTTTGACTCTTAAATCAAATATAAAGCAGTGTCAAATTATTAAAGTGATAGTCTGTAACTCTAAATGAATTACACATTTTAAGAATTGTATAAAAATGACCTCCTGGCCTTAAATTTTGATTATAAAATAATAATTCTGATATCATGGGTAAGTCCCGCCTTCCCTTCTTTTAGCTATAGCCCGAAATCCACAATGTCGTCCACGTTAACCAATCAAGTGAGGCCAAGGGCTGTCAATCATCGGCGCTCATGCTCGTAGCTGCTCATGCTCGTAGCTGCTCATGCTCGTAGCTGCTCATGCTCGTAGCTGCTCATGCTCAGTTGTTTGTTTTCACGGAGCCCCCGAATCAAGCCTCTATTATATACTGAACCTATATCCATTATCATTTATATACTGAATGTAATGTAATCTAATGTTCTAAAGGGTGTCCTGTGTTTCCAGGTGTTCCAGACGTCCAGTGAGAAGCTGGAGGCGGCGGCGCTCTCTGCTCTTCAGGCTCTCACGTCCTGCGTCTCTCGCTGCGTCCAGAGCTCTGACTCCGAGGACAGTCTCAGCTGCTTCCTCGACCTCCTCATCAAAGGTCCTCACACACAGCACACTACAAGAGCCGTGGACATTGAGACGGATTGAAGTCTATTTGTATAGCGCCACTCAAAGGCCTCAACAAAACAACATCAGAAAACTATCACACAAGGCATTAAAATCATAAATAATCACTGTGCATTCAAAAGAGTGAAGATAAAAATGCCTCTAAACTGCACTGTTTTTAACCTGGATTTGAACGTAGTCAGAGAAGAAGCTTGTCTCCCATTTTCAGGAAGACTGTTCCAGATTTCAGGTGCATGAATCTGAAATGCTGCCTCCCCATGTTTAGTGCTGACTCTGGGACCAGCAGGAGGCCAGTCCCTGTGCTCCTCAGTCTTGCTATAGACTTGTACAGTCTATTCTCTGAGCCACACAAAGCCAGTCCTTTTACTTTTACTTTGTTTCAGTGCATTTGAAATAACAAAACAAATAAAGAAATATTTATTCACATACATTTTTAAGGATTTTGTTGAACTGTAATAATAATTTTAAATGTCTGTGTGTATATGTGTGTGTGTCCCGTGTCCTACAGACTGTAAGCACCATCTGAGTGAACCAGACCTGAAGCTGGTGTGGCCCAGTGCCAAGCTGCTGCAGGCGGCCTGTAGCGCCTCCATCAGGGCCAGCCACATCATTACAGCCGCCGTCATCCCCAACCTCATAGAGCAGTACAACAGTCGCACACAGGTGGGAACACAGCATTCAGCACCACCACACACACACCAACACACACCACACCACCAACACACACACAGGCTCTGCTTTACTTTACTAATACTTAAAACTGAATCATGTGACAATGATACTTGAGATACTTTAATAAAAATTTAAATTATGACCTAAAATAATTTTCCCAAACGTGGACATTTCTTCAACTATATTTCTCAAAATTGGAGGAAGGGAAGAGGGGGTTTATAAAATTTAAAATATGGGAGAACCTCATTTTTGTACATTCTGTAAATTGTTTGATTGATCTTATGTTTTGCTTAATAATATTGTAATTATAAAAAAAAACCCTACATTTCTCAAAATTAACGAATTACTAATCAGACGTTTTATTTGAAGTTTTTATTTACTTGAAACTTACCAGAAACTTTTCCTAAACATCCCACTTCTTCAGATCAGATGTGGATGTGTGACCGGTGCACTTCTTGTTCCCTCAGTGCTCACAGCGGCGGACGTTACTCGAGGTGTTGCAGAAGTTTATCCAGTCTGTGAAGTCGCTCGGCTCCACAGAAGCCGGTGAGCGAATGATCGATAATAACAGAAGTAGAGGACCCACAGGACGCACAGTATTGAGCCGTGTTTGTCTCCCCTTAGAGGACAATGCTCTGTTCCCGTATCGATCCTCGCTGTGTGGCGTGGTCTTCTCTGCCCTCACCGAGACCAACGACAGTTTGCAGATCCTCGCCACCTCAGCCCTCGCTTCATTGGCTCAACAAACAGGTGAGAATGTTCTACACTCCACATTCAACCACATTCATGGACTTAATTAACATTCATGAACATTGGTCATCTGCCCCTTTTGGACCAATTCTTGGGTTTCATATGACATCGAGGCAGTGGTGCGAATGACAAACGTGGGAAAGGACGTGACGTACCCTGGCGGTGCAGTCTGCCGGGTTTATACACGGAGTAGGGATGTAAACCGGTGACCGTTTAACCGGTGGTTGACCGTCACAGAGTTAACCGGTCAAAGCTGTCGGTTAAAAAAAGTAAAGGGGGAGAGGGAAGGTCTCTTAATAACGCTATTTTAAGCCCTATTTGCACGGTGTGACGAGCGGGTCTGTCTCCAGCTCTGTGCGCCAATGTTTTAGTAAACTCTGTGCTGACTTTCATGCCACACGCGCCACATATGCACGCACACATGCACACGCAAACACGCGCGTACAGACACACACACATTCCCCCCCCCATTGATACGTAACATCTACACGCATCATCTCTCCCCTCTGTTACTAATTCACCAAAGTTGCACACTGGTGCGGGTCAGAACTACATTGGAGCTTGTATTTACACACACACATACACATACATGTATTGTACACACACACATACCGGTCTGTCACGCTCCTGTGTGTTACGGAGCCCAAAGGATCCTCACAAATACGCGGCTCCAGTCAAACCAGATGGGAACATGTTTGTGTTTATGGTCCTTGGCATCAGCTCCACACACATCACTTGTATTGAAACTTTAGCGGAGACCTGCGAGACGCAGCGCGTCACTCGCTGCTCTTACAATGTGAACGAGCCCTTTTGCTTAAAAATGCTTTAACCAGCAGTACAGCAGAATGGGAAGATTAAAACAGCAGTTCTCTGTGCGCAAAGGTGCCAAAGCTGTTGCTGGTTTTGGCGCTGCTGTCTCGGCTCTGATCCAGTAGAACGCATAGATACACTTATGGAAAGTACGTTGCTCGAAATGGCTGTTATTTCAAAGAACCTGGGATATTTTAAACTACACGGTTAACCGGTTTCAACGGGTTAATGAGGCTCGGTGGTCGGTCATGAAAATTCATAGTTTTTTACATCCCTAACACGGAGCTATAGTAGAAGAAGAAGCGCTGTCAAAATTCCATCTTTTTGTGCGTTTTACGCTTGTAGCATCCGCACAAACGGAGAGAAAGACCAGAGTTTGTTCATGTTCCAACTGTGGTCTCATATAAAGGAGGGCACTTTAAAAAAATCACTCCAAGGAGGCGGGCGAGGTGGATCAAGGCTTTCCCGGATAAGCGCCCCCGAATGAAACGCAGCAATTTCTTCTGTCTTCTTGTGGGATCCAATTTAACTTTGGGAATATGTATGAAGGCCAAATAGAACTTTAAGTATGTTTAAAGCAGAGAAAAGTCAAAATGCAATGTACGGGACCTTAAGGAGGGGACAAAACTCTTACTGAAACTTTCTGCTTCCACCTTTAATGTTCTGTGTCTGCGTTTTGAAGGCAGCAGAGTAAAGTGGAGGAGGGTCCGAGTCTCTGCTAACTGCGTTTTAACAGCGTGGTCTGTTTGGTTTGCCATAAATAACCTACATTCTCCCTTTATTGCAGGACTTTTGGATGAATCTGACATAGAATTGGCAGTGGATCACCTCACCAAGTTGTTACTCACAGACGAAGACGAGAGAGTGTGGTACTGTTGACTTCTGGATCATGGAATCTTTACAACGTTGTGATTAATTCATTTCTAATTATTTTTATTCATCCTTTTGCAGCCGTGCAGTGGTGGACTGTGCTGGGACTTTAGCTGCCGAACACCCAGCGCAGTTCATATCCAGAATGATTCCAAGGTTGAAGATGGAGACGTTTGCAGGTAAGACACAAGTTGGTGCTATTCTGGGATCTGGGAATGTTGATGATGGTGATGATTCGATACTTTTGTGATATTTGGGCCACAATTTAATGTGATTTTGATTGATCATGTCCCTCATATTATTCAAAGACATTTCAAACATGGAGGAAAATAAGACTCAACTCTAATCTCACATTTATTATGGTCTGCACATTAAATAATAAGTGCAGTTATCCTTAAACATCCAGGACACAGACCTTATTATCAGGTCTGGTCTAGATTATCACTCTGGTCTCAGGTCTGGTCTAGTTTCTGGTAAAGTCTGCAGCAGCATCCTAGGTCCTAGGTCATGTGATCACATTTACCAATTCTCACCTCTAATAAATGGAAACTGCACTTTTGAATTATCACAAGTTATAACAAGTTTTGTTCAAATGTTCAATGGCTCCTCTGTTGACGCTCCTGTTGACGCCCCTGTTGATGCTCCTGTTGACGCTCCTGTTGACGCTCCTGTTGACGCTCCTGTTGACGCTCCTGTTGACGCTCCTGTTGATGTTCCTCTGTTGACGCTCCTGTTGACGCTGCTGTTGATGCTCCTCTGTTGACGCTCCTGTTGATGCTCCTGTTGATGCTCCTCTGTTGACGCTCCTGTTGATGCTCCTCTGTTGACGCTCCTGTTGACGCTCCTGTTGACGCTCCTGTTGACGCTCCTGTTGATGTTCCTGTTGATGTTCCTCTGTTGACGCTCCTGTTGATGCTCCTCTGTTGACGCTCCTGTTGACGCTCCTGTTGACGCTCCTGTTGACGCTCCTGTTGATGTTCCTCTGTTGACGCTCCTGTTGATGCTCCTGTTGACGCTCCTGTTGATGTTCCTCTGTTGACGCTCCTGTTGATGCTCCTGTTGACGCTCCTGTTGACGCTCCTGTTGATTCCAGTGCCCCTGGATGCAGACGTCCCGGAGGCCTCTCAGGGGCCTTCTCATCAGAGCCTCCGTGGGCGCTGTGTGGCTGCCCTGGCGTCGGTGAGTCGTGGGCCCAGTGTGGTTCAGCAGAGCACCCCTGTCCTGCTGGAGCTCATCTCTGCTGCTCACACCGGTAACTTGGTATTTATATTTTTAATTATACTTTGATATAAGCTCTGACATGAGGTATAACAGACCATTCATCATAATTGAAAATCAGTCCAGGAGCCATTAAAAGAGCCGTGTTTATCCTTATGAGTTACTATCATCTGTTTTATTTTATACAGGTGAAATCACTAAAATACATGCAAAGGGTTACAACAAGCACCAGCGGGGCTTGTTGTACCCAAGCACCCAAGTCTCATAGCACCAGCGGGGCTGGTGCTATGAGACTTGGGTGGCATCTCTGACTGCCACCCCCCTGACCCAGAAATGGATTAAAGGGAAGAAAATGGATGGATGGATGGGTTACAACAAATTTCCAATGATATAATTTTGTTAACATGGGACCGTTGTGCAGGAAACTAATGCCACAAAAAGAATGATTTGGGATTTATTGCATTGTATAATTCAATTCTTGAATCAACTCAAAATTTAAAAAAAACATTGGATGAAATCATTGTGGAAAATGTTAAACTTTATGAATCCATTCTTACTTGTCTTATACTTACACTGCCGCTCTCTTTGGAGAAACGTTGGTGAGACTAATTCCTGCAGCAGAAGGATATTTATGTTTAGAAATCTACAGCTTTGGTTTTGTTGTAGACTGTAAGCTCCAAAACTTAGATTCAATTGTAGAATAATGGTTATCTCGGAGGACTTTACAAAGCTGTCAATTCGCCAACTCAGATCAGAGAATCAGACAGTTTTAACACACGAAAGGTAATGATAATAAACACTTTGGTTCATTAGAGGCAGACGACCAAAGTCCATAAAGGTTTTTTAATGTGGAGTGTCCTGGATCATCATCTCTGTCTTTGGACCGTCCTGCATCGGCAATGAATAACTCTAAAAACCCATTTGGAGAAAAGCCCACATTGAGGCAGGACTGAGGCAGCTCCCAGGCGAGGAGGGGGCGCAGCCCAGTCCGAGCCGGGGAGGACAGTCCAGACACAGATGAAGGAGACCGGGATGAACCCAGGCTTTGTGTTTGTGTGCAGGCAGTGTCCAGTTCACGATGGAGGACGTGGTGTTGGCGTGCCACGGTCTCCAGAGGATCGCAGACCAGGTCCAGGTCTCAGAGGAGACAGAAGAGACCGGCCGCTGCTTCCACCATCTCATCATCCCTCGCCTGCTCTCCCTGGCGCTACAGGCCGCTCTCCAAGGTCTCCTATGTTTCTACTCTACATCAGTCTGTGCACAAGCATTCATTCCTCCAGATGTCACTGTTTACATCTAACTGTTTGGTTGATGCAGATGTGCCCAGGCCCAGTCCTTTGCTGGAGGAGAGCGTTCTTACTGCCATGGTTCCTGTCATCAGCTCTTCCTGTTCCAGACTTCAGCCAAAGTGGGTGAAACTCCAACGCAGCAGAGACGGTCCTCTCCTGAATAGAACTCATCACATCTTGTTGTGCTTCCAGGTTCGCAGAAGAAACGGCGTCCAAAGCAGTGTCTCTCTTCTTGAACGGCGATGTCTCGTTTTTACCAGACAACTCGTTTCCTTCACAGATTCAGCTGCTTAAGGTTTGTACTCAACACTAACTCTAACTCCAGGGACTCTGTGGCCTTCTGACGAGGACTCCCAGAACTATTATTATTATCATTATTATTATTACTAGAACTACCAGAGCCATCATTTTGACTGCTCCCTTTCAAAGTAATTGAATTTTGAGAATTTGTGTACCCAAAACAGCATAGTTTTCCTCCACATTATTAAAAGTAAGAATTTATTAGAATTCTTTCCCTTTACTCACTTTTATTAAGTGCCAAACCTGTGTAACAGCAAAAACAGTTCATATTAATGACCAAATGCTAACTTCTGATTAGTAAACAGTGTGAAACACCAAGCTAACTCAGCTCAGAACAAGGACCAGTCTAGGACCAGTCTAGGACCAGTCTTGGACCTTAAATTGCCAGAGAAAGTTGGTTACCAAGCAACACGAAAATAGTTAGTTTTATAATGAGATAGATGCCAAAAATCTGCTGCTCTGGGAGTTTTAATAAAGCTTGGTTTGTAAATCTCTCTGTTGTGAGATCAATAAAGTTAATTTTATCTTATCCTCAGGGCGACTGCTGGCGACAGTCCCAGATGGTGTGTCTGCTCATGGGCTGCGTGTGCGCTGCTCCACGCGCGGTAAGTGTCACACTCTTCATGTTCAAGAAGCAAATCAGTTTTATTTGTTTAGCACAAAATCACAACAACAGTCGTCTAGAGGGGCGTCACAGAGAGGTCCTCAGGTCCAGGGAGTCCAGGCTTTAAGACTGGAGACTCCTCCTCAGGTCCAGGGAGTCCAGGCTTTAAGACTGGAGACTCCTCCTCAGGTCCAGGGAGTCCAGGCTTTAAGACTGGAGACTCCTCCTCAGGTCCAGGGAGTCCAGGCTTTAAGACTGGAGACTCCTCCTCAGGTCCAGGGAGTCCAGGCTTTAAGACTGGAGACTCGTCCTCAGGTCCAGAGAGACCCGGGTTTAATCCTTTGAGGCCGGGAACGCATTCCCGCATTTCTACCTCTCGAGCCGGGGGCGCTGTTGCGCACTTCTACCTCTGAGGCCGGGAAAGCGGACACGTCTGTTTATCTTTGTTTGACCAGAAATGAGACATTTTTGCAGATCTGCAATTTCCAGTGTGTGGGACATTACAACAGTTGTGTATGTACGGTGCAGTGTGTAATGTTGTGTACCATGTGTGTGTCGTGTGGTGCAGGTGGAAGTGCCGCACCAGGATGAGCTGCTGTCTGCTCTGGAGGAGCTGAGCCTCTCCTCCTCTCACACTCTGTCCTACACCTCTGCGGCAAAATGTTACGCTGGACTGGTCAACAAGAGGACACCGGGTCAGTCTGGGACACGCAGCTTCACAACAAACCAAACGCAGTTAGAAAATGTATTGATCCAGCAGAAACGCATCCATTTAAACAAACACATAAATTAACAATAGTAAATTAAAACTTTAGGTCCCAGCAGCAGGAGGTGAGCTGCTTCGTTTTGCTTCAGACCATTTTCTCTGCTCTGGTCTGGATCAGTGTAAAACCATGAACACTTTACTGCAGAAACATTTACAGATAGACAATAGCAAGAAAAATAACAAATGTAAAACACACAAAAACAAGCACTTTCAAAAATAGTCAACAATTTAGTTGATTTGATTAGAATGTTACATGCAGGTTTAAAAAATAAATAAAAATTTGATAATTATGGCCTCTTGTTATTTTTGATTGTAGAATATCTACTAATACTCAGTTCAGTTCTTAAAGGCCTTTCATAATGTAAAATGTCCCCACAGGTGAAGCTCTGGACAGTCTGGTCCAGAGGACCGTGAAGAGGGTCTGCTCTGAGCTGGACAATCCCAAGTCCGGTGTGCGCTCCCAGGCCTTCACCCTCATGATCTGGGTACAATGTCAGCTTCATGCGTCTGAACTTTTCAGAGTTTGTACTTTTTATGGTTCTTTTAATCAACAGGTGGCCAAGGCTCTTCTCCTCAGATACCACCCCCTGTCCGCCACTCTGACAGACAAGGTGGATACATGTTTTCTGCTCAGATGTAACTATGAAGTATTTAGTATATTAATGCTTTCATGTGTCCCACAGCTCTTCTCTCTGCTGGATGATCCAGACCTGGGTTCAGTGGCAGCAGACGGCTTTTCTCTCCTCATGAGTGACTCCAGTGACGTTCTGAACAGAGCGCTCCACGCAGACGTTCGAATCATGTATCGCCAGAGATTCTTCACCGACAACTCCAGCAAACTGGTGCAGGGCTTCCACGCAGCCACAGGTACTGACACAGGTACTGACACAGGTACTGACACAGGTACTGACACAGGTACTGACACAGATACTGACACAGATACTGACACAGGTACCGACCGCAGCATTAAACACTGAAGGTTACTTAATGTAACCCCGTTTCTTTGAGAACATAGTGAGGTGTTTGGCTCTGTGAATGGCCTTGAGCGTGACCATCCATTAAACTAATGGCACTCCGACAGGTTGACAGCACCTATTACTGCCCAAACAAGAACCAGAAGCGACAAGGTTTTAACCCAAATAATCTTGTTCGGTCTGATTCTGTCATATTCAACACGTTAACAGAACTGTGTACTATACTCGATAGGCTTGTATGTAAATGAAAACATTTTTCTTCCCGTTTCAGAAAGGAAGTCCAACTATCTAAAAGCTCTGTCCAACATCGTCAACAAACTGCCAAAACAAGTGCAAACGACTGAGCTCCCAGCTGTGAGTAGTGTCTGTAGTCGTCGGGGGGTCATTCTTGATGGATTTTCATTTTCCAGTCACGTTTTGTTTACAAATCTGAAGAATATGGAGTACGCAAAACAAATACTTTGGAGTTGCTTCCAAACCAGTCTGATGCCTCTGCTCTCAGTCTATATACAGTATGTATATATATATATATAAGTGCTGTCCAAAATATCGCGTCATTTTTTTAATCGCGCGATTTTTTTAATTTTTTTTTTACTTTTTATTGCAGACAAACACATATACAGAAAAAAAAATAGAAACAAAGAAAAGGACTAGTTCAGATACATTGTAGACAGAGATTACAAACAATATGTAGTTGGAGATACAGGGGGCCAAAGAAGAAACCCAGAAGGGCACATAGGGGAGGGGGGGGACATGAAGTGGGAGATGGGGGGGTTAATAAAAAAGGCAATACAAGCAAACAGTATACAGTCATAGATATACCAAAAGTAAACAGAGAAACAGCATAGAGTATTTACATGAACAAATTTACAAAATATTAAAAAAAGCAATTGCACACAGCACGCCTATTCACTTTTTAGTAGTATCAAAATGATAATTCAAGGGACATAAAGAATAGATACAAATGTGTGACTAATTTGCGATTAATCGCGAGTTAACTATGAAATTCATGTGATTAATCGCGTTTAAATATTTTAATCGTTGGACAGCACTAATATATATATATATATATATATATATGAATATATAAAGTACATGAGGCACCAGTGAAGCAGAGGAGGCTTTCTAATGGCGTCTCGTAACTTTGGCCTATTATTCATATTTTAGGATTGGAATTATAAATAAAACTGATCTTGTACATACAATATGAACACCATTTTGTCAACGGCATGTTTTCACAAGTTATTACATTTCTGCAGAACAATATATGTTTTTACAGAAACTCCTTTTTCTCAAGACGCCTTAAACAAGTAGCTTTTTGCCATTTTATTTTATTTTATTTTTACTGTTTACTGTTTAGTTTTATTGTTCTCTCATCTCATGCCGTGTGCTCCTCCTACTTTTCTGTAACTGGTGATGCCTGTCCTCTTTCCTCAGCCTTGTCTCCTCTCTCCTCTTTCATGAATATAAATGAAATGAAATGCAACACTGACATTTCTCCTCTGTGAGACAAACATAGAATAAAATGTTGGAGACGCCTGTTTTAGATGAATTCAAACAGACTATTGTAATATTATTCTCAGCAGATTCTCCTCCTCCCTGATTATTGAATGCTATCTTCAGACCCATTGCTGACGTGGCTGTCTCTGTGTTGCAGCTGCTGTCGCTGCTGCTGGAGGGTCTGTCCTGTCCCGACCTCACTGTCCAGATGTCCACTCTGTCCTGCCTGCAGCCCGTCCTGGTGCAGCCTCCCCCCGCGCTCCTGCAGCAGCTGGAGGCTCTGGTCAGCAGGCTCCTGGCGCTCACCTCCAGCCCCGCCATGGTACCTCCCCTCTGCCCATCCTAACCTGCCTTCAGTGGGTGATGGTCTGACCTCTGTCTCTGGTTTTGCTTCTGCAGGACGTGAGGATGGGGTCTCTGAGGTGCATCCAGGCTCTCTCACACTTCCCTTCACACGAGGTGAGGCTGGGTCTCTAGGTTTGGAGGTGCAAATGTCACTGCAATGAAAAGGACCAGTGAATATGAGTGAATTTAACCATATTTTCAATCAAAGAATAAAAATACCATGTATCAGTTAAATAAACTGTCTCTGTGACCATTAACATGCAATTATTTGGCACTCTTTTAAAAACCACTTTTGAAACCACTTTGAATGTGCTCTTTAGTGAAAAGTAAAACGCATCTCTCTCTCCTCTGTCCTCTCTCCTGTCCCCTCTCCTCTCTCCTCTGTCTTCTCTCCTCTCTCCTCTCTCCTCTGTCCTCTCTCCTCTGTCCTGTCTTCTCTCCTCTCTCCTCTGTCCTCTCTCCTCTCTCCTCTGTCCTCTGTCCTCTCTCCTCTGTCCTCTCTCCTCTGTCCTCTCTCCTCTGTCCTCTCTCCTCTCTCCTTTCTCCTCTGTCCTCTCTCCTCTGTCCTGTCTTCTCTGTCCTCTCTCTCTCCTCTGTCCTCTCTCCTCTCTCCTCTGTCCTCTGTCCTCTCTCCTCTGTCCTCTCTCCTCTGTCCTGTCCCCTCTCCTCTCTCCTCTCTCCTCTGTCTTCTCTCCTCTCTCCTCTCTCCTCTCTCCTATCTCCTCTGTCCTCTCTCCTCTCTCCTCTGTCCTCTCTTCTCTCCTCTGTCCTCTCTCCGTTCTCCTCTGTCCTCTGTCCTCTCTCCTCTGTCCTCTCTCCTCTGTCCTCTGTCCTTTCTCCTCTCTCCTTTCTCCTCTGTCCTCTCTCCTCTGTCCTCTCTCCTCTGTCCTCTCTCCTCTCTCCTCTGTCCTCTCTCCTCTGTCCTCTCTCCTCTGTCCTCTGTCCTCTCTCCTCTCTCCTCTCTCCTCTGTCCTCTGTCATCTCTCCTCTGTCCTCTCTCCTCTCCTCTGTCCTCTGTCCTCTCTCCTGTCCTCTCTCCTGTCCTCTCTCCTCTCTCCTCTGTCCCCTCTCCCCTCTCCTCTCCCCTCTCCTCTCTCCTCTGTCCTCTCTCCCCTCTCCTCTCTCCTCTCTCCTCTGTCCTCTCTCCTCTCTCCTCTGTCCTCTGTCCTCTGTCCCCTCTCCTCTCTCCTCTCTCCTCTGTCCTCTCTCCTCGCTCCTCTGTCCTCTCTCCTCTCTCCTCTGTCCTCTCTCCTCTCTCCTCCCTCCCCTGTCCCCTCTCTCCTCTGGTGTAGATCCTTCCGTTCAGAGGCCGGGTGCTGCGAGCTCTGTCCAAACCTCTGGACGACAGGAAGAGAAAGGTGCGGAGTGAAGCGGTCCAGGCCAGAGGGGAATGGTAACGACCTGTAACTCTGCATCGTGGCTGTTTTCCTTCAGATCTGTCTCTGTCTCACTCTCTGCTCTTTCCTCAGGTTTCTTTTAGGAAGTCCTGGAGGGAGGTGATGACTGCCAACATTATTTTTTTAAACTTTAGTCCCTGTACTTTCACATGTCCTTTTCTATAACACATGTCTGGCCTCCTGAATGTCATGAAGCTGCATTTTATTTGGAGATTACGCACAAGAACAGATGACTGTGGTCCCTGGCTTTATCGTGCTTCATCTTTCGCTGTTTGGAAGATTATTTTTTGTGGCCAAATGTTTTCTTTTTTGCTGTTTATCTCTTACTGTTTTGTGTATGTACTAAAATGCAGTGAGTAGTTCAGAGGTCTCTCTCTGGTCTGATTCTGGTCTCTCTCGGGTCTCTCTCTCTGGGGTCTCCCTATATGGTCTCTCTCTCTGGGCTGATTCTGGTCTCTCCTCTTAGGTCTCTTTCTGTTCTCTCTCTGGTCTCTTTCTGTTCCCTCAGGTCTCTCTGGTCTATCTCTGGTCTCTCCCTGGTATCTCTCTGGCCTCTTTCGGGTCTCTCTCTGGTCTAACTCTGGTCTCTCTCTGGTTTCACTCTGGCCTCTCCCTGGTCTCTCTCTGGTCTCTCTCTGGTCTCCCTCTCTCTGGCCTCTCTCTGGTCTCTCCCTGGTATCTCTCTCTGGCCCCTCTCTATGCTCTCTCTCCGGCCTCTTTTGAGTCTCTCTCTGGTCTCGCTCTTGTCTCTCTCTGGTCTCTCTCTGGTCTCTCACACTTCAGCAGTCATGAGTTTAGAAAAGTGTGAGTGGTTTTAATGCCTTAAAACAAACAGCTGCTAATTCCTGAAATTAGCTTATTGCTAGTTATCTTTGGAACGTTACCCCCGCGATAAACCAGGGTCCACTGTATCTCGGATAACGACTGATTTGATTGGTCTGAAAGTGGAATCATCAGGTTTTGAGCGTCCAGACATCGATAATCGAGTCAGATTTCAGATTGTTGCAGATTTTCTTTTCTCATTGGTCTCACGCTTCATGTCAAAGATCTGAAATCACTTGATACAATCCTCGCTTCTGTTGATGGTTGTGTAAAGTCTGAGAGATTATGCTAAACACAAGGCTAAAGCGGAGATCATCCAGCCAACTACAGCTCTGCTAATGACATGGAGCCTTTAGAATTGTGCCGATACTGAGAAAATAAGCAATAATTATTGAGATGACAAAGATTTTTCACTTTATCTGTGACGTACTTGTTTAGAGAGAAACCATCATCGTCAAAAAAAGAAAATCCATATTGGTTGTTAATTATTTCAGATCAGCACATGTTTGAAGCAGTGAACTTGAATATTTAACCTTTAACAGTTGTTTGTTTTGTGTCTGAAAAAAGCTCTAAAGCTGAGATAATAATTTCAAAGACGCTCCAGGTCTGATTTCCTACAGCAGGAGTTTGTGAACGATCCAAGTACCTTTATGTATTGATTGTAATGATTTCACAAACTGAACGATGTATTGTTGCCATAAGAAACTTCACTTTATGCCAAGGATCAAGACTGTTTGATGTCAAAGTCCAGATTCCATTAAAGACTTGAATCTGTGTTTACCACGTTTAGAACATTCTCCTTTTTATTATGAACCAACATAAACCGTCAATTCTTCATTTTACAGATGGTCACACTTTCATTTAGCCCTCGCTTTCTTTTATTATATACTTTTACTCACTTTTTACTAATCTTGTTAAAATGCCATCTGCGGGTTCCCATGGTAACCAGGACTCACTCTTCTTAATACTCACATGTCAAAAATGATTAATTCCATGAAAAGAACAGAGAATACACTACAAAAGCAGAGTAGATTCACTTCTGTTGTGGTCAAACCTGCAGGAGGAAGCCAGGTCCTGTCTCATCTCAGCAGGACAGGGCCTGGTAAGTGCTGTGATGGGAGACCTCTGGGAAGATCAGGTGCCACAGCAGCTGCGTTTTTTAATCCTAGTGTGATTCTAGGGTCAAATAAACCTCCAGAACGTTTCAAAAATACCCTAAATGCTTTTTTTTACAAGCTGAATTTAGATTTTTCCTAACTTGACCAGCTCTGGGGCATTTGGATCCTTTTAGACCCTAATTTAGGGAATGTTCTTCTACTTAAACCATCTGCGGCAGGTAATCTTGACCCGAGGGTAGGGGTTAAGTGCCAGACTGTGTGTCCTTTGGAAAGACAGATTAGAATGAGTCTGGTGTGTTTGTGAATCACTGTGTATGGAGTCAATTAATAATGACATGAAGCGTCTGAGTGTCCAGAAGAAGTTGTACAAAACCAAATCATTTTTACTGAAACTAAACATGTCAATTCTCTCTGAGTTCTAGTGTCGAGCTCTTTGTTTTACGTGGCCTTTTTCAACATATATCATCTAACACTGGGTTGGAATACACTTAATTGTATCCCAACCCACTATTTTCATCCAAGTGGTACTGATGCTATTTCTAAAGTCCTGCTGTATTTAATGAAAGACAAAACCAAATCTTGGAAAACATTAATTTATTGGAGAATGCAAAGGAGCACAGCTCGTTTGTTTCTCACGTTGGCATCAGGCTCATGTTTAGTTCAGATGGTGTTGAAATGCACAGGATGCTGGCGTCACGCTGCCCGATGAGTGAAGGCACAGAATCCTGCTCTTTAAGATTTGGTCAAAATGGAGAAGGTGCACTTTCCACCGGCTTTTTGCGGCAAACAAAACACACAACTGCATAAAAAACAGGTCCGAGATGCAACCCAGCAGCATCTCCCATAGAAAAACTCCTCTGTATTCAACTCTATGGCACTAATGGATAAAGGGCTCAGTCTCCAGAATCTCCAGTTTATAACAATTCAAGACACATAGAAATAAAATGCATTTGTAAACGGATAAAACAGTTGAGGAAATGTGTGTAGAAATGCTGGACCACGAGTGATGAGTGTGTGGGGCTCAGATGGCCATGGGGTCCTTGCGGCTGAAGAAGCAGTCCCACACGATGCCGTCTCCTTTGGGGGGGTGAGCGGAGGGCAGCAGCACCCGGGTCAACCAGTGACTGAAGACAGACGCAAAAACTGTTAAGTCCATGATAAACGCAGGTTCAGGCTGCAGTATAAAGCCCAGGCACTTTTTACAAACCTGGCAACGTAACCCAGAGACCTCTTGACATTGTTACATTCATTAAACTTGATAATATTAACTCCAAACTACTTAGGATAGGATTACAAAGAGATGTGATCTTTGTAGTTTACCTTCTTGTTTCGACTCCAAACAGCAGCTTCCAGTTGTTCAGTCCTCCGTGATGATAAGGATTTCTAAAGACCTGAAGGAGAAACACACGTGAGACGCAGGACTGTGATTGGATAGTTGTGCGTTGGTCCGTACCATAGACTGTAGATTATAATAACTGGGTATTACTAGCTTACAGCTGTCCCACCCATGGGCACAGGGGGCGCCCGTGGTACTGCAGACTAAATTCACACGGACTACCCAGAAAAAAGTCCCATGGAACTCAATGTAAACGAAAACAGCTCGACCTCAGCTGACAGAGAACCTACAGCTTTCATAAAGATCGGATTTTGTGGGAATTTCAGTGTCCCTTGTCAATCCTTCTTTGTATCCACACTTTAGAGCCACAAACTCTGCCCGTCTGGCTCCCTCTCTAACTCCCACTCTGATCAGCAGCTCTGATTTTTTCAGAGCGCGGCCGAGCCCCTCTGTGCACGTGCATGAGAGCCTCACACGCGTATTTGGCGCAAAGCATCATGGGAGCTCGTCCACTGCTATGTCAGCGCCCATGAAGTCCCATGCGCTACTGAGCACAAGCCATTCATTTGAATAGGGCGCCATCTTGGATCACTGGGGCTTGTGTCACGCTTATCTCAGCCGTTCAGTTTCAAAATGGCCGCGGGGGCTGGAAAATGTGAACGAACGCATCTGTGCATGCTTCAACCGGCTTGAGCCCCATTCATTTAAACAAGTGCCTTCTAAAGTCCTCAGCGACTAAACGAGACTGGTCCAAAACACCCCCCTCAGCATTGACACACATGTGGAACGGAGCTTTGGGCCAAGAGCAACTTTTGGTCCATCCTGTAAAGACGTTTTTGAGAGGTAAAAATATGCTATATGTTAGCATTGGCTAATTCTTATTCCGGGTCCACCCCCATCGGCACACGTCATTTTGGCCACTTTTGAGCCGGGACCCGCCCCACTGGTCCGTACCCTGCCCTTCTCCTGCAGCCTCCGGATCTCCTTCTTGTTGATGTGTCGCTCCACACTGGTCTCTCCTCTGGTTATAAGCACCGCATGCCACAGAGTCAGACCCCCCAGAGCCACCGTCACAGAGCTGCACACACACAGTATACACACATCAGTATTCATATATACACACTATATAGAGTATCAGTACACACACACACCCTAACTTGAACAAATGACTGTTTAATGTGTAATAGTTTTATGGTGGAAGGAATTTTGGACCATTCTTCTTTGTAGATCTTTAGTTCAGTCAGGTTTGAATCACATCACAAAAGTTCAATAATATTCAGGTTTGGTGACTGAGATGGTAAACTTCTGCATACTGCTGTTTTAAAGGCATTGCCAATGCATCATATTTAATAATAACACTTAAAAATTAAAGATACATCTATATTTATATTTTATGGCGATGACTTGTTACCAACCTCGTCAGGACCCAGAGGAAGATGATGCACTTGTGAGCAGTGGTCTCTTTAAAGGTGAATTCTGGAGGAGGGGTCTGGTAGTAGCTCTGGCAAAAACGCATAAATTAAAGAGGAAAAAAGCCATTTAGGTAAAAAATAAGAGCAGACAAAAACACAACATTTAGACAATACAAAGAAACTAGAACCGTAAGTGCATATTAAAGGTTGATATCACTTATGTTCACTACAAATTTTTGGTAGTTTAAAATCATTTATTTAAGGAGCAGCAAAATGTGGCCAAAAGTGGTACTGCAGCCTCTCCCACTCTCCCTGACTCAGGTTGCCAGATATGCAGACGAATCCAGCTGGGACCATAACAGCTTTGTCAACAACAAATCTATAACCAACACCTTTTTCACAAAGATAGAAATCCTGGTTTTATTCCTTGTTTTGTCGTTAATGATTTGAGAATCATAACGAGACCTTTTTTAGTTCTGCGCCACATGGTACTTTACCAGTGAGATTAGCTCCACGCGGTGAGTTCTGGCGCCCGGATCACAGACTTTCTGATTGGTGAAACGGTGGAGGGCGGGACATCGAAATGAAAACAATAAGATTTAGGGACTGGAAAACTGTTTTTGAAATCAAAATCAGATAAAGAAGATTTCTAAAATGACATGTTTTATTAACGTCTTTTGACAGATTAGGGCCTTTAATGATGACTTGACATGAACATCTTACATATTGCGACTTTAAGTTTGTGACAAAGAGATGATGGAACTTTTTTTGGCTGGGGCAGTGCGTAGGAACTGTACCAGGAACTAGTTGAATTGATGTAGTTCCTTTTTTACTCTAGTTGTTTTTGTCGTTTGAATATTGGGTACCGCAGCTTTAACTCACAAGAAAAGCCATTCTGTGACGTGAAGGTGTGACCATGGCATATATGATGCAGCTGAATCTTTATTAGTGGTATTTTTTCATTGGACCGGGGGTCGTTTTTCATGTGGGTATCTTTTTTTATTTGATTTAGAACATATGTGAGTGTCAGCCAAAATTCTGTTATAAATAAAAACAAAAATATTTACAGAAGAAAAGAGGGAAACATGAGCAATCCAATGTTATCTTGTCTGTTTGTGTAAAGTGTGTTGGCTGATATTTGGCATCTGCAGCTTTAATTTTACCTTTTACAATATGGGAGTAGCCTGGTCGTACCACACCATAGTACACATTTCATTTCGTACTAAGGTCTGGATTTGCTCCATTGACTCCGTTAACAGGTGTGAAGGGTTAACTCCTTTTGCAGATTGAAAACATTGGATCTGAGTTTACCGTGATTAGCCTGGCTATAGCATTTAGCCTAGCTTTAGCATTTAGCCTAGCTTTAGCCATCTCCTTTGCCACTAACGGAGCACGTGGGGAGTAGAGTCACAACATTGCAACTTTGTAGCGATGATATCATAAACATTCCTTTTGCTCCGGCTTCAATTTCTTGACATTTGGAGATGAACTAGAACAGATTGAAGAGCTTCCTTTTAGTTTTTGCGCAAACTCTTGACGTCACCGACACCGACCTACAACACCCGCCTCCCCCGCTCTGTGATTGGTCGGAGGGGATTAAACCGAGGAAACTGCACCAATCGGATCAGACCCAGACGTACATGTAGGAAATGATCATGGACCAGAGTTTACAGATGGCTACTACGGGAGGAACTTTGAGGAAATCATTATGAGGTTTAACATGCCATGGCAGTAATCATAAAGTAGCAAACATTCAATGGGTAGTGACTCTCATTCATTTAACGAGGCGGAGACGGGATCATGTTTGAAGATGGGAAAAGGTCCAAGGGCCGGAAACTCGAATCAGGCCGTGTGTGGCCCCCGAGCCTCACTTTGCCCCGGTCTGCATTAGACCCTGGATCTATTTCATGGAGTTGATTCATGAGATCTTTGTTTACAGCAGGGGTCAGTGAGTGGGGTCAGTCTGTGGGGTCAGAGGTCACACTGCTGGCTCCTCTTTCACTGGACGTGGATCATCTGTTAGAGGCTTTTGTCCTTCCTCCATCTGCATCTACTGCTGTGTTTTCTTACCTCCAGGACGTCAGGATTTACAATGTTAGTTACATTTAGTGTGACAATAAAACAGAAAGGTTTAACAGCTGTTTGTAATGACTGACAAACATGTTTCTCCAACTACGCAGGAGAAAAACAATGAGGTAAGAGGCATCATCTTGACTTAAAGTAGAGATATGTAAGATCTTCACGTCCAGTCATCATTAAAAAGGGCCCTAATCTGTCAAAAGGCATTAATAAAACATGCTCTTTTCCAATATTTCTTTAACTGATAACAGTAGTTCAGAGATATTTGAATTTCTAAATTACTTTTCCAGCCCCTAAATCTTGTTCTTGTTTTAATTTCGATGTCCCGCCCTCCACCGTTTCACCAATCAGAAAGTCTGTGATCCGGGCGCCAGAACTCACCGCGTGGAGCTAATCTCACTGGTAAAGTACCATGTGGCGCAGAACAAAAAAAGGTCTCGTTATTATTCTCAAATCATTAACGACAAAACAAGGAATAAAACCAGGATTTCTATCATTGTGAAAAAGGTGTTGGTTATAGATTTGTTGTTGACAAAACTCTTTATTCAGATATGCAGACAAATCCAGTCAGGGAGAGTGCAGTACCACTTTTGGCCAGATTTTTACATACTGCTCCTTTAAAAGTGCTTTTGACGAGTTTGACACAAAACATATATGATGATTATAGAAAAAACAACGCTAAACGTTTTCTACATTTAATTTGACAGTGCATTTTCTTGGGTTTCATGAACCTGGCCTGTAGGGGGCGAATGAGCAGTGGTGAGACAACTCAGTTTTGCTCCCATTGAAAACCATGTAAAGTCTGTTTTGGAGTCAAAGGCTCTCCTCCTGTGCGGTGTACAGTTGTTGGAACAGTCTTAATCGGAGACACTCAATTCTAAGGGAGTACTAAAAAATATTTCTCAAGTCTTTGGATATTTGGAAAGAAAAATAGTAGAAATTGCTGCGTTTCATTGGGGTGGCCTGCAGGGGGCACTAACTGGGAAAGCCTTGATCCACCTCGCCCGCCTCATTCCAGTGATTTTTTCCAAGTGTCCTCCTTTATATGAGACCACAGTTGGAACATGAACAAACTCCTGTCTTTCTCTGTATTTTTGCGGTTGCTACAAGCGTACACCGCACAAAAAGATGGCATTTTGACAGCGCTTCTTCTTCTACTATATCTCCGTGTATAAACCACTTCTTCTTCTACTATAGCTCCGTGTATAAACCCGGCAGACTGCAGCGCCAGGATACGTCACGTCCTGTCCTACCCAAGAATACTGCAGCCCACATGATTCTGGTGAAGTGGCTCTCACCTCCACAGCGTCGTAGGCCTCCAGGAACAGGTGGCGGCTGCTGATGCTGCAGTAGACACAGCCCAGCGTCATGTAAAGGCAGAAGGAGAAGAAGTAACGGTGGTTAAAATGGCCCACACAGTTGTTTAACCAGGCTGGGGGCGTTTCAGTTAAGATCCATCGATAAAAAACGACAAAAACACAATCAAATATAAAGATCAGACTCTTATATTTTCATCTCCGTTTGACCCAGATTAAGCATCAGGACATTCTAACACTTGTTTATCGTTTAAGGAGCCTAATATTGTTTAAGTAATTCATTCCTAGTTTGTTTCATGTTTGATATAGTTTGTATAGAGAGAGGTTAATAATCAATCGGTGGCTATTGACCCCGAGCATGTGACGTCCCGGCCACGCCCACTCTCCATGACAGACGGCGGAAGTCTAACTGCGAGCCTTCGGAAACTTGACCAAAACAAACTTTTTCACAGAATAACAGCCAAATCTGATATTGTGCAGTGTGGTTGGTTGTTCTAACAGGCGAGGACATAAGCCAAATGTGTTTTTATCTGATACAAGCTCATGATGAAGACAGAAGGCGACGATGGCGGCAAAACACCAAAAGGAGCCATCCAAGTACTCCCGAATATGCAGTGAACACTTTTTACAAGATAAATCAATCACAATTTTGTATTTGTTTTCTTTCCATTAATTTATTTGGAGGAAACGAACGCTTGAAGTCTAACGTGTGCTCTTACTACTGTCCTGTATGTGCGCTGCAACAATGAAATTTCCTCATTGTGGCACGAATAAAGGATCTCTTATCTTATCTTAGACGTCTGTTGCGTTTTTCACCATTTGTCTCTCCGTCAATGTTTCATCTTTGGCTGCAGACAGAAAAGACACAGAAAAGTGGACTAATGCTAATGCGCTAATGCTACCAGCTACATTTACATCTGCTCCAGTGTGAGGAGATGGTAACGACGTAATGGTAAAGATCATTCATTCATCATCATCAGACACTTCATTTAATCGATCAAATTGACTGTGGGGAGAACGTACGGCCGATCCTCAACTTCTCCAAATACTGCGCTTTGTGAGCCCTAACAACATGTCATACTCTCACTGATAACATAACTCGATTTAAGATTCTGGAGTTGTGTCAGTTTTGCTCTCGCTGCAATGCTAGTTTCCACGACTTCCGCCGTAAGCTCATTCACAATCACGTGACTGGATGACGTCGATGCATCTGGTAGCTGTAAATAGTTGAAAATGATTGTTCTTTGGGTCTTCCACTAATGTCTGGCTGCTTAGTGAAGGATACGACAGTGGTGATCCATCTTCAGGATACATCTGCAAAAGAAAACGCCCACAGAATGTCTTTTGTTATGAATATGTGCAAATGATACAGAAATAGTGTTTTCTCACGTGCTGCAGATGCTACAGTGATGCGTCCTGGCAGGCTTTGGAGTGATGCACTTTTTACACATGGACACAGAAGGAACATGGACCTTATCCTAAACACAGAACACAGTCTTTATGAATGTGTATGAACTGGTCTCTCTCTCTCCATGGTCTCTGGCCTCTCCCTGGTCTCTCTCTCTGGCCTCTCCCTGGTCTCTCTCTCTGGCCTCTCCCTGGTCTCTGGCCTCTCCCTCTGGTCTCTCTCTCTGGTCTCTCTCTCTGGTCTCTCTCTCTGGTCTCTCTCTCTGGTCTCTCTCTCTGGTCTCTCTCTCTGGTCTCTCTCCCTGGTCTCTCTCCCTGGTCTCTCCCTGGTCTCTCTCTCTCTCTCTGGTCTCTCTCTCTCTGGCCTCTCCCTGGCCTCTCTCTGGCCTCTCCCTGGTCTCTCTCCCTGGTCTCTCTCTCTGGTCTCTCTCTCTGGTCTCTCTCTCTGGTCTCTCTCTCTGGCCTCTCTCTCTGGTCTCTCTCTCTGGTCTCTCTCTCTGGTCTCTCTCTCTGGTCTCTCTCTCTGGTCTCTCTCTCTGGTCTCTCTCTCTGGCCTCTCTCTCTGGCCTCTCCCTGGTCTCTGGCCTCTCCCTGGCTCTCTCCCTGGTCTCTCTCTCTGGTCTCTCTCTCTGGTCTCTCTCTCTGGTCGCTCTCTCTGGTCGCTCTCTCTGGTCTCTCTCTCTGGTCTCTCTCTCTGGTCTCTCTCCCTGGTCTCTCTCTCTGGCCTCTCTCTCTGGCCTCTCTCTCTGGCCTCTCTCTCTGGCCTCTCTCTCTGGCCTCTCTCTCTGGCCTCTCTCTGGCTCTCTCTCTGGCTCTCCTGGTCTCTCTGGTCTCTCTCTCTGGTCTCTCTCTCTGGTCTCTCTCTCTGGCCTCTCTCTGGCCTCTCCCTGGTCTCTCCCTGGTCTCTCTCTCTGGTCTCTCTCTCTCTGGTCTCTCTCTCTGGTCTCTCTCCCTGGTCTCTCTCTCTCTCTCTCTCTCTGGTCTCTCTCTCTCTCTCTCTGGTCTCTCTCTCTGGTCTCTCTCTCTTCTGGTCTCTCTCTCTCTGGTCTCTCTCTCTGGTCTCTCTCTCTCTGGTCTCTCTCTCTCTCTGGTCTCTCTCTCTGGTCTCTCTCTCTTGGTCTCTCTCTCTGGTCTCTCTCTCTGGTCTCTCTCTCTGGTCTCTCTCTCTCTCTCTCTGGTCTCTCTCTCTCTGTCTCTCTCTCTGGTCTCTCTCTCTGGTCTCTCTCTCTGGTCTCTCTCTCTGGTCTCTCTCTCTGTCTCTCTCTCTTGGTCTCTCTCTCTCTCCCTCTCTGGTCTCTCTCTCTGGTCTCTCTCTCTGGTCTCTCTCTCTGGTCTCTCTCTCTGGTCTCTCTCTCTGGTCTCTCTCTCTGGTCTCTCTCTCTCTGGTCTCTCTCTCTGGTCTCTCCCTGTCTCTGGTCTCTCTCTCTGGTCTCTCTCTCCTGGTCTCTCTCTCTGGTCTCTCTCTCTCTCTCTGGTCTCTCTCCCTGGTCTCTCTCCCTGGTCCTCTCTCCTGGTCTCTCTCTCTGGGTCTCTCTCTCTGGTCTCTCTCTCCTGGTCTCTCTCTCTGGTCTCTCTCTCTGGTCTCTCTCTCTGGTCTCTCTCTCTGGTCTCTCTCTCTGGTCTCTCTCTCTGGTCTCTCTCTCTGGTCTCTCTCTCTGGTCTCTCTCCTGGTCTCTCTCTCTCCCTGGTCTCTCTCTCTCCCTGGTCTCTCTCTCTCCCTGGTCTCTCTCTCTCTCTCTGGTCTCTCTCTCTGGTCTCTCTCTCTGGTCTCTCTCTCTGGTCTCTCTCTCTGGTCTCTCTCTCTGGTCTCTCTCTCTGGTCTCTCTCTCTGGTCTCTCTCCCTGGTCTCTCTCTCTGGTCTCTCTCTCTGGTCTCTCTCTCTGGTCTCTCTCTCTGGTCTCTCTCTCTGGTCTCTCTCTTACCTTGGGTGGGTGTCCGGCTGTGGTGGTGGTGGCCTTGTAGTAGTGAAAGACCACCATGAGCAGGAGCCAGTGTCCGCAGCTCAGGTGCCAGCAGCTCCAGTAGAGCGGGTACGTGCTGAGGATGACGGGCATCACAAACAGGTAGATGATGATGACCACCGAGGACGTGAGCAGGACCACCAGGCTCACAAACACCTGCCACCACAACACGGAAAGAAAGAATTTATTTGACTTTTAAACAAGTTTTAATCGTTACTATAGTTACAAGCATATATTATTTTGTAGGGATAGGTTTGCTTTAATAATAGTTAACATTTAATAAATAAAAAAGTTAATATTAAATAAATAAAATATAATTACATTGATAGCGTTGTATTGTACCTTTATGCCTGAATTGTACGAAGCGTTAAGAAATATGTTGTAATGAAAGTGTATTTAGACATGTATTGTATAGGCTCTGATAGATAACCAACTCTATAAAGATATTTTAGCATAACCAAAAAACGACAATGTCAACACTTTGATTCTAATCTTTTAATGAAAGTACAAAAACATTCATGACTGGCAGCTGTTCTTCTTATGCAACGCTTTCTGATGTGTTAAAAGGACGTGTTAAAGTGCAAGTGCATGTCCAACACAAAAGCAGAACATTACAATATCAATACATCAATTAGACCAGGGGAGTCCAAACATATTTGCAGCAGCGCCACCTTAGTTAGTCTTTTGCTGGATCTGGGCTGTTCTGGGCTTTAGAATGGGCTACGCTAGGTCCATGATGATTCACACTACAGCTACATTAGCAGAATTTAGATATATTTTAAACCAGAGAAGGGCAAGTGTTAGTTACCATTGAAACACATGGTTTACAGTCAGAAGGCAGCATTCGGAAGCCTATCAATACACTATATTTTTCTGTATTTCAAGTTATATTCACCATCATTAAATGTGAGAGTCGTTATGTCTTGAGTAAGTAAGTAATGTTTATTTACTGTATATACCGCCTTTCACAGACCAGAGTCTCAAAGCGGTTTACAATTGTTATTTTTTGCCCATTTGTCCTCGCACTCCACACAGAGATGGGAGCGGGGTCTTGTCCTGTGAAAAGGTCCTGTGTCCTGAATGTTCAAGGATAACATGATTGCACTTCAGTTAATTTGCAGATACGTGATATTTGAGCAGTCTTATTTTTCTAAAAAAAATTAATGTCTTGAAGGACATGAATCGCAAAACATCATAGAAGCAAATTGGAATACTTGCTGTATCGCAATATGTAAAGAATCAAAATAATATTCAATTGTGACCCATATATTTCAATACTATTGAATCGTTCCTGCCCCTAGTAAAAGACCTTATAGAAAACCTAAGATTCTGATGTCAATATTTTGCACTGTGTAATCTGTGTTTTTATAATGATCTGTCAATGTTTTTTCATGTCTTAGGCATGGCATCGGTTATTTGTAACATAACTGAATAATGCTTCTTGTTCTGTCCCAAAATAAACAAACATAAAATAATAATAATAACAACTACTTTTAATAAAACTAGAGATTTTTTGTTTTTGTTTTCAGAATTCCATTGGTTTGAATGGGAGCAGTCAAAAATGTGTTGATAATAACGGCACGGTGGAGGAGTGAATAGCACTCTCGATTCTCAGCAAGATTGTCCTGGGTTCGAATTCCGGTCGGAACAGGGCCTTTCTGAGTGGAGTTTGCATGTTCTCCCCGTGTCTGTGTAGGTTTCCTCCGGGTGATCCTTTTTCCCCTACCACTAAAAACATGCACAATAGGTATGAATGTAAATGAGTGAGTGAATGGTGTTGGTTGGGAGCTGATGCACCAGTGTGTAGATAAACATTACTTACTTCCTTAATAATATGATAAATGTGTGTACGTACCACTCCAAACCAGCGCGTGATGTTGTCCACGATCCAGTAGATGGGCTCGAACATGCAGTCGAACAGCGTGTCCGAGTCGGTCAGGCTGTTGTAGTACAGAGACTTCAGCATCACTTTGGTGTAGCTCCACAGCTGAGACACCCTTCCCCTGTGCGCTGCTCTGTGGGGCCGGCACCAGCGCAGGACCAGCCTCATGGTCCGGGACAATTGGCACTTCCAGCTCCCACCTGTCCGCATCCCACCACCACCACCACCGCCACCACCACCGCCACCGTCACCTCCCTTCAAAGCTCTGCCTTCCAGCCACACGCACACACACAAGCAGACGGACCAGAAGTTACAAACACACGCCACCAGAAACAGCAATTCTTCGTTTTTCAGTTGAATCTCAGACTCCATCTTTACTGTGTAGCTACCACTGAGGTCCCGGGACAGCGACTAACTATTCCTCGAAAGCGCAGGAGGCAGTCAGGTAGTGCCAACATGACCCACAAATAAACTTAATAATTCATGCAGAATGTTCAAAGGCCAAAAAACCACTCGGGTCTGCGTGGTAACTCGATAAAGGGAAAAACAAGGAGATAACAAAGGGTACATTGAAGCTGCAGCTAGGTTTTCATGAAAGTGACTATTGGTTTCACCGATCAGTGACCTTCTTAGAAATGGGAAAATGAGGAATGCTAATGAGGAGATATTCACTAACGGCTAGCAGGTGAGCACCCTCGGGAGATCAAGATTGAAGGAGCCAAAAGAGCCCGTATATAATTTACTTCGGTGAAAGTTGTCAAAGTTACGTGGAAATGAAGTAAAAGTAAAACAAACGTGAATGTGTTTCTATGGTGTGCCACAAGGATCACCCCCAGGGCCATAGCTTTTTAACACACAATTTTAAAGAAATACAAAATCTAATGGATTTTGTTTTCAGATGATTTAATTTCAGATCTTTGCAATGAGTATGATGCGATTTGAAATGTGGTTAAAGTGAACAGTTAAATAGGGCAAACCAAAACCTGAAAAACCTTTCTTTCGTCTTCTTAAAATTGCACTGTGTATATAATCTGCAATTCCAACAAGATAAGTTGCTGTTTGCTTATATAATCATTGTCAAACTTTGCAAATTGCAGACATTAACATTTTCGTTCAATGCAAATATTCACACAACCCTAAACTTCTTAAAATAGATAAGATAAGAGAACCGTTATAGTAGGGACATTTCTGTGTTGCACTGCACCCTATACAGGACAGTAGTAAGAGCACACAAGTAGCACACCAGATATACATAAATGAGTACTTGAGTATAGGCATGTGAATAGACTAGAATCTTGTCTGTGTACTGAAATGTGTTTATTATGCAGTATTTACTGATGTGTGAATACGTTGTGTTGATGTGCGAGTTGTGTGAGTCATGTCTCAAAGTCTCATGTTGTATGATGATCCTTTCAATAAAATATTACAATCCAATCCTTTTCAAACCATAATTTAAAAATGTATGTGTGTTTATAGACGTGTATGAGGTACATATAGAAAGGTATGAATGCATGTAAAAACAGTTGACAACCAAACATGTCTTCTTGCATTTGAAAATATAGCACGTCTCAATCTAAACTTATTTTTTGAATAGATTTTGAAAATATTTGATAGCTGCTGAAGCCCACACCTGGTCTTACCACAACATTGTACAAATTTCATGTAGGGAAACGATAAATGACCAGAGTTTACGAATGGCTCAGGCTACTGCATCCCCAGTGACAATGACAAACAATGACCAACACCTGCACACTGATGTCAGGACACGAGGAGACAAAAAGCAGAGATAAACACTTTTTTTTTTTTCTCAGCTCAGATGGACAAGGACTCAGCGCACAGCAGGACACTGTGGTCACCATGGCAACCTGCTGCCTGCCTCATCCGGCTCTGACAAGTAAAAGCAATGTCTGTGATGGGGATCCACTTCATGCAGCAGCATAATGTCCATTCTGAGGATTCGATAGTAGTCCTTCATTATATCTAAACGTTTTCAATTCAATATACTCCATACTTTGACGGATTTGACATTTGAATGGCCAGATTTTCTTTGCTATCATTCTGAAACCCACAGTCCTCGTAACAGCAGCAACCTACATCAGACGACATGTCAACTCAGGTGGGCCAATCGGCTCTAGACAGTCTCCAAGTGGGTCCGGCCCCTGTGGGCGCGAGGTACTGCAGGGGGCCGGGAGTCTAAAAAAATAATAATTATGTAATTACAGTTTGTTGACATTAAATGTGTCATATGACTTGAATCAGTACTTTTGTTACATGTTTGTAGCAGAGGCCCCAAATAAATAACCGAGGCCTAATGGTCTCTGGTTTATTTGGGGGCCACGCAGACCGTCGATTTTAAGGGGCCTGTTACTGGTTGGATGCTGCTAGCCATTATGGCATTACATTTTTTTAGGTATATTATAAACTTGCAGGATTGATGGTTATGGGCTACCAAGGTGTTATACATACATACTCTATTTTTCTCAAGAAAAGGAACACAATGTAATGTATTCTAAAACATTAACCCAACACATCACTAGAATGTGTTTGGTTAATGGTAATGAAGTTAAATGTGTTTAGGTGTGTATTTACTCCAGTTTTGATCATTCCAAACAACAACAAAACAACCAGAAAATAAAAGCGAAACTCGTGTTGCATTAAAGTCATGTCCAAATACCTTCATAATGTAAAAAATAGTAATCCCTTCAATTATTTTGGGTTTTGACCATAATGAGTTTGGACGCAAAACAGGTACTTTGGCTGCTGGTTACTACTAATAACGTGAAGCTAGAAAACTAACCATGATACACGTGTCTAACCTATTCTCCTTTAGCTCAAACAAAGACACGAAGCAAACTGGAAAAATACATAATAAGATGAATTAATAACACAGACATTCATTCATAACAGGATGCAGACGGATCCAGCTAGCATGGGAGTGACACTTACGCTAACTCACACCTCATGTTAAAACTAGAATAAGCTTTTTATTTTGAACACTCTGTTGTAAGATAAAGGGTGGTTTTACCTGGTCAGATGCAAAAGACTGAAGAGCTAAACACGGTCATTTTAGGTCATGGTCAGTGGATAAAAGCTGTTAGCGGTGCTCACAAATGACTAGTGCTAAATGCTGAGACACAAAGATTGTCTATTGGACAGACGCGCGCCTACGTTGTTATTAAGAAAAAAATAATGTTGTAGAAAAAACATATAATAAACCACTGTAATATATATATAAACTATTTTTTAAAGTAAACCCATCTGAGTTATATGTCTTTGATTTAAAATGAAAAGGGTTTTAGGTAACACAGTAGAAAGACCTCTGTCGCTAATGGACAATCCGCGTAGGGTACCCTGGGAAATGAAGTCTTTTTTGTGTGAAATGTTCTCAACTCCCCACACACGTCCTTAACAGTGTAAACACAAACAGGGTATTCGTACATCTCAACGAGAAGCTCTCATGTAGCAGAAACAAGTTTGTATTGACCTAAAAAGTACATTACAGACGAAATACACACCCAGGAAGTGGATGGTCACATGACTGGAGATAAAAAATGGCGGCGGTGCAGTGGTAGGATGCTTTCCAATTTAAAATAACAAAACAAAAAGATCAATTTATCATTTTTTCCAGACAATGCAATGGCAAATGTTGTTCGGGTTTACTATATTAAGGAAATGTGTTCGTGTTTGCTAAAGCGTTACTGCTGTGTGGCCTTTGTCTTCTCTTGTAAAAAAGGTTTAAAGCTGATGTCAGTGGTTTCATGTGTATTAGATTATTACAATAATGCATGGACCTGTAATATCATGTCAAGTCAGTATTTTTAACTGAGTATGTTTCTTCCGTTCATAACTACGAAAAATAATTCTATATCTGTGCACGGACCATTCTCTCAGGATAACCCATAGACTTTATGGCATAACCACTAAAAGTACATTTTCTAGTTAAACCAATGGAATTAATTTGCTTTTTCCTATCAGGAAGCTTAGGACAGGAGTGTGACGTACCTGACATTTACTTTAATGGTAGCCTATCGATAATGAATAATAATGATAATGATAATACTTATGTCTAATTAAGTCTCCAACCTGACAATCTATTCTGGTTAAAGTCAGCTTGAATTGTTTAAATGCTTTGGATGCTTTATTTTTGACATAAACAAATGAATAGTTAATTTTTTAAACAGATAAGTGCCATTAGAAAAATATATAAGAGGTTCACAATTAGCTTTTTTTCTATTTTAGTGACATACAAATAAGGGTTTTCCATGTTTTGAGAGAATTCTTTCAAATGTGCTGCCAATAACAAAACGTGTTATAGATTGAAGCAAGAGGAATACAACTTTTTGACACATCAAAACTGTTGCACAAGAATAGCTGTTCGCTATTCCAGAATTGTATATTGCATATTTAATTTTAATGTCAGTCTGATTGTGATGTGTTTTGGTGTTTTTGCTGTGTTTCCAGGCGATCACGTTGGCGCAAGTATGAAGCTGAGCTGCTGAGATGTCGCCCAGAGGCTCAACCTGTAGAATTTGGAGATTACCATCCTCTAAAGCCAATACTGGTATTTGTACACGTCTATTTCTGACAAATCTACTATACCCTCCAAAGTGTTTGCACTTCTGATAATGTGCAATACTGTCTAGGGTTAGGAATCCCAATGAAATGGAATTGTTCCCAAATATCGCAAAACTATGTAATTTTCAAGTCAGTAAAATGTTTCCACCACTAATCTACACCTCCATGAAAAGCACACAAAATGTATTTTAAACAAAAGACAGAACAGAATACTTTTTTCATTGTAGGTAACAGATTCAAAGACTCGGCGTGGCGTCCGCAAAGGCAGCACCTCCTCTTCCTCCTCGTCCTCTTCCTCAGTTCCTCCAGACCCGCTGAGTTCTATGCTGGACGGGACGGACCCTTTGTCACTGTTTGCGGCGTCGGCCGTTGAGATTCCAGCGGTGCCTCGCGGCGGCTCAGGGGTTTGTATGAACTTAGACATAAACAGATAGTAACGAGGGCATCAATATCTACCAAGATTGATATATCGTGATCGTGTTGGACTTAATATTATTGTATCATTTTTTCCATACATCGGATTTGCCGAACTACACACCCTTCTTTTTGTGGCCTGTTTAGTGATACAGCCTGTTTATGTATTTTCTTTGTGGTAGAGTTAGACTATTAGGTTATCCAATTTAAATTGATGTAGGACGCACAATTATTGTCAAAATTGACTGGTGAATGGAAGCTAACAGTTAAGGTAAGTATGCAAATATGAGTGAAGGTTTTTACCTCAGATTTTTTTGTTTTATCACAGTCTATTGGCTTTGTTTGTCTATTAGTCTCTAGTAGTCCAGCAAGTGGTGTGATATGTATAAATTTATATCTTCATAGTCAAATGAGCCTGAAACAACATTTCATCCATAGTATAAACTTAACCACTTAAACACAGCCCTACTTACTGTATATGTACTGTATGTGTCTAAGTTAAGGTTAGTTCAGTTTGGTTTATTCTGAAAATAACTGAAATAACAAGACTTCTCTCAGATAAATTAACACAATTGTAATTAATACATTTCCTCAATATTTTGACACCAATATTTTAACTTTTACTGCAAACGGCTCCCCATACATCAGCCTCCTTTACTACTAATTATCGGTATCAGGCCTGAAACAAACCCACATTTGTTCACCACTGATAGTAACAACTCTTCATACACCTGGTTTCTGAAGTATTTGCTTGTTTGTGTGGCGCAGGACCAGGGGAAGAAGACCATCGAGGAAGAAGTGGTAGGAGCTGACTTTGAGCCATGGTCTGCCAAGAGGGGAGAGATCCTGGCCTGGTTTACCACCACAGAGAAACTGTCCATTGTGAGTCATTTGTTTAACTGACACAGATAGACACAGAACCCTTTATAGTCCAAATGTTATAACGTTACTAACGTCGTCTTTCATTTGTAGAATATCTGCATGGGCTCTGACAAAGGTGAGACGTCACGTTCATATCCATCATATATTAAAACTGTAACCGCTAGAGAGAGAGACCAGAGAGAGAGACCAGAGAGAGACCAGAGAGTGACCAGAGAGTGACAAGAGAGAGACCAGAGAGAGACCAGAGAGAGACCAGAGAGAGACCAGAGAGTGACCAGAGAGAGACCAGAGAGAGACCAGAGAGAGACCACAGAGAGAGAGACCACAGAGAGAGTGACCAGAGAGAGACCACAGAGAGAGAGACCACAGAGAGAGAGACCACAGAGAGAGAGACCACAGAGAGAGAGACCACAGAGAGAGAGACCACAGAGAGAGAGAGCTCAGAGAGAGCCAAGAGACAGACCAGAGAGAGAGACCAGAGAGAGACCAGAGAGAGAGACCACAGAGAGAGACCACAGAGAGAGAGTCGAGAGACCACAGAGAGAGACCACAGAGAGAGACCAGCGAGAGAGACCAGAGAGAGAGAGTCCAGAGAGAGCTCAGAGAGAGAGCAGAGAGAGACCAGTGAGAGAGACCAGTGAGAGAGACCAGTGAGGGACCAGAGTGAGAGAGACCAGTGAGAGAGACCAGTGAGAGAGACCAGAGAGAGACCAGAGAGAGACCAGAGAGAGACCAGAGAGAGACCAGAGAGAGAGACCAGAGAGAGAGACCAGAGAGAGAGACCAGAGAGAGAGACCAAAGAGAGAGACCACAGAGATGGAGAACAAAGCGAGAGACCAGAGATAGAGCCCAGAGAGAGAGACCGACCAGAGAGAGAGTAGTTATTCCTCTAGTTAGTTTAACAGAATTAATTACATTGTTATGGCTGTGTCCTATAGTCAGAGGCATTGACTTGTTGTTCTCTGAAGGAAAAGCCACCAGTCCACAACCTTCAGCGGTGTCAGAGAAGGTCCGCACACGCCTCGAGGAGCTGGATGATCTCGAAGAGGTACATTCCCCCCTCAGCGTCTCACAACAACGCCACAATATGGTGTCAATCTGGGATGTTAATGTTGAAGAAATGTATGTAGATTCTTATTTATGCATGCCTTCCTGTTTTTATTCTGATTTAACTTGTTTGCACCGAGAGCCAAAGACATTTCCTAGTTTGTGACTTCCTGTTACTCATATGGCTGTAAAAAGGACAGCTTCTAACTGTTGTATTTTACTGTCTGCTTTGTCTTTTGTTTTGTCTTTCTTGTTGTCTGGTCTGCTTTATTCTGCTATTTTTCTTTTTGATCTGACTGTTTTAATTACTGTTTTAGCCTGACAGTGCAGCGCTTTGTAAACAATATACAAAAATAGATGTATTATTATTATCATTTGCGCAGGGCTCCCAGAGAGAGATGCTGAACCTCTCGCAGCAGGACTATGCCAACCGTATCGAGGAGTTAAACCAGTCCCTGAAGGAAGCCTGGGCCGCGGACCAGAAAGTCAAAGCTCTCAAAATAGTCATCCAGGTATTTTCACATTGTAGCGGTGATGACCCAGGACCCTCTGCCTTCGACGGCATTTATAATAATCTGCTTCTTATAGACCTAGGGCTCTGTGTGCTTTTTATCATTGCATTTCTTTTGTTTCTACTGTTTGATTATCAGATTTGTGTTGACACATTTGACAGTTTTGTTGAGTCCTCCGAGATCACTACTGTTGTAATTAGGGATAAACAAAAAAAAATGAATAGAATCGACATTATTAGCATAAATAAATCACTATTGTACTAGTTACTTAGAATAATGCCAAGTCTGCAGTTCTCTGGATACATGTTGTCCGTCGTAAGAGAAGATATGTCAATCAAACAAGTCTGTAGAGTTTCTTTCTTGCTTCAGTTTCAGCTGGTGTGTGATCAATGAAAAAATGTGCCAATACTCAGACAGGCAGAGGACCACTGGAGACAAACACATGCAGAAGCCTCTCAAAGTCTGCTTGAACACTGTACTTTTGATTCTGGCAATGTTTCAGCTGGTAGAAAGCTGCTGATGGTACTGATCTGATGTGGCTGTTATGCTTTAGATCCAAGTCCATTATTATGCCTAATTTACAGATGCTGATTTGAGCGAGGGACTCAAAGATACCGGAGGGACTGGAGGTGACCGGTCTCTCGTTGTTACTGGCGACCAAAGTCAATCATGTCTAGAAACGGTGACTTTATGAGGACTGCTGCATTTGCTTCTGAAGTGAATGGAGTCCACTTGAGACGTACCACACAGACAGACGCATGTACATACACTTACGCGCACAGAGACTTACCACACAGAGACAGACGGGTACAGCCACGGTCCCTCAGATCACAAAGCAAACTGTGTCAAAGCGATGAACTATAATAACAACATGCCCCACGTCTCTGAAGCCTCAGTGAACGCCACACGTCTCTCGTTACTGGGGACCAAAGACAATCATTTCAGAAATCAAGTGTTTGCGGTTATAAGTCGGTCAACTTGTTTTGAAACAGTTGCTCCATTTTGTGAGTGAAATGCAGGTGACAGAGAATAGTGTAGGTATATTTCAAAGATCACCCTGTCCACTTCCACATGCAAAAAGATCCCTCTGCTTTTATTGGTACAGATTATGGCAAATTGCTTACTGTAGACTAAAAAGAGCTCGACCAAAACCTACTCCGTGATTCCGCCCTAATGTAATGTTCATATGTGCGGTGTTACCCTCTTGATACAAATGCATTCTTCTTGTGTTTCAGTGTGCCAAGCTCCTGTCAGACACGGCTGTGATCCAGTTCTATCCCAGCAAGTTTGTTCTCATCACCGACATCATGGACACGTTCGGTGAGTCTCTGCATGTCTCAACCCACGTCCGCACATAGTTTCCTCATCTCTCTGGGCTGTTAAGAAAAGAGAAACGGCTTTATAGAGCGTTTTAATACAGCACTTACATTCTTTCATTCTTTACACTGTGGTGATAAATTACAACTTTAGCCACAGCTGCCCTGGGGCACACTGACAGAAGTGAGACAACCAGTATGTGCCATCAGCCCCTCCCACCACCGCTAACCATCCACACACACTCCCACCATATTGATACAGGGCAATGTGGGTGAAGTGTCTTGCCTAAAGACACATTGACTGCCGCAGTTTCTCTACTGTGGTACCTGGTGTTCTCAGAGGTCTCCCATCGCAGTATTAACCAGGCCCTGCCACGCACAGCTTCAGAGATATGATGGGATCTGACTTTCGCATGCAATTATGGCTGCATGGATAAAGAGCCACCCAAATTTGCAGCAAAAGTGAGAAAAGGGTACAGAGACATGAAATTGCAGTAGTCTTGGTTTGGTCCAATTCTGCACCAAATATAATAAACAAGAAAAAAACTGAAAGAGTTCATTCATGTTTTTAGGTCGACTCGTGTATGAGCGGATCTGGAGCATGTGTTCGGAGCCGCAGCCTTTGACCGGTGCGTATATGCCCACTGCCTGAACGAGTGAACGTGTGAATGTTTCTGTGTAGACTAACGGCAGCGCTCTCCTCAGCTGCCTTCACCCCTGACGATGTGAACGACACGGCCAAGGAGACCTGCCTCAACTGGTTCTTCAAAATCGCCTCCATCAGAGAACTCCTGCCCAGACTGTATCCTTCACCGCAGATTTAAGTTTCGTAATGCACTAAAGAAGAAATGTAATGCGTTATTATTGGACATATTTTTGACTCTATGATGCTGTAGTCTTTTTAGTAATGGATATACTATATGTCAATCACTCTATCCTGTTGGAATAAGAATCGCCAGTAAGCAACCAGTCTGTGCCACCACCACCAACCATTCACACACACACACACACGCACACACACACAATCTTAACAAAACCATTGAAATCACCAACACATTTCAGAGAATCAACAGTTAAGACACAGAAAATACACACATATATTGGTCCATAAGGGAAGACCAATGTCCATGAATGTAGAATGTTAAAGTGTCCTCGTTAGACACTGACTGTCCAACAGACTCCTGCATCGGCAAGGAAAAACAAAAACAAAAAACCCGTCAGGAAAAAAAGTGAGGAACCTCGGGGAGATCCACACCGAGAGAGGGATCCACTCCCACAGACAGACGGACCATAGATCCAGGACCTATAGCCCATATGTCAGAGGTCTCCCATCACAGCACTAACCATACCCTGCCCTGCACAGTCTAATAGGATCTGGATTTTTCATGCAAATATGGCTACATCCAATTATTTAAGGACTGACACAGGAAATATTAGACAGATTATAAAGTGCTTTGTGACTCTGGACTGTGAAAGGTGCTATATTGATAAAACTACTAACTACTAACTCGAAGGGGCGGAGTTACAGGTTTGCCAGAAGTTCCTGTTTTTAGCATCTAAGTTTGTTTTTGATAAGGTACGATGTAGTAACAATGATTTAGTATAAGATGTCTCCTTTAAAACCTGAAGGATCCTTAATGCTGCAGATATGTGGAGGCCTCTATTCTCAAGTGCAACTGTTTCTTGAACAGGAAGTGAGTTGTGATACTTGTTGGGATAAACTTATATAAAACTATATATTTTTGAATTTATTTTAATATTCTGATTTCTCCCCACAGCGGTATCTCTACAACTCTACCCAGACTGACAGCGATGGTCAGGGGCATTGGCGATCCTTTAGTTGCGGCGTATGCAAGAGCTTACCTGTGTCGGGTAATACACATGTTTTATTGTATTCTAAAAATACACAATAACACATGTTTACACACACGTATACACACACACAACAATAACCACATGTGTACAAACGATGAATGGAAAGCACAACTTAACACGGTCCATTTCTCTTGTTGGTGCTGTGGAGAAATCAATCAATCTGTCGCGATTCCTAAATCATACAGATAAAAATAATACTCAGACAAGTCAGATTACAGAACGAAAATAAAAACGAAAATAAGTGTTGATAAATGTCCATAAATGATGTTGCTGTGCTGCAGGTGGGCATGGAAGTGGCTCCTCAGCTCAAGGACAGCCTCAACACTAACTTCTTTGACCTGCTGGGGGCGCTGCGTCAGCTGGGAGGAGAGAGCGTGCAGAACCAGCTGGTGGTGCAGAGGGTGGAGATGCCCGAGTACCTCACGCTCTACTCCCCGGCCATCAACTGGCTCCTGCAGTGCGTAGCATACCGCGCCCCAGAGGCAAGTGCCAGTACTGCAGCCGCTAGAGACCAGAGAGAGAGAGGCCAGAGAGAGAGACCAGAGAGAGAGGCCAGAGAGAGAGACCGGAGAGAGAGGCTAAAGGGAGAGGCCAGAGAGAGAGAGGCCAGAGAGAGAGACCAGAGAGAGAGACCAGAGAGAGAGACCGGAGAGAGAGGCTAAAGGGAGAGGCCAGAGAGAGAGGCCAGAGAGAGAGACCAGAGAGAGAGACCAGAGAGAGAGACCAGAGAGAGAGACCAGAGAGAGACCAGAGAGAGAGACCAGAGAGAGACCAGAGAGAGACCAGAGAGAGACCAGAGAGAGAGACCAGAGAGAGAGAACAGAGAAGAGAGATGAGAGAGGCCAGAGAGTGACAAGAGAGAGTCCAGAACTAGCAGTTATTTTAATAATGATTAATTTATTGTAATTAATGCTGTTATTTTGCACATACATCTGACATACATGACATTTTAACATAGTTTAATGAGTTGATGGTCTAGTCTTTACAAAAACCCAACTCATTATTTATACTTTCTTGCTTAAGGCGTCTGTCAGTATTACCCACAATGCATAGTCGAGCAGTCGATGGAAAGAGACATTTACTTGAAGAATGTGGTTCTGAAGCTGTTTCCCTCGTGGTTCCTTTTAGATCAGGGGTCTCCAACCTGTGGCTCGGGAGCTACAGTAGCTCTCCAGCCCCTTTCAGGTAGCTCCCCAAAAGATTTAGAATTTGACAAATGATCTTGAATTCTATCTATTACTAGTGTAAATAAAGGGTTACACAGTATTATGGTCTATTTTACATGTTTTGTCCTAATTATTATCTGCCTCTTCTGTCGTATAGAAGTAGCTCTGATTGATAATTATTAGTGAGTAGTGGTATTTTTATTTGAGCAGTTTTACAATGTATTTTATATGTGTTTTTTTACATGCACATATGATTCAGGAAAGAAAAAAAGCTCAAAACGAGAAGGCAGAAGCAAAAAGTGCCTTCTTGATTTCATCTCCATATTTCATCGCAATAATAAATGTAATCTTTATTGTTTTTATAACGTGTGGTGCATTGAGAGCTGGGACCTATTGGAGGGAGGGGTCCTCTACCCACAGACCCACACCAAGTCTACCCTCATCCTCTACCCACAGACCCACACCAAGTCTACTCTCATCCTCTACCCACAGACCCACACCAAGTCTACTCTCATCCTCTACCCACTGACCCACACCAAGTCTACCCTCAGCCTCTACCCACTGACCCACACCAAGTCTACTCTCATCCTCTACCCACTGACCCACACCAAGTCTACCCTCAGCCTCTACCCACTGACCCACACCAAGTCTACTCTCATCCTCTACCCACAGACCCACACCAAGTCTACTCTCATCCTCTACCCACAGACCCACACCAAGTCTACTCTCATCCTCTACCCACAGACCCACACCAAGTCTACTCTCATCCTCTACCCACAGACCCACACCAAGTCTACCCTCAGCCTCTACCCACTGACCCACACCAAGTCTACTCTCATCCTCTACCCACAGACCCACACCAAGTCTACCCTCAGCCTCACTTGTCAGTGCAGCTGGTGCGATGGCACAATAGGAACTGCCAAACCAGATTTTTTGTTGCGATAATTTCTCAAACTGACCTCAGAATGGAGTTTTGGTGATTTTGGTTGAATCAGGAATGATAAGTGACTGTGCCAGAGAAAGAAAAGGAACATAACAACACATATACGCACACATATACATTCATAAAGATAGATGAATAGATAGATAGATACTTTATTGATTCCCTGTAGTAGAAATTCAGATGTCCAGCAGCAGCAGAAACTCATCCGTCCATACAAAAAACAAATACATAATGCATTGAGCTCATTTCTACCCGTAGTCCCTGGGATGATGTTATGATATCACATTAAAAATAACAGACATTCATTGTACGGTTTACATTTGGCCAAAATACACATCTTCACGTGCACAATTTTATCGCTCAATTATACAGGTCAAACACACATCTCTCTCACTCACGCACGCTACACGTGAGTACATGGGTTCAGACCATTCTCTCTTCTCTGGTTCAGAGTAAAATGCTGAATGCTTGATTATTAGTGGGGGTTTTTTCTCCTCAGGCTCTACTGACGGAGATGATGGAAAGGTGCAAGATCATGGGGAACAAGTAAGTTCACAAAGCTTTCCTCGTTACTTTCATGATTCTTTCACTGTTCCATGTCCCTGCTTCCTCTCCATGTTGTCTCCATGTGTTTTAATCTCTTCCTCACGTAGTGCCTTGTTGCTGAATTCTGTCATGAGAGCCTTTCGAGCAGAGTTTGTCGCCGCTCGAGCCACTGACTTCATCGGAATGATCAAAGAATGTGACGAGGCCGGATTCCCAAAGGTCAGACTCAGTTTAAAACCACACCGGAACCAGATTTTTCTCTAAAAAATACAGTGATTTAAAACAAGAGGAGTTATAAAACTGCAAAGATTATGTTCAAGGTATCCAAACACTCTCTTCCAGAAAAGATTCAACATATTTTTACAGATAGAGACACCCAGCTCCAGGTTAGTGGTCTGGCCTTATCCATCCGTACACTTCGCTCAATCATCATTTCCTGCATGTAACGTCTGGGTCTGGTCTCTGTGTTAGCGATTACAATTCCATCCGACCGATCAGAGAGTGCGGGAGGCGGGTGTTGTAGTTAGATGTGGGTGACGTCAAGAGTTTGCGTCGAACGGGAAGGTTGTAGTTTGGCGAAGAATGCGATAGTAAAGTAATCTGGTCTGGTTTTATCAAGAAATTGAAGTCGGAGCAAGAGGAATGTTTATAATGTAATCGCTGCAAAGATTGTGGCGCTACTCCCCACGGGCTCCGTTAGCGGCAAAGGAGATGGCTAGGCTAAATGCTAAATGCTAACAACTCACTCGGGCTCATTACATACATCACGGTAAACTCAGATCCAATGGTTTCAATCTGCAAAAGGAGTTAACCCCTCCCACCTGTTCACAGAGTCAATGGAGCAAATCCAGACCTTAGTACCAAATGTAATGTGTACTATGGTGTGGTACGACCAGGCTAGGTTAGTGGTAGGGCAATGGGACGAACAAAAAGGATCTCTTCATCATAATCTGAAATTTGGCCCTATTAAAAATAAAAAAAAACGAAGGATTTTCGACTGGAGCAATTAGCTTCAGTCTTTTGTCAAGCAACGTATAGAAATAGTATCATTTTTTTCCAAGACTGTCAAAATCTGGGTAATCTAAAACTATTATGGCGTTCTTTACAATATAATACAATACATAGATTATTCTTGTATGGCCCTTAATCACAACAGCAGTCATTTAACAAAACCATTGAAATCACCAACACAGATCAGAGAAAGAACAGTTAAGACACAAAGAATATAGACCACATATGTATTTTATGTACTTTACAATGCAGTATTATACCCATAAAACCATCATAACGTATTAGCACTAACGTATTAGCGCTGTAGGCTAAAGTAGGGATTGTCAATAGTTGTAAGAATCTGAAATTATCCTTTGGGGAGTATTTGAGTATTTGAGTATGAGGTTGGAGATCAGACTCGGATTCAATCTTTTTGCCATTTGCAGTAAAACCCCATTGGAATACGTGCACAAGCCCCCAGTGTGCAAAAGACACAGTACATAAATACATCAGGCTAAAAAAGTACAGGAAAAAATTGTCACTGTGAAATTGATCAACAAAACCAGTTTCAGTAGACTGCTATAACTTGTGTGAAGGAATTTTTTTCTTTTTTTTTTCCAGCATCTTCTGTTTGGATCTTTGGGCCGCAGCTTGGCCAGTGCTGACCCTCCGGAGTCCGAGAGATTGACGATTCTCAACGACGCCTGGAAAGTCATCACTAAAGTCCGCAGCCCCAGGGTAAGAATGGAGGCTCCGGGCACCAGCAGAGAGTGTGTGTGTGTGTGTGTGCTCTGTGTGTGCTCTCTCTCTCTGTGTGTGTGTGTGTGTGTGCTCTGTGTGTGCTCTCTCTCTCTCTGTGTGCTCTGTGTGTGCTCTCTCTCTCTCTGTGTGTGTGTGTGTGTGTGTGCTCTGTGTGTGCTCTCTCTCTCTCTGTGTGTGTGTGTGTGTGTGTGTGTGTGTGTGTGTGTGTGTGTACTCTCTATATGTACTCGGTGTGTGTGTGTAATCTCTGTGTGCTCTCTCTCTGTGTGTGTGTGTGTACTCTCTGTGCTCTCTCTGTGTGTGTGTGTGTGTGTGTGTACTCTGTGTGTGCTCTCTGTGTGTGTGTGTGTACTCTATATGTGCTGTGTGTGTGTGTGTGTGTGTGTACTCTGTGTGTGCTCTCTCTGTGTGTGTGTGTGTGTACTCTATATGTGCTCTGTGTGTGTGTGTGTGTGTACTCTATATGTGCTGTGTGTGTGTGTGTGTGTACTCTATATGTACTCTGTGTGTGTGTGTGTGTGTGTACTCTGTGTGTGCTCTCTCTGTGTGTGTGTGTGTGTGTACTCTCTGTGTGTGTGTGTGTGTACTCTCTATATGTGCTCTGTGTGTGTGTGTACTGTATGCTCTCTGTGTGTACTCTCTGTATGTGTGTACTCTCTGTGTGTACTCTCTGTGTGTACTCTCTGTATGTGTGTACTCTCTGTGTGTGTACTCTCTGTATGTGTGTACTCTCTGTATGTGTGTACTCTCTGTATGTGTGTACTCTCTGTATGTGTGTACTCTCTGTATGTGTGTACTCTCTGTGTGTACTCTCTGTATGTGTGTACTCTCTGTGCTCTCTCACAGGACTACATCAACTGTGCGGAGATCTGGGTGGAGTTCACCTGTCGCCATTTCACGGTGAGTGACCGTACCTACAGGAGAGAGCCAGATCCTGTCAGACCTCTGAGGCTAAGCAGGGCAGGGCCTGGTTAGTACTGTGATGGGAGACCTCTGGGAACACCAGCTGCCACAGTGGGGCGGCTGCGGCTGTAAAGGGCCAAACTGTGGTTGTGTCTTTAGGCAAGATACACATGGCAATAGTGGGAGCAGCCGTGGCTACAGTAGCACTTTATCACTGTCTTTGGAGTGAACAAATAATGACAGATGAAGCGTCTTTGTTTGTCTAGAAAAGCTACATAAAACCTATACATTATTATTATTATTATCAATATTTTGTTTTATTATTATTTATTATTTATTACTATTGTTTTTATTAAACCTTACTCTACCCTCTACATCTCTTCCTTGACTGTTGCACCGAGAGCCAAAGCAATTTCCTGTAACTTACATGGCAATAAAAAGGTTTCTGATTCTGATTTTTATGATTACAATGGCCATCCAAAATATTCTGATTCACACAACCACTAAACAGTGAGTGAAGAAAAGGCCTTTGCGTTATCATTCCTAAATATTTAACTAAATATCTTCCTGGGTGAGTAAACCTGTGACAATGTAGTCCTGTCGCTAATTATTACTATTGTTTGCTTTTTAGAATAATGGATGTGTTTTTGATGTTACTGGACTCCTGAATTTCTCCTACAGGGATCAATAAAGTTTCTGTCTTTCTAAACTTCCGATGCTTTTGTGTTTTGATCCAGAAGCGAGAGGTGAACACTGTGTTAGCCGACATGATCAAACACATGACTCCAGACCGAGCTTTCGAGGACGCGTACCCCCAGCTGCAGGCTGTGATCGGGAAGATCCTCACCTACTTCCATGACTTCTCTGTTCTCTTCTCCATGGTGAGGGCGCTATACTCAAACATGCAGAGACTAACGTGCCATTTCAAGCTTCACTACTTTAGTTCTTAATTCATCCGTGCTGTTTGTAAAGGTAAAATTTTGTAAACAGTGCATTAAAGACCTTATGACGGGTTTTAAAAAAAAAAATAGTGGATATCAAAATTGCATGACAATGTCAATTTGAAAGAGATTCCGGCAAAAAAAATCCTATATTTTATAAAAAGAACGTGTTTTTCATGAATTTAAGTTGTCTATGCTCTAACCTGTGTGTGACGTCATAGTGGGTTACGCCCATGCATTGAAAACCATGGATCTATGCGACAGGACTGCCTTTTCTCTCTTCTCTCCACTGATGCCCAACACAATACTGCACTCTACAGGTGACAATTGCTCACTACACATAAATTGCCGTTTTGAGTGTGAAAAAGTGTCCGAGGTGGGAATTGAACCCAAGAATCTGGATTGGCAGTCCATCGACACAACCACTGGACTATCTCAGTGACAACGAAATGTTATTTTCTAGTACTTATCTTAGACTCGCTGTACACGGCCTTGTCATCTTGAATATCCGCAAAAAAAGAACGAATACCAAATTGTAAACAACTTACAGCGTTGAAACGTACCCGTTCTGACGTCACCAAGGGCTGTGAAGTTTTTTTCGTTTCTAAGGGCGTTGCTATGGGGTTGTTTCGATTTGGGGGGATCAGACAAAAAAAACAACAACTGATTTTGAAACCTTTAGTAGTTCTCTTCTAATATAAAATGGTATTAAAACTGTATTTCTAAATAAATCAAACCCGTCATAAGGTCTTTAACATGCACTGGCTGGGAGCCTCTTCAGTCCTGCATCAGGCCTCGTTTTACAGCCTAAGTCCTGGATCTAAAGCCTCAGTCCTGGGTCTACAGCCTCAGTCCTGGGTCTACAGCCTCAGTCCTGGATCTACAGCCTCAGTCCAGGATCTACAGCCTCAGTCCTGGATCTACAGCCTGTCTGTGCATGGACAAAGATCCCTCTCTCAATGGGATGGACTAAGAACAGTAAAGAATCTGGACATTTGAGGACATATATGGACATTTAATATCCCTTGTATTATGTTAAGGGTCAATTTGACCCATTTCAGTTTTTGTGTTGATCAAAGTACTGGTTATCCTTTCTTTTTCTTGCTGAAATTTGGTGACTTTTCCTCATCTAGGGTCATGAACTGATGTGTAAAATTTGGACACTTTGATGTGTAGTGGAATGTCTGTGCAGAGTTTGTATACAAAGATGATGTTGCGGGTCATTTTGACCCAGACGCTTTAATGTGGGTAAATAGTTGTTAAGATCCAAAAAAACATGTCTCTTTGACATTCTATTTTGATTGCCTCTGAAACCCAGAGATAGGTGTGTGAAGAGAGGGAACTTTCTCACACTTGTCCTTGTCACTGTTCTCATATCATCTCTTTTGCCTAGCGTACATCGGACTGGCAACTGATTATATCCGTCGCCTATGAGTTGCTGCCCCGCACACATCGACAATCTGGCAAAAACGGGCAACTCCTAGAAGCAGGCCAGTCTCGGGAATAACAGAGCGTACATCAACAGCAACTGGCTTCAACTACAGTGTGTTTTCTGACATAAACTAGAGGGCGCAATACACACATTGTTGGAGCGCACACATCGGGTGATATCTCCGGATCTGAGGACAAATAGTTGCCAAAAAGTAGAACACGGGCAACTGACTGAAGCCGGAGATCGACTGTTTATCTCCAGTTGTAAGAGCGCTCACATCGACCGATTTCGGCAACTGATCATCTCCATCATCTACTCTCAGTTGCCAAAAGCCGCCTTCAACTAGTTGTCTCCAGTTACTCTGTCCATGTACGCTAGGCTTTATACAAACTCACCAAAAATGCGCTCCAGAAGGATGATATCTGAGGAGGCTTTATCACAGACTTTTAACTGGGATAATGATGTAGAGGAAGAGATTTCAGAAACAGAGGATTTTTCAGAGACAGAGGACAATGTTATTGCTGATCCAGATTGTCAATTTTCCTACGATAAGGAGGATTCAGAGGACGAATCTTTGGTCAAGGAAAGAGGATGGGAGGAATGAAGTAAGGTAGGAAGGAAAGAAGGGAGAAAGGAAGGAAGGAAGGAAGAGAAAAGAAGGGAATAGAGGAGGATGAACAGAGAGAAGGAAAACAGGATGAGAAAAAGGAAGGAGAAAGCATGGCAGGAGGAAAGAAGGAGGGAAGAATTGTCATTTTGACCCGAGAGGAGGACAAGAGTATTAGACTAAATCTTTCTAAAATATAGCGTTGGAATTAAAAATGTATTGTATGTCACTTTTCTAAATATTTATATAACCTAAAATAAAGTTGTTATTGGTTTAACCTGTTTTCTTGACTGTTTTGAGTGCATTTACACAGTACGGGTCAAAATGACCCGCAACATAATCAATGTCATTTTTTTTCAACATAATACAAGGGTTAATATTCATGGTCATTGGTCATTTTTCTCCCTGTGGATCCTTGGCTCCTGCTGTTGTGATTTAGAGCTACAGAAAAATACATTGAATTGAATGGAACGCAATGATTTTCTTACATAATTTCATTTGTTTATGGTTCCAAAGTTAGGTATCCCAGCTTTAATATAGCACTGGGCTTTGTCTTGTTGCAGGAGCGTTTTCTCCCATTCCTGGACATGTTCCAGAAAGACAGCGTCAGGGTGGAGGTCTGCCGCTCTATTATGGAGGTCTTCATCAGGTAATCCATTGCTAACATTATTTTTCAAGCACTAAACATGTCGTATTAGTCTATTTTTTTACTATCTAGTTTAAATGTCCTCTCAGACACCAGCTGGAGCCCACTCGAGACCCGGTCATCCTCAACGCCATGCTCCACATCTGCAAGACCATGCACGACTCTGTCAAGTAAGCATCAAAATATACTGTATATATAATTAATGATTGGCAAGTTTGAAAAAGCTGCTCTTTTTCGCAGTGCCCTGACTCTCGAGGATGAAAAGCGATCCTCGTCTCTTCTAATCATCGGTTTTATTCGCATGGTATACACCTTTTCTCTCTCTGGCCTGTGTCTCTCCCTCTTGTCTCTGGTCCCTCTCTGCTCAATTTCTGTTCTCTCTCTGGTCTCTCTCCCTCTGGTGTCTCTCTGGTCTGTATCTATCTCTGGTCTCTCTCTCTCTGGTCCCTATCTCTGTTCTCTCTCCCTTTGGTCTCTCTCTGGTCTGTGTCTCTTTGGTCTCTCTCTGGTCTCTCTCCCTCTGGTGTCTCTGGTCTGTGTCTGTCTCTGGTCTCTCTCTGGTCTGTGTCTATCTGTGGTCTCTTTTTATCTCTGGTCTCTCTCTGGTCTATCTCTGGTCTCCCTCTGGTCTCTCTCTGGTCTCTCTCTGGTCTGTGTCTATCTCTGATCTCTCTCTGGTCTCTCTCTCTGGTCTCTCTCTGGTCTATCTCCCTCGGGTCTCTCTCAGGTCTCTCTCCCTCTGGTCTCTCTCTCTGGTCTCTCTCTCGTCTCTCTCTCTCCCTCTGGTCTCTCTCTCTCTGGTCTCTCCTGGTCTCTGGTCTCTCTCTCCCTCTGGTCTCTCTCTCTCTGGTCTCTCTCCCTCTGGTCTCTCTCTCTGGTCTCTCTCTCTGGTCTCTCTCAGGTCTCTCTCCCTCTGTTCTCTCTGGTCTCTCTCTCTCTCTGGTCTCTCCCTCTGGTCTCTCTCTCCCTCTGGTCTCTCTCTCTCTGGTCTCTCTCTCTGGTCTCTCTCAGGTCTCTCTCCCTCTGGTCTCTCTGGTCTCTCTCTGGTCTCTCCCTCTGGTCGCTCTCTCTCTCTCTCTGGTCGCTCTCTCTCTCTGGTCTCTCTCTCTCTGGTCTCTCTCCCACTGGTCTCTCTCTCTGGTCTCTCTCCCTCTGGTCTCTCTCTGGTCTCTCTGGTCTCTCTCCCTCTGGTCTCTCTCTGGTCTCTCTGGTCTCTCTCCCTCTGGTCTCTCTCTGGTCTCTCTCAGGTCTCTCTCCCTCTGGTCCCTCTCTCTGGTCTCTCTCCCTCTGGTCTCTCCCTCTGGTCTCTCTAGGTCTGTGTCTATCTCTGATCTCTTTCTATCTCTGGTCTGTTTCTTTCTGGCCACTCTCTAGCTCCTTTAAGTCACTAATGCAGTCGGACTGAAAAACCTGCACTGCTGATGCCACTCTTTCTTTCATTGTACATAATTAGATCCTGCACAGACTGTAATTCTAGCCTTTAACATGTTGCTCCTGTCTTTTTGCACAATCTGAGTGATTCTGTCTATGCCAAATGTGACGTGTACATTTCTCCAGTGTGAGATCTATAAAGTCTTTCTTATCTTATCTTATCTTATCTTATCTTATCTTAAACTGCTCCCTGTTTGTCTTGTGTGTGTCCGGGTCGGCAGGTGTCGTTCGGCCGTGATTTCGAGCAGCAGCTGAACTTTTGCGTGGAGTCCAGATCCACGTTCTGTAACCTGGAGCCCGTTCTGGTGCAGCTCATTCACGTCAGTCCCAAACGCTTTTCCTAGACAGTTCTTCATTTTCTTCTCGTGAAATTGACAGAGAGAGTTGTTTTGTTGTAGACGGTGAACCAGCTCGCCATGGCGACCAGAAGAGTGATGCAAGGAAACCACTCCAGAAAAACCGCCGCCTTTGTCAGAGTGAGCGCAAGATTCTGATTGTGTTTGGACTCGTTCAAAGCCAGCAGCGACTCACCTTTCTCCCCTCTCTTCTCTCCCCCCTCCCCTCTCCCCTCTCTCCTCTCCCCCCTCTCCTCTCCCCTCTCCCCTCTCCCCTCTCCCCCCTCTGCTCTCCCTCCAGGCCTGTGCAGCCTACAGTTTCATCACCATCCCGTCTCTGAGCAGCATCTTCAGCCGCCTGAGCCTCTACCTGCTCTCGGGACAAGTTGCGTTGGCAAATCAGTGTTTGTCCCAAGGTAAAAAAATAAATAAAAAATCTCTAACTTGAGCATAATAATGTAGACTGTAGAACGAGGACTGAGGCTGTAGATCCGGGACTCAGACTGTAGACTGAGGACAGCGGCCCGAGAGCGTGGACAGGTCCGGTGCAGGACTGAAGCACTCCCAGGCGGGTCGGGCTGGGCAGTCCGCAGGTGTAGATGGAGGAGGCGAGGTTAAGAGGTCCGGTCGTCGTGCCATGAAACAGACAATGGGACAACGGGTGAATAGCAACGAACAGACTACAGTCCAAATCCTAATAATGCAGATAGATAAAGTGGGAGAACCAGTGGAGAGAGGACTGTTTTAAAAACCTGGGGCTGCACATCTCACTCGACCTGAGCTGGACCCCTCACATTACCACGTCAGAGCCTGTACCATCTGAGGCGTCTGAGGGACCAGCAGCTCCCACCACGAGGGCTGCAGAACTTCTACACCTGGTCTTCAGGAGAGAAGTCTGCTCGATTGGAGGACTTCCACATCCATCAATGCCAGAGGAGAGCGCAGAAGATCGTTCAGGACAGAAGCTGATCATGGAGCTATCGTCTCCTCAAGACTAGAACTGAGAGGATGAGAAGGAGTTTGTTCCCTGAAGCCCTAGACTAAACCAGACCTAACTCTGTCTCTGTTTATGTTTCTGTGTTGTGTGAATACTGTCTTGAACATCTGCTGGAGGTACATAAGGATGTCACTGCATGTGCTGTGTATGTGACAAACTAAACTCAAACCAAAATACCAAATTGTAAAGCACAGATTTACTGTTTCAGAGCGACTTAGGACTCCAAAGTAAATGTTTTCTGTAGATCACAGACACTGTGTTGTTCTTCAGCCGATGCGTTCCTGAAGGCGGCCGTGAGTTTACTCCCGGACGTCCCTCGCACCATCAGCATCGAGGGCAAACTCCGCTCCTCCGAGAGCTTCCTTCTCGACTTCACCAACAACTTCCTGTCCACTTTGCTGGTTGTCCCGGTAACCAATCTTTTCATGTTTGAAATTCAACTCACATTTTAAAACAATAGGAACGAGAGACTGGAGAGAGAGACCGGAGAGAGAGACTGGAGAGAGAAAGAGATCAGAGAGAGGGGCCAGAGAGAGAGACCAGAGAGAGAGACACCAGAGAGAGAGGCCAGAGATAGAAACCTGAGAGAGAAAGACCTGAGAGAGAGAAGCCAGAGAGAGACCAGAGAGAGACCAGAGAGAGAGACCAGAGAGAGAGACCAGAGAGAGAAAGACCTGAGAGAGAGAGGCCAGAGAGAGGCCAGAGAGAGGCCAGAGAGAGAGACCAGAGAGAGAGACCAGAGAGGGAGACCAGAGAGAGAGACCAGAGAGAGAGACCAGAGAGAGAGACCAGAGAGAGAGACCAGAGAGAGAGACCAGAGAGAGAGACCAGAGAGAGAGACTAGAGAGAGAGACTAGAGAAAGATCAGAGGGAGACCGAAGAGAAAGACCAGAGAGAGATGCCGGGGAGACCAGAGAGAGAGAGCAGAGAGAGAGACCAGAGAGAGACTCGCTCAAAGTCAGTGGGCAGAATGTCGGCCTTTTCTCTGCTCAAGACTCTGAGATGGTAGAACCTTGCTTTGATATGTACATTTAAACTCTGCTCCTCTGAGAGCTTTCTCCTAAATAAGTAAGTAATCTTTATTTATATAAAGATTACTTACTTTACTAGACTTCACCAACAATTTCCTGTCCACTTTGCTGGTTGTCCCGGCAACCTGTCTGGCCCATTCAAGTTTGAAATCCAGCCCTGATGGTAAAACTTCTTGTGGGCAGGACCACCCGGAGCATGGCGTGCTGTACCTGGTGCGTGGTCTTCTCAACATGGTGCAGGACTACACCTGGGAAGACAACGGCGACGCCAAAGTGCGCGTCTACATCAGCGCACTGCCGCTCTTAGCCGCCATGAGCCAAGAAACATACCTCTACTCTATTCCCAAAAGTAAGCACTAATGTTTTCAGGCGGAACATGCATCATGCATGTCGGGGCGGGCGGTATGGGCAAAAAAAAATATTTCAAGACTTTTTTACCAACTTCCGAAAACAATGTTATCACGATATCTTTAAAATCATTTACACAACATGATCTGCAATGTTTTTCTTGCCAGGGCATTTATAGATTGACAGTGTAGATCATAAGATTTTCATTTGTAAAGTGCTTCACGCATCTTTGCAAAACATTCACAAATATATTGTGTATTAAACATGAACAATATTAACATTAAAAATCAAATTCAAGTAACACGGGGAGAACACGTCCAAAAGGCTCAATGAAGCAGTGATTGGCTTTTTAGGCATTTGACGAATGGGTATCTTGCCTGCTCTAATTGTAATATAAACTGGATTAAAAAAAAAAACATGTCACTGTCGATCTTTATAAATGACGGCGTCTGTTGCAGTGGACTCCAATGAGACTCTCTACGGCGGGGACCCCAAGTTTCTTTCCGAGATCAACAAACTATGTGAGACCCTGATCGGGCAAGTCCTGGACCACTTGAAGGCGCTCGGGCGTGAGGAGGTAAGCAGACACACGCGGCTCTGACGGGGCCTCACAGGAGCGTGACCATCTCTGTCTCCAGCAGAGCGCTCGGCGTCAGGGAGCCCTGGCCTTCTCCCTGTTCGGAGTCCTGCTCGCTCACGGAGACCTGCGCAACAACAAGCTCAGCCAGCTCGCCGTCAACCTGTGGAACCTGAGCCACAAGCACGGATTCTGTGACACCCGCCTCTCCGTAAGCCCCAAACACAGCCCTATCTGGCATTCGTTAGACCAGGGGTTCCCAAAGTTTTTAGCCCGCGACCCCCATCATAAATGCCCTGCTAACCCGCGACCCCCGCCCCCCCCAACAGCCCTTCCGTCACATGAAATGAGCATGTATTTCCTTGATACGGAGTAACGCTTTCTAGAGACTCACGCCACTACCGAGCTGCACTGTCCAGCCCAAAAAAGGAGGCTTGCATATTTTTACTCATGTAGTGACACAGTGATGGGCTTGGTGGGCTCCCTCCTCAGCAGAAGTGGAGCGCATTTCTTGCGGCTCGCCCTCACTGTTCTCCTACCGCGGTAAAGTGGGCCGGCTTTCCGGAGTCAGCGGTAAAGAGGTCCGCACATTAAAAGCGGGCGGCCGCTTTCTGCTGTTACTTTATGCGGTTCATCCCCGCGGCTTCTCTTTCCAAAGTTACTGTCAGTAAAGGCATAAACCGGCCACCCGCTTTTAATGTGCGGACCTCTTTACCTTTGACTCCGAAAAGCCGGGCCTCTTTAACGCGCTGTTCTACCGCTGTCCTCCCTCCCTCCGCTGCCCTCTCTCCCTCCTTTGCCCTCTCTCCATCTCTTCCCCTGATACAAGTGACTTTTCTCCCCCTCCGGGTTTTTCTGTTGTAGATATTAACCACGTTTCATTTTAAAGCAGGTATTATTTATTTGTAGCCTCCAAACACCTTTAGTTTTAGCAAACAACAGCAGGACACGCTTTGCCGCTGCGCATGATGTGAGCTGTGTTACGTGATGATTTTGATTGACGCTGCAATGACTGGGACAAAATTACTAACGTTATTAAAATATATTATAGTCTCCAAACACAATTTAACAAGTAGTCCTTTTGAATCAAATCAAATGCTAAATAAATATTTAAGGGCTTTATATTTGCTCAAAAAAAAAAAAAATCATCTTGCGACCCCCCCAGGGGTTCCCGCGACCCCCCGGGGGGTCGGGACCCCCACTTTGGGAACCACTGCGTTAGACCACAGGGGGGGTCTAATGAATGAAGTTTGTCACAAAAAATGGTGGCTGAGTGGATAGCTCTCTCGCTTCTCAGCAAGAAGGTCCTGGGTTCGAATCCCAGTCGGAACAGGGCCTTTCTGAGTGGAGTTTGCATGTTCTCCTTGTGTCTGCGTAGGTTTCCTCCGAGTGCTCTATTGTGCATGTTTTTACCACTAAAAACATGCACAATAGTTCTGGCATGCGCCTCCTGTACTGGCCCCGCTCCCATCTCTGTGTGGAGTGAGAGACAAGTGCCAACAACTGTAAACCGCTTTGACTCTGGTCTGTGAAAGGCGCTATATAAATAAAGATTACTTACTACTACTACTTGCTTGGTTAATAGTTCAGAGAGTCAAAGAAAGCCTTTATTTTCTCATGGCTGCGTTTTGGCGTTTTTTTGCATCCTGTCTGTGCAAAAACTATCTGTGGAGGTGGTTCAGGCATGTGTTTGGGGAGGTGTTCTGGGCATGTCCGACTGGGAGGAGACCAGGGGAAGACCCAGGACACAGGGACTCTCAGCTGGCCTGGGAACACCTCAGGACTGAAGTGTGTATGGAGAAATATTGCCGCCCGATGCAATAATTACTGTTGCAACGACACATCCTCAGTCGGTAAAACTAACCAGTCTCACGACGGTCTAAACCCAGCTCACGTTCCCTATTAGTGGGTGAACAATCCAACGCTTTTGCTTTACAGTGATAGGAAGAGCCGACATCAAAGGATCTTTTGAATGCAGCTGCACATTGACCTTAACAATGTCAACTTTTTGCATTAATCCCAGTTTTGTTGCTTCAGGTGCGGACTCTGGAGCACATGAAGCAGCAGGCGCAGCAGCCCGACATGTCGCACCTGTCGGACACGCTCCAGAGACTCGCTCTGCAGTCACGCACTTAACTCATGGAAGCACTGAGTGAATACAAACGTCTCACTGTGTCCTGCAGACTGGAGTTCACTTTTGAGTATGAATGTTTTTCAGACTAATGACCAATGTGTATGTGACGAATGAAAGACTTATTTTATTGTGTTTAATGCTGCAGCTGCCACTTATTTGCTAAATTATCTTTTAATTCTAACAATGATCAAAAAATATGCTCAATTTTTTTGTGTTATATATAAACATTGAACTTTCTGGACATGAAGACGCACCTGTACAAGTTGCACCACATTTGAAAAGAATATCAATGTTGTCCACCTAAAGGCCGCACTTGAATATAAGCCGCAGGTTTTCATGTTGTGCTTTTCTTCATGTTTCAGTCAATCCTTTGCACGTGTGATAATAATTTGAGTGATACACCACACTACACATTAAAAAATTGTGAATTAGAGCCATCTCTTGACGTAGCATCACGCTCCGAGTTGTTTATCTCAGGTACATAGTCATTTCAGACCTGAGAATACAGAATGCACAATCAGACCCTAATTATTTAGTTTACAGCAGTACACGTCGAGTTAGCGTCACTACTCACAGATCGGGGGCTGCGTCTTTTATCGTACTGTAGGTATAACACTGGTTTCCAGATCAGTGTTTGAGTAAGTACAGTTCCATTGTCCATGTAGTTCTGGGACAGTCTCAGTGAAGTGTCTCAGATGAACAGATTCTTTCAAACAGAGGCAGATGTGAAAAAAGTCGAGCCGCTATCTTCCTCTTCGGAGCAAATAGTGCGTCACATATTTACACCCAAAACACATGTTATCCAATTTGACACTTTTAGTTGCTGAGAAAAGCAGAAAAACAATAGCTCCATGTAGCGTCAGCGGGACCAAACCACAGACGTACCCTGGACTCGGGAGCCGGACTCGGGAGCTTTAAGTATGTTTTTTTTAATTATAATTTTTGACAACAAACAGCGTACTTATATTTACTTATGTATGTATTTAAAAACCAGTTTTAATACAAAGAAAACAGGCTTCTGCGCTTCATATTGATCATCTGTGTGGTACTGGTCACAGATGTGGACCCGGGCCTTTCACTGCCTCGAGAGGGTGAAGGAGACAGATCGCTCGCTAACTAAAGCTTGAAAGAATCATTTTTAAAAAACCACTCTGGGCAAATAGCTGTAATCATGTTTAAAGCAAAAAAGTCAAACGGCATCATATGGGCCCTTTAATGACTATGTGTTTAACGGTTTCACCGTTAGCTTCGTGGCTCATTCACCTTCTATTTTGACAGTTTCCTGTAGCTAATAATATGTTCATACTCGTCACTGACAACTCTACCACAAAAGATATCGCTATATAAGCCACAGGGATAAAAGAACCAGAGAAAAGTAGCGGCGTATAGTCCAGAAATGACCGTTATTATGGTTTAAAAGAGATCAAACATGATTAAGACATTGTCAAAGTTTAGTCTTTTATTTACTGAATTAGTGAATCATTGCAAAGGCAAACACCCCTCAAAACAAAACAAACATTTCAGGGCTGCAACGTTTTCTGACAACAGGCCTTTGGTCACACCGACAATGCAGATCCAAGGTGGACGACACCGCTGCCTGTTTCTGTCCTTGTGTTTGCATCACAGAATAAAAGAAAAACAGAGCACGTGTGAAATCTTTGGAAAACTGACAGACACCGAGAGGCTTCCCTTTGAACGGGGGATTATTATATGTTCTATAGATAATCTGACAATACTGACTTTTACATTCTTCGTTTAAACTGACAATTTAGTGAGCAGGACACACACAAATCTAAAGAGTCAGATTAAAGAGAGAAGTCCAAATGGGTCCAAAAGAGTGAAAGAGTGAAAAACAATGTATATAGAAACAAGTCAAAGCAAGAAAAGTCATTGTTGAACATGCAATAACCCAATCCAACAGCCAGCCCTCTTTAGTTTCAATAGTCTGGACACTGACGAGCATCAACCAGCAACTTAAAACTAAGTGCTACATTTAGTCACTTCTCACAGCTGTAAAGTAAAACCAATGAAACGCTTTGTGCTGCAGCCGGAGAGAAGACTTCCACAGACAGATGCAGACAGGCGCTTTACCAGACTGAAATGACTACTCTATCCTGATCATTAGAAAACTCAAAAGAAACGCCGACATGTTTGTTTACACTTATTCAATATAAAAAGTGCTGCTTCCTAAAGTATATATACTACTGACGTGGAGGATCAGAACGAGTCCGAAAGCACCGTCACCACATGTCCGAATGACCTCGCTCAGAGTGGCTGGGGGGGGGGGTTTACCATATACAAGCTTCACTGCGGTCTCTGCCTGTTTCTGCCATTCCTGGTCAGAATCCAGCCGCCATCTTAGAAAGCAGCTCATACACTGAAGACAACGAGAGATAATAATGTTTGGAGTTTGGCATAGTCCGGGCAGTGCTCTGAAGGACATTTGGGACAGATTGTAGATGGACATGTCGGGAGGTTGAGCGGCCTGTCAAGGTGCGAGCCACAGTCTGGGCCCACACATGTTCCAGAGGTAAAACAAAGTCTTTTTGTTCTTGTGGTTCTGAGCTGTTTCTCTCAGTCCAATTCTATGGGGCTACTGTCTTCCTGTGCTTCGTCAGCCACCTCGTCCTCCTCTCCAGATCCCATCAGGCTATTCAGCAGATTTCCTAGAAAAAAAAAAAGTGAGGAATCATTAAGTGAGATTCTTTAAGGGTGGATGGATGTTCAAATGTGGCAAAAGCAGAGATAAAGTCAATTACAGACTAGTTTGGGCCCTCTGTCATTTTATGTGGCCCTTCTGCTGCTAACACAAAGTTGCTATTGAGGCACTTTGACAGTGTCATCCAACCAACTTCAGCTCCACCAACACAGTCATGCTATACCTTGATGTAAATCTCAGACCCTCTGAAATCCAGTTGTTGACTTTATTCAATTCCAAATAAAATGCAACTGTGGTGTGAGTCAATAAGGACGTATCATAACCCATTTTAATTCCAGTTAATTCAGCTCAAATCCAGGTCGTCGGCCCCAGGTCAAGTCTAAGGAACTAAAGTGGTTCTTAAACTAGGGGTGTCCAAACTTTTTTGTTAAAGTCAAAGAACAGTTCATGGTGGGGATGTTGAAAGTCTGCCATAATCTACTGTTGACATTAATGAATCTAAATTTCAACAAGTTTCCAGTTGGAGTCATTACTTCCACTCAGGACTCTCACTAAAACCTGGACTCCTCAATCTCAGACTATTCTCCCAAAACTGGTCTCGCTGGAAGTCCAAACAAGATGGAGAGTGAAACAACTGCAACCTGAAGATCCACACTTCATTTTTTGATTTTACCAGGAAAGTCCCATTGAGATTAAGAACCTCATTTCAAGGGTGTCCTGGACAAGAGGCAGCTAAACAATATAGACAAACTATAAACTCACTGCATTTCAGAACGAGTCAATTTAATTTGAGTCACAACACGTCTGAAGTTCTCCCAGAAAATAAATAATATAACACTTCGAACACTAAACACAAATGAAACAAGTGATGTGTTTTGAATACTAGATAGTGACTGATACAATTTGCCACTTACTGGGATATTGACCAATCAGAGCGCTCATTTGACGAGCAGACTACAGACTTCAACGAGACAGAACAGAACCCTGTGAGCCCAAAACTCCACACGCTGCAGACAGCACCAGACGTGTAGATGACGGAAGATTGGTGCGTCATTGATTTAGATGTGAGTGTGCGGCAGGCACTTCAAACTCTTTCACTTCTTACTAACTTGCATTGATGGTAATGTGCTACCATGGCAACAACCGTATAATAAAGATGATATTCATTTGTTTTGGCATATTTAAAACTCAGTATTCAATTGAATCTCCTTTTTTGGTTGCATTGGGTTCAGTTTTGGTCTAATACTAACAGTAACTTTTCAAAAAAATCTACCAGAGAATATGATCTAAACTTATGAATGGGTTGAAAACCCCCCCTGACCAAAATGACTGACAGCCCTGGTGTATCTGGTGTATGCGTAAGTCTTACCTAGCAAACCACCATATGATGGAGACTGTTTTGGTGGGACTCCAAAAAATACTTGTCCTATTCTGTCAAGATACTGAAAAGAGAAGAAGGATCAATGAAATGAGTGAATGCTTTAGAGAAACATATGTAAAAGTCAGAAGATTGTAAAACATACTTCATTATACATGGGATCCCTCTTCAGGGAAGGCTGATATTGCTCACATAACACTGTGAAAACTGTTAATTTACCCCTGAGGAAAAAACACAGAAAAAAGCAGAAGTCAAGACTAAGCTGCTCCTGACGTATCCTCCAGGTCCATGTGTAAAGATGACATTGTGTGTAACTCCTCACCCTTCCACTGCCAGCAGCAGAAACCAAATAAAGTTTAGTAGAGGCTGCATGAACGGGGGCCCTTTTTCTATGGACGGGTGTTTCTCTGTGTATGTGCTGAACACCACTGAAGCACTGTTTTTATTCTTCAAGCAGAGGAACCTGTCAGACACAGAATGGATCAGAAAAATTATTCAGAAAATAGACTGAACAGCTCTTGTCTATGACTGGATTAGCTTCTTCTGCGTGTGCTGTCAGAAAACGGTTATAATTCATTTACACTTACAGCACTTTGAAATCAACAAATGCCTTTTTTAGTAACAAGGTCGACTCACTGTAGGACGGCCTGCGCCACAAACATGTCCACCTCACTACGAAACCCTCTGGAGGCGGAGTACTCCACCAGCATCAGGGCACACCCCTCTCCGTCAGACGAATGCAAGAAGTGATAACGAGACTCGCTGTAGTTTTGTTCTAAAAACAAGAGTGACTCATCAAAACAAAACCACACAGCCAAATCCATCATTGGAACAAAACACTGACATTTTACATGAATAATAAATAAATTATAATTCGTTTTAACCAATATACACCATATATACCATATATTACATTTACAAAATAGGCTTGAAGCAGTCAAAACATGTATAGATAGAGGAGTATAGATATTACTGAAGAGACGAGCTTTGCTCACCTTTCCACAAAGTGACAGCCAAAAGTTGATGGAGCTTCGGGTGACCCAACTTTCCTGAGCCTCCTGTGGACCATTTTAGTGCTCTGGATACAAACGCAACCCTCTCTGGTGAGTTTGGATCCATCAGACTGAACAGCTTCGCCAGTTGTTCTGTAAAATACATACAACAGTGAGGAATACAAGTGAAAGTTAGAAGCATCTCTGGAAAGTGGCGTTTACTCACCCAAAATGTCATTTTCCACTTTTGACTCTGATTTCTCCAATACTTCTAGAACGAGCATTGACAAGTCTGCAGCACTGTTTTGCTGCACATAAAGATAAGAGATAACAGACCGTTTCAGCCACCCTTCTGTCACAGTATGTGGTTATATGAAATATTTATACTTGAAACAATACCTGGTTATAGCTGAAGAAGAGCAGAGCACCGTTGTACATGAGCTCTTTGGCCTCTGCATGTTTAGCCTGTGACATGTACCTGAACACAACAGGGAGCGGCACCACCCGATCATTAACAATTATGCAAATTTAATAGTCAAAGTTTTACACGATAAATCGCGGAATGAAATCCTTACAATTCCAACCATTATGCAGCGGCGCACATAGAGCAGGCTAACAGGCTCAATGCTAACACAGCTGGACAGAACCAGAAAACACAACGAAAACGAAACATGGAGATAAATCATAGGGACATAGTTCTGTAATGGACACTGACATGACTCATGATATGTGTTAACTAGATACAACAGACTTAGTCATTATAGTCTGTAATAAGAACAGGCAAAGTTAGCTAACGCTAACTAGCTAGCAACTACTTATTAGTTAGCGTTTAGGGTGTGATTGACAGCTCAACTGACTAATCAACTGCCCCGTATGAGCTGATGGGTGGGACTACACAACACTTTAGCCAATCATAAACACGTAACTCTAGAGGCAGGTTGACAGCAGAAGGATCTGGAACAGGTAGGCCTCGCAGCCAAATAACCATGAGTGAGAATCTTACCTGAAGAACAGCGTCCTGTACATCTGATGTGCTTCATAATAATCCCCCTTTTCTACGCTCGCCCGGAGCTTTCCTTCCACTCGCTGTACGCCTCCCCGGTTCCTGGCGCTGGAGCGCAGGGACTCCTGCTCAGACATGTTGGTGGCTCACAGCAGCACCGCCCGTACGAGCTATGGCTAAGCCTGGAAACGAGAGGCGCTCATGCGTTTGTCCCTCTGCGCGCACCGTAGCGTGGTCATTACACCGTTTCCTCCAAAACGGCATTAAAATGAAGAGCTCGCTGTTTTTGAAGAACTGAAATAGATTGTTTGTTTGTAACTTTAATTCTTGCACTTGAAATGTAACTATTTATCTTGCAATTTATGTCGCTATTCATGCCACATATTTGTGAGTCTACTACTAATCACTTAAAGCAAAAGAGTATTCAAATCAACTGCAAGTGGAAGGATTTAATAAACATAACTATTATCAAAAGCATGAACTTCAGAGCGCATGAGACATTTGTTCCTCCACTAGAGGGAGCCCACGTCTACTGGAGGCGTGTCTGTTGCATGTCTAGGGTTTATGGATCTCTGATCTGTACATGCGTGCGCGCTGTGTGATGTACGACAGCGTAACGATAGGAAAGTAAAATGAGCATCTAGCTTTATTCACCTTTGGGTGCCATTTAGGATTCAATGATGTGTTCTTGCATGACCCCTTTCACCGTGTGACACTGACTGCAGAAGAGCTGCTGGTGGCTGTCTGTCTTCCCACGCAGAGGAGGGGTTTTCGGCTAAAGTTTCCTTTGTGATTCGGAAGTAACGGCGTGATGTCCATAAACACACGCTGACGAGGCAGCCATGAATGGTAAGCTTTATACACATTCATTTACCATTCATATAACTAAAGAGTGAACAGTGATCGCACAACCTAATAAACAAACATTGCGGTTTCATGTTAGCAGCTAACGACGATGCTAGCAGATCAAAGCTAACCTATTTGTTCAATGTAAGATGCCAAAACACCAGCGAGATGGTGACATATTGAGTAGCAGATGACATATAATGAATGATAATATATATGGGTTCTTTATGTGCGTTGTTTTGTGTCAGTATCTGGTAAAATATGTCTTCGGATGATTTGTGTTGTTACTTCCTACCCAGACATGCTAACAATAGCATAGCATTAGCGAGTGTTTTGGACTGACAGCTGTGGCTCCATGACATGTGCAAGACGGGCCTCTCGACACGGATGTTTTGGAGAGCTTTTGTTGCTTCCCTCAACATATTCTCAGCTGTAACAAGCCTTTTCAGACCATTCTTACTATTTGATATATTTTGTGGTCAATAACTCAGACGTGAAATGACGAATCTCTTTGAATGAGTCAGATTCTTATATCATTCCAAGCTAACTTTCTGCTTCATGTTTTGCCAGATCTACTTGTTTCCTGCTGAAATGGGAAAACGCCCGTACCACATTTGAAAACAAAGGTAAGTTTCTCCACAGTGTCCCGAAAGAACATTTGATATGCTAGGAATGAAGCCTAGGGCCAATCCCCCACCACGTATAATAGAAAAGGGTGTTATCACTGGTGTAATGTTTTCTCTGTCCGAATAAAGAGCTGCTACCTCTTGTATAATTTGATGGATGATTTCAAAGATATCTCACGGCTAGTGTAGACTTGTGGGAGAGTGGATGAGGGAATAGTTAAGGTTTTGTTCTGACAATTTTGTGCATGTGTCTACTTCTACTGACAGGAAGTATATGTTGTTTGTGTAGTAATAACACAGTGCGCACAGATGTTGTAATAGTACTTTGTATAAAGGCAAACTTGCATTCATTTGAAAAGGGTTTGGTCTTGTTATATTACTGGGTGTTTAAAATGTCGCTCTAGTTATTAAGGTCATCATGCACATATCTAGGGCCCTGCCTGAATTGTTTTTCTGCTCGAGTTGCTTTTGTAGGTCGATGAAACCAGCAGACAAGACCAGTAAACATGCTCCGATCTGCAACAATAGACTTTGAATGGCATGCGTCTGATTATGTCTATTATTACATTATTATGTCTATTTTATTGTCACGTTAAATTGTTTTTCCCAGCATTCTCTGTGGTTAAATTGCTAAACCTGTCAGTGGCTAAGTTTGAAGATAAATTACATTGGAGAAAACGCACACACTCTTTGTTTCCAAGCCCTCTGTCAGAATCCCCTCCAAAACCCCATAGCGAGAGAACACATATTTGCAGACAATGCAAAACAAGAGATGAACAAACTATTCAGCAGAGCTCAGGCCTGCGTAGTGCAAGTTTCATGAGCTGTGTTTGGCTTTGTGCAGGTGAGATAAACACAAACCTGCTCATGTTTAAAACTAAGTTAATGAGATTGTTCAGTCATGACTGCTTAAAGGAGTTTTATCAAATTGCTAAAGCAGAGGAATAGCAATTATGCGATTTATGATTCTATGACTACGGCTCCCAAATGTTAATCCAAACTTCTGATCTAAAACTTTTCTCTTTTCTGTGAAGAGGGAATCCAGAATCTAATGCATAAGTTTGCTCTGCTATAAAACATCATGTCATTCTTTGCCAATTGAAGTATTTTTGGTCCCAAACCTCACCCCCCAGACCAGGGGTGGGCACTTATTTTCTCCGGACGGTGAAATTGGGATATTGCCCTATTGTGGAGGGCCGGACCTGTTTTAAATGTGGTTAATTTTTGATTTAATTTAATAAAAGGCCATTTCAAATTATTACTAATAACATTTTGGGTTAATTTTATAAGAACAGAGTAATTGTATGACATGACATGCCATGGTAGCACATATTAAGTTATAAGCCTACACTAAGTTATAACTCCTGATTCATTTAGATAAGCAACAGACAGACCAGAAGTGACCGCCTGAGAAGCGTCTGGGGGCTGCATAGAAATGTGAATGCGGCCGAATGTGGCCCCCGAACCACACTTTGCCCAGGTCTGCCCTAAACTGTACCAATGAGGGGACCTTTTGCAGAATATTTAATTAGGTTTAGATTACCCATCCGTGAAGAATATATTGTAGACATGTATGAACCGCTTTAAAAAATATTAAGATATTGGGCCACAATTTTAAAACCAAATTCACCACAGAAACTATTTGCTGTTAAAGTTGAAACATGCAAATTCTCTTCTAAAGGCCGATGGAATGGTCTCCTCACATTCTTAGTGCTGGTGCTGTGAGAGAGAAATGCTCTGACAGAGGCATAAACGTGTAATGGAGCTGCCTGACAGGAAACCCTCAGACGGGGAAACTGCCGTGGGCTCTTACTGTCGCAGTCTAATGATCCTTCCTGGAGGATGGGGTCTTATGATACTTTTTGTGCTTGATGTATTTCTTCTCTGCAGGTCTGTCTGTAATCATGGCGAGCGGACGTGCACAGAAAGGGGAGGAGTCATGTTCTGTTAGAATGGAGGTTACTGTAACGCCAGGGTCAGCCTCAAGTCCACAGAGCGAGGCAGTGACCAATGAGCTGCAGGAGCTGACCCTTCAGCCCGCCCCCAAACTGCCCCCCATTAAAGATCGCAAAAATGGTAAGACTTCTGCGATAAACAAATGAAACATTAAATTCAATGTTTTGTTCTGGAGAAAGAAACTGCTAAACTTTAAGATTGAAGACTACTTCCAGAGCTTTGATTTTGTTATTGTTAAACTGTTTTTACTTAATCCTTCCCGGGCTCCACAGGGAGCGGACTTTATAGTTAAGCTCTGGTAAAAAGTTATTTTTAGTTGAATAAAGCTCTTTGAGTTGAGTGGTTGGTCGGGCCCCAGGCCTGTCTGCATGTTCATACTACATGTGAAGTCTTCAATGGGTTGAACCTGGAGGAGGTCTGGAAAAGTATGAGGCCCTGAGGAGGATGTGGCACACTTCCTATCAAAGGAGAGAATGTATCCAGCTTTGTTTGCTTCGTTAGTGCCGTTAAATAATTCTTGTTTCACTTGACAACTTTTCTTTCTATTTCCAAATAGATTTTAAACCTATTGTTGTCGTTTAACTTTTTACAACCATATCATGGCCTTGTCTAGTTTCCAGACTCGAGTTAATGGTTATAATTCAGATGTTTACTCTCTTTTGCTCCTTGAGGAAAGTTACACCTTTTATGGCCTTGTTTTGAATTATTATCAAGTTGATATTTTTGGAGAGGAAATGAAACCTTTTGTGAAATCATTATGTCATTTGTCATTGACGTACAGATTGTTTTGCTTGTGGCAGGCGTGTTTCAACATCTGTCTTTCCGAGCCCTCAGAGCTAAATGTTTTGCCGTCTCTTCCTGTGTTTTAACTATTGCATCATTGTCCGTATGATACAATCTACAAATTGCACAAACTTTTGGATTTTTGTTTCCTTTATCCCTGTCATGAGCCGGGATCATCATAGCCTCACTTTCCAATAAATAACGTGGCATTTTCTTATTTGCATTTGGCCGTTAAAGAATAGCTGCTCGGTTATCAGCGGCTGTGGCATCATAAACACACCTACCTCATATTATCAGGACACTGGCCTTTGTTTCTGACCAGTGTTTCCTCTTATTTTGACTGGTGCGACTGTGTGCAGGCCTATTGTGAGCCTCGCAGAGGGAGACAAGGGTTAATGATTCGTTGTTCTTTTGACAATACTGGTTACAAGTGGGAAAGTGTCCTTGAATCCAGGGTGACTGGTCGGGCAGCCATTCCACACAGACCGGCATCGCTCTGACAGACTGGCTTTGGATGTTTCATGAGTCATGGTTTTCACTGACAGAATGAAATGGCTTTAATTGTTTAAACTGCTTTGGATTTACAGTAACCACATCTAATATTCCAGTTTACCTGCATGGCATTTTCAACTGTTAAAGTAAACCACAAAGCAGACCATAATTCCTGCTGCATTAAGACTATTTAATGCCCAGAATAAATGTTAATGTTTGTATTGCGTATGCGTTACAATTGTTGTGGGCATTAGTCTGTCACTCCACATGAGAGCAGGCTCGCCATACAGGAGACGCATGCCAGACCTATTGTGCATGTTTTTAGTGGTAGGGGGAATCCGGCGCACCTGGAGCAAACCTACGCTGACACGGGGAGAACATGCAAACTCCACACAGAAAGGCCTGGAGGTGGAAACAAACTCCGGACCTTCTTGCTGTGAAACTCGAGCTGTAGCTTCTGGGCCACCGTGCTGCCCTGTACATGTTGGACCTTACAGTATCTGCTGGTGTGCATGTGGATACTTGTACATGTCTACTTCACATAATCACAAAGGGGAAACTGAGTCTCATGACAGCCCAGGGCCACCACTCCCAACAGGCCCTCGCTGCCCTAAACTTTTCCCCAGCTCAAGACATGTTGCTGCAGGCACCGCTGCTGCAGGACGCCTCCCAACACCACTGCAATGTGCTCTGTCTTTCCTTCTCATGACAGAGACAGAGAACGCCTGCATAATGGCCTTATCAAAGTTTCAGTCACCTGATGATGCAACGTGTTTTTGACAGGGTGGCTTCCTCTTCACCGGCTGAATGTCTTAGTGGTTGTGTATACAGAGATTAAAGGTCTCATTTTCCACACAAAGATGAAGAATTTCTCTACACGGTGGCAATGGCACTGTGCTCTTGGCCCTCTGCAAACTTGAAGGTGTAGAGTGGGCTGCATTGGGAGGAGGAGATGAGTCCAAGCGGAGGAGGGGGAGGTTCTGAGTGTGTGTGTGTGTGTGTGTGTGTATAATGGTACTATTGCATAACTTTCTCCAAGGAGCTGAGGCAAAAGCGAGGGAAAATGAAAAACCCTGGGTGTGCTCAGGCCGCGGCGAGACTTTGCGTAGACTCTTGAATGAAGTAGTGAAGACAAACTCCAGCTTGTTGCGCTGCAGACTCTGGGAGGTACCGGGTGGACCTCGTTTGGCCCTTGCTGCAGTGACAGTCAGGCATCTGCGAGGACCTGCTACGCCCTCTGCACCGGGGCATGCACACACTTGTACTCCTCCACCAGCAGGGAATGTGAGGTGCAACCTGTGGACAGGCTGCTGCAGTTGTTGTGGTGGAGGAGGTGGCAGCTGGATGCGTCTCCTTCTCTCTGCTCCTCTGCTCCTGCATGAACGGTGATGGAATAGACTCTGGAACAGCATGGTGCAAAGGGATAGGACTTTCTGCTCAGGTAAAGTTTGTAGTTATTGCAAATTTATCATGCACTGTCTCCGTAGTGGCTTAAACTTTTACTCTGACAGCCATAGCTTTTGTACTTGCTGCAGGCTTAGCAAAACAGTACTGTGCAAGTATCTCCAAACTCTTTTCCAGAGAGAGCTACTTTTTTGGGTCAAAAGTGGCAGAGAGCTTTTCCTTATTAGACAGTCCACATATAATGGCGAGCAAGTAGATTTTTATCTTGATTTGAAAACATTTCTTAAAACAATGGAACAACCAGCTGTAGTCTTACTTCAAGCACAGATACAGTATAGCAAGGATGTCACTTGTTCCTTTGTTTTGGCGTCTTAAAAGAAGATTTACCATTCTATATCTAATAATCTATCTTTTAATGTGGCATTTTCTTTTGTGTTGTGTTGTAATAAAACATTTCTTTTACATTTATACATGAAATTAGAGCTACTTTTAAAGAGGTTGGCGAGAAACTGGTAGCTCCCAACGAATAGGTATGAGACCCATGGTATAGCGGGTTTACCAGCAGAAAAAGCTTGTGTTGCTGTTGACAGAAAAATGTGTTGCAACTAAATCTTTGGCTTTTTAACCTCAATGGAATTTCATATCTTTGTGGAATCATCACTTTCAACCACCCAATGGAAGATTTGCCTTTCTGGGTTTATTTTAAGATTCAGATAGAGATGAAGTAATCCTTTATTCATCCCACAGCAGAGAAATGTCAGTGTTGCATCATCAGTTACAGAACAGTAAGAATGAGGAGACAATAACTCAAAATAATAACTTAAAATCTCTAGCTTTAGCATAATAAAGAAACTAGTATAAAAACTCTAGCTTCAGCATTATGAAGAACCTAGTATAAGGGCGTCCTCTGTCTTCAAGAGGATGTGACCCTCTCCTTTTTCAGGACAGCTTGTTCCAGACTCCAGCGGTGAATCTTTTTGGCGACTCAGGCCTATAATTGATAATACTCTAATGCAACGTCTGAGTCTGGAGGCAGTCTGCATGTTTGAGTCCATCTTTATAAGTGCTGCAGCGATGGCTCCGGGAATACAAATGTAGACATGCATGCGTTTGGACTGTGCAAGTTTACGATCTAATAAAGTTCTTTCTGAAATTGTAAGGCAAGGCAGGTCTATTTGTATAGTACAGGTTATACGCAGGGCAACTCAAGCGCTCAGTTTTATGCACAGCAAAACAGAATTTTAGAGATTTTAGCTGCATTAATCTGAAATGCTGCCTCCTCATGTTAAGTTGGGCACCCACAACAATTTGTAGCCAGAACAATTGGTCATAATCTTCCTCTGCTTAACAACATCAGCATGAAATATAAAGAAAACCAGTGCACATCAAGCTGCAGATCCAATCCAGTAATTGCTTTTAGTCCCACATTGTAATAAAGCACAAACGTGTATCGTGGTCCAGGCTACCCAAGGCTAGTGCAGTGATTCAGGGAGCTTCTTCTGCGTCTTATGTAACGTGTTGGGAGGCAGCCAAACAGCAGAGGCCCCTATCGCCCTCAGAGTAGGCGGGAGTTCAGAGCTGGAAAAATGAGACGGAGAGATGACAAATGGCAGGACAGAACAAAGAAGAAATTGAGTAGTTGTAAGAAAAGCTGTTGTTTTAACATCGACGAGACGCAATCCTTCTGTGTTCTGTCTTACCAAAGCTTAACCAGGGAAAATATAGACCTGCATCGTTCCGTAAAAGAGCAAATCATCACCAGCAAGTGTAATCTCATCAGCTAAAGAACTAAAAACTTGATTATTTATGATAATGCTTTGCCATCTATGGAGTTTTCCATTAGCAAAGTGGTTCAAAAGTCGGTACATCCTTCACCGTGACTGGATAGTGGACCCGTGTGAATAAGAACAACACTGCAAAAGATAATCCCGGTGTTATTTTTAGGAGGTAAAAAGGTTTGGCAGTCCATTTGTTTGATTTGTCTGGGAACACTCCACTCAACCTTATCCAGTCTCTTTTCAAAGCCACGGGTTTCCACCGAAGGTTTGATGGTAAAGGTTTCTCTCCAGTCGCAGCTGTGGGAGATTGTGAGGATATTCTCTACTCTGTGTTTTTAATAACTGTGCGGCTGTTGAAAGCCTGGCCTTATCCATCCAAACACTCCGGTCAATTATCATTTCCTGCATGTAACGTCTGGGTCTGGTCCCTGTGTTTGCGATTGGTTGAATTCAATCCGACCAATCAGCGAGCGCGGGAGGCGGTTGTTGTAGTTAGATGTGGGTGACGTCGAGAGTTTGCGCCAAACGGGCAGGTTGTAGTTCGGCAATGGCAAAGAATACGATCGTAAAGTTATCCGTTCTGGTTCTATCAAGAAATTGATAGAACCAGAACAAAAGCCGGAGCAAGAGGAATGTTTAGCAAATGTAATCTAAGGCAAAGATTGTGGCGCTACTCTCCACGGGCTCTGTTAGCGGCAAAGGAGATGGCTAAAGCTAGGCTAAATGCTAAATGCCAACTACTCACTCGGGCTCATTACATACGTGACGGTAAACTCAGATCCAATCGTTTCAATCTGCAAAAGGAGTTAACCCCTCCCACTTGTTAACGGAGTCAATAGAGCAAATCCAGACCTTAGTACTGAATTAAATTTGTACTATGGTGCGGTACGACCAGGCTAGGATGTTAATGGAACAAATCTATTACTGAATTAGATGTTACTAATTTAGTTGACGATGTATCAATATTTTTAGGCTTTAGGGTAGAGGTTTTTTAATCCTGATAATTCTATAAAGACTGCAGAATGAATTAAAATGTGTTTTTAATCTTCTCTATGACGGTGTTCTCCAGGGGCATCACTTGAGCTTTGTTTTGTTCCGATGTGTAAATGATCCCATATTCACAATCTAAACTAATCAAAAAATAAAAAGATTAGTTTTGAATTCCAGCCTAAGAATAGGATGTGCCACGTGCCTTGAAATAATGTCAAAACGTGCGATCTGAAACCACATGTGTCCGCTGTCCCAGATTCTCATGCTGCTAACGTGGACAGATGTAAACATACTGCTATATTTCTGCACGAGAATATACCGGATTTAAACCTGTTAGTTTATTTTAGTATAAAGTTATTTGTAAATTGTCTTGTGCTGTGTGCTCCTCATTCCTACTGTCTGTGACTGTTTACATGTTTACGTGTATCTATAACAAGATAACCTCCATCACGCACACACACAGCCACACACACAGCCACACACACAGCCACACACACACAGCCACACACACAGCCACACACACAGCCGCACACACAGGCGCCACACAATACACTGTTTTAACAATATCATGTGCAGAATTCACAAATCCACATCTGTACAGTACAAACAGTAATGCATCACACAGGCCCAAACACTCTCCGACCCTACACCTCTCTCCCATTTTCCAAGTTTCCCCACTGTGAGACAAATAAAATAAATCTCTTAATCTTATAATAATTTCTGTATCTACACAACTTGCACTTTGAAGCGTAACAACCTCCTGCACGGCGCCTCAGTTTTATGTAACTGGCCGGTTTGGTAAACATCTTAAATCCTGCCGGTGTCCATCTCTCTCCACGCACACCCACATCATGACTCACGGCCGCCGCACACTTCTGTCACAATAGGAACTCGGGACGTGTGTTTACAAGCTTCTCCTGGGCCTAATGCAATCCGCACATCCCCACTGCCAGGCATTTCTGAGCAAGCTCGGACATCGCGTTTTTGATTTGCGATCTTTCAGCCGGGGAGATAATGGTGAAGCAAGAACGTTCAAATATGTGCCCTGAAGCTAACCAAAAAAGCTTTGCAATCGTTTTGTTGTGCTGTAGCGACTGAAAGACTCGCACAGACGCAGCTACAGGCCCGCTCTTGTTGCCAGAGCCTTTTAAACTCACTCACTTGTCAACTTGTTCTCCGTTTTTTTTTTTTTTTTATAGCAGCAAAACAAAACCTGAAGCGATATGAAGCAAGTACAAAATATATGTTGAAACAAGTGTGAAGTCGAAATAATGTGTTCTGCTCGTAACTCCATTTGCTGCCAACAGAGGGAGTAGTTTAATTTGAACAAACTGCTGTAATCCAGTGGCGTTGCAACGATTTAATCTGAGATATTGTCAAAAAGAATGTCGTTTTCACCAGCCCTACTTGGTCCTACTCTTCTCTAATCTACCTGTCTACATTACGCTTTAGTTTCTGGTGCCGTATCCTAAAAACGTATCCACAACAAACCAGTGTTCGGTCACCATGGCTACTAAAAGCTCTCTGGCCAATCACTGCCAGGTAGAATACTTTAATAATAATAATAATAATCTGTTTTATACAGCGCTTTTTTGGACACTCAAAGATGCTTAACATGTCAGCATTCATTCACTCCATACACGGTGGTGATAAACTACTACTGTAGCCACAGCTGCCCTGGGGCACACTGACAGACACACTGACTTTAGTACCAGCTTGGCCTGTAATGAATTAATTAGATATATAATAAATATATAATTCTAAAAGTGACAATAGTAAAAGTACAACAGCAGCAGAGGTGGAGTACCCGCTGGTGCTGAGCTGCTTCCTATTCTCGGGTCGATGTATGTAGAGTCTGCAGGGTTCAGACCATTTTCTCTGCTCTGGATCAGAGTGAAATTCTCCATTCACTCTCCAAGTAAAATTTAGCATTCCTTCAGTGGTTTTCCGCTTGATCCTCTTGGTTTGTACCATCCTCTCTGCTCTGGTCTGGGTCAGTGTAAAACCATGAACACTGAAATGCACTAACATTTACATATAGACAAAAAAGCAAGAAAAATAACGATTTTTTCCAGTGCATTTAAAAAGAAAAAAAATGCTAAACACAAGTACATTGATTTTAAACTAATTGATTGATTGAAAGACTAACGATCAAAATAATTAATAACAGTTGATAATTATAGCCAGACTAGAGGCAGAAACCTACAGATCACTGGTTTGTTTTTCCTCTGAATACACAG